GAGTATTTCACAATCTGCTCAGTTACTGGGATTTTCACGCACAACCATTTCTAGGGTTTACAAAGAATGGCGGGAAAAGGGGAAAATGCGGGAAAAGGCGAAAATGCCTTGCTAGAGGTCAGAGGAGAATAAGCCGACTGATTCAAGCTGACAGAAGAGCAACTTTGACTGAAATAACCACTCGTTACAACCGAGGTATGCACCAAAGGATTTGTGAAGCCACAACACGCACAACCTTAAGGCAGATGGGCTACAACAGCAAAAGACCCCACCGGGTACCACTCATCTCCACTACAAATAGAAAAGAGAGGCTATAATTTGCAAGAGCTCACCAAAATTGGACAATTGAAGACTGGAAAAATGTTGCCTGGTCTGATTAGTCCCGATTTCTGTTGCGACATTCAGATGGTAGAGTCAGAATTTGGCCTAAACAGAATGAGAACATGGATCCATCATGCCTTGTTACCACTGTGCAGGCTGATGGTGTTGGTGTAATGGTGTTGGGAATGTTTTCTTGGCACACTTTAGGCCCCTTAGTGACAATTGGGCATTGTTAAATGGCAATTAATGCCAATTAATTGGCATTAAATGATCATAATCAGAGTAAGGTTAGTGGTTTATATGATTCACACACTATATTCAAAGTCTTTTGAAGTCATGTGATAGTTTTGTAACAAATAGAATGAATTTTAAGATGATGTTCTCATCCTGGTGCAATAATGAGAGAAGTAGCAGCATATATGATTCATGCACTAATCATTCTTATGAGTTAAACCTTCAGTTCAAGAGCGAATTTATTTATTTTTTCCAAGGATATTCTTGGGTTCTACCTTAAAAACAGATTGATATGGGTTTGAAATTATGTGGGGGTGAGTAAATTACAGAAATGTCATTTTTGTCATTCTGATACTTTAAAGTGCAGATGAATGTTTAGTGTGAGAGCACATGGTGAATTGTACTGACAGACCCTGAGGTATAGGACATGCCACATTTGTCCCTATAGATGGAGAAAGAGTATCAAGAAAGTGCAAAAAACACAAAGCGCTTGCTCCAGAATATACCAAGTTGAAAAGAAAAGACTCGATTCCCAGAGTGGAGCTCATTATCAGGTATAATCTCATAATTACAATGTATTACATCACATTGTGTTGAAAGAAGGGTTTATATGATGTAAATTCTTGCTCATTGGTGTTAGAATATGAAAAAAAAATGGCACTGCTTTTAAAAGGTGATATTATATGCTAAAATATTGTAATCAATCCTCTTAACAAAATATATTTTTTTTTTTTAATTGTAAGAAGTCAAGTTGTTCACCAAAGCTATATTTTTTAGTTATAATATCATAGTGCATAAAACAAAAATGTTATATACTTTGTATTATTTCAACATCAATACAAAAGAGATCTCAGACCTATTGTAGATTACCAAGGTCACCCATAGAAATTACTGTGAAGATCGAATGATGACTAAAAGATGTAAAATAACCAGGTCTAATATTTTTCGTGCAGGATAACTGAAATCTGTTAAGTTGGTATCATGTTTATAGCAAGTCTGATGAGGGTTTGCTGTGTTTCTTAACAGGAGGCATTTAATGGCCTGAGCTCGAAGGTCAACCGCTGAAGCAAACGGTGTCACTGAACATCCTCTGGCCTGTGAAAGCGCTCTCCCTTGAAGATAATGCGTTGCGTTTCCCTTTGGGCTTTTCTTCCACAGTCTGCTCTCATTTACACTTGTGGTGTTGCCATTTGTCTAATTAAGGCACTGGAATTCACTAGTTTTCGGTCCAAGTAAACACAATACAAAAGCATTTTGGCTTTTCAGTTGTTAGGATTTCACAGGTGCAGACTAACCACACAGATTCTTTTTGCAGTTATGCAGCTGTGTTTTCGCCTAACCCAACCCTGTCAGTGGAAAATAGAATATCAAACTTCAAGAAAGACTAGTTTTCATTGCAAGGTCTCCGAATGCAAAATCACATCAGGGCAACATATCTCATTGGTTTCTCTGGAGACTCAAATTGATCATTTCATATTTTACATCTGCAAAATAGTATTCCGTATTCAGCAAGACTCTTCACAAACATCAAAAGCCGTCATCATGTGTTGGGAGCTTGGGAGAGAGAGACTGCCCCCTAGTGCCAGTCCATCAAACATTATAAGGTGGGTAAAACTTGTTCTTCATTTCAATTCCAATATTAAATTTAGACAGACAGACTAGATAGATCAGATAGATAGATAGATAGATAGATAGATAGATAGATAGATAGATAGATAGATAGATAGATAGATAGATAGATAGATAGATAGATAGATAGATAGATAGATAGATAGATAGATAGATAGATAGATAGATAGATAGATAGATAGATAGATAGATAGATAGATAGATAGATAGAATAATTGATGATCACTGGTTTTATTTTTGACAATTGCTTTTATTAACTATCTGATGATAAATGAACACACACTTTTTCAGTAGAGTATGAAATTAATTATATGAAAGCCCTCCAAACGGCATCACTCCACATCGTTCTGTTCCAGCAGGACTCATCTCAGCAGAGAGAGTGACAGACAGCACGAGATGGATGAAGCGCTGTGACATCTTCATACTCAGACAGGTCGGGATCCCAATCAGCTTGAGCCGCAGGTCCCTTCGCACACTTAATTAAATCAGCCTGCAAGAGACAGACCGCAGCCAATGCATGTCCCACCAACTGTAATTATTACTGTTCCATTACAGTCAAGCGGATTTCATGAACATTTCTCCGGCTAGCAATCAAAGATTTCCTGGAAGAGGGTATTAAGTGGAAAAACATGGTACATGAAGTGACTGGAGAGGTTTTGTTGTTTTTCACCAAGTAAAGAGCATTGCGAATTCACTAAACCAAGGGTTTTCAACTGCAGACACATGCAGTAATGACCTCCATCCACACTCTTAACCGAAGACACAGCATATAAAAAGAAAGCACATTTTCTCAGTAAAACTTATAATTTTCATTAATAATATAAACTATTGCTACATTGACAATAAAAAAAATTACTAGTTTAAAAGTTATTAAATTAGTTATTAGTTAGAAATGGTAATGAAGAGAAAAACGACATATGCATCTGACAGTGTTTGAAGCACTTAATAAAGCATGTCTCATGTTTAAGACAACCTGGATCGTGTTCGGCAGCAGATCCTTATTTTTCAGATTCACCAAAGTATATCGACATTAACTATACTTTCCCATCCTATAGGGGGCAAGTTTGAAAAAGTTCAGAGTTTTAACTACATTCATGCACACACAAGTTCTGCACATGCAGTGGTTAAATTAACTCTGTATTCATTTGGTACACATTAAAATTCTGTTCGATAGTTCACTATAGGATAAAAGTATTGGGACACATGAATGTAGGATTTTTTTTAGAGCATTTGTGAGGTCAGGTACTGATTAGGGCTGTCAGTTAAATGCATTATTAACGGCGTTAACGCAAACCAATTTTAACGGCGTCAATTTTTTTATCATGCGATTAACGCGTTTGTCCTAGCACAAAGCAAGCCGATCCACTTTTCCATGTTGATAAGAGCATTAAAATGAGAAAAAATAATGGGACAAAAATAAATCAAAAGACATTTAGAATAGATAAAAATGTGATTAATTGCGATTAATCACGAGTTAACTATGGCATTTATGTGATTAATCGCGATTAAATATTTTATATTTAAATATTTTTTAATATTTTAATTTTAACGGCGTCAATTTTTTTATCATGCGATTAACACGTTTGTCCTAGCACAAAGCAAGTCGATCCACTTTTCCATGTTGATAAGAGCATTAAAATGAGAAAAAATAGTGGGACAAAAAGAAATCAAGAGACATTTAGAAAAGATAAAAATGTGATTAATTGCGATTAATCGTGAGTTAACTATGGCATTTATGTGATTAATCGCGATTAAATATTTAATATTTAAATATTTTTTTATATTTTAATTTTAACGGCGTCAATTTTTTTATCATGCGATTAACGCGTTTGTCCTAGCACAAAGCAAGCCGATCCACTTCTCCATGTTGATAAGAGCATTAAAATGAGAAAAAATAATGGGACAAAAATAAATCAAAAGACATTTAGAATAGATAAAAATGTGATTAATTGCGATTAATCACGAGTTAACTATGGCATTTATGTGATTAATCGCGATTAAATATTTTATATTTAAATATTTTTTAATATTTTAATTTTAACGGCGTCAATTTTTTTATCATGCGATTAACACGTTTGTCCTAGCACAAAGCAAGTCGATCCACTTTTCCATGTTGATAAGAGCATTAAAATGAGAAAAAAATAGTGGGACAAAAAGAAATCAAGAGACATTTAGAAAAGATAAAAATGTGATTAATTGCGATTAATCGTGAGTTAACTATGGCATTTATGTGATTAATCGCGATTAAATATTTAATATTTAAATATTTTTTTATATTTTTATTTTAACGGCGTCAATTTTTTTATCATGCGATTAACGCGTTTGTCCTAGCACAAAGCAAGCCGATCCACTTCTCCATGTTGATAAGAGCATTAAAATGAAAGAAAAAAATATGGGACAAAAAGAAATCAAGAGACATTTAGAATAGATAAAAATGTGATTAATTGCGATTAATCGCGAGTTAACTATGGCATTTATGTGATTAATCGCGATTAAATATTTTATATTTAAATATTTTTTAATATTTTAATTTTAACGGCGTCAATTTTTTTATCATGCGATTAACGCGTTTGTCCTAGCACAAAGCAAGCCGATCCACTTTTCCATGTTGATAAGAGCATTAAAATGAGAAAAAATAATGGGACAAAAACAAATCAAGAGACATTTAGAATAGATAAAAATGTGTGATTAATTGCGATTAATCGCGAGTTAACTATGGCAGTTATGCGATTAATCGCGATTAAATATTTTAATCGTTTGACAGCACTAAAACTGATGTTAAAAAAAGTGTTAACTGCGTTTCTTTTTTGTGTAAATGCAGACAGAGTGAATAGGAGCTTGATTTTATACATTGACAATGATCTGATTGAAATACTTTACTTTAATTCAATAATTAACATGTCTGTCCCAATACTTTTGTCCATATATTGTATATTCAATTCTTCTTACTTATACAATTCTTATTAATAACCTCTCTTGATTTTGACTGAAAAAAATGCCCTTATATACGCCTCCCCTTCAACATCAAATTGTCATAAGTTGAATACATATCTGGACTTTGCATAGGGTTGGAGGGGGCAGCCATGGCCTGCGGGCTGTAGACGAATTCATCCTCAGCTAGGTGGCCTGCCCCATCATGAGCTCTTTGATTAGCCTCGATGACCTCCTCTGATTCCCACACAGCACCGGCAACCCACTCAGCTCTGGCTTGGAAATCCTGTGGCTCTGCATAAATTGGCTCCGCACTAATGTCCCGTACCACGTCATTAATTGCTAATTGCTGGATGGAATCACCAAACAAGTCAGTCAAATCTTCCGTGACCCTCGTCTCTTCACGCGTACCCTCGAAATCAGACGACTGGGAAATGTCAGGGTTGGTCTTGAAAGCGTCTTTGAGAGATGTAGACTGATGGAGAGCTTTTCTCAGGTTTTGCCAGTGCATTTTAGGGTCTGTAGGGGAAGTGGCTTTTGGCTGAGCTTTTGACACCGTTGCATAGACGGCTTCCTTATTCTCGAGGTTGGTGTCAATTCTCGTCATTTGACTTTCGCTTTGTGGCTCTATTGCATTCAAAGAAAAGCTCCTCCAAGCAGGGTTGAGCATTTTTGATGGACGCTGAACTGCTCTCTGCATATTGCCCTCAGGTAAAAAGTCCGAGCTTTGAGTTTCTATGGTGTAGTCGTACGTTTGATCCGTGGCCACGGTTTCTCGAACTCTACTTTTTTCTGAATAGTCAAGGCTGTTCGTCTTATCTATGGGCGGTCTGGGCAGATTCTGAATGGATTCACTGACAATATTGAACAGTCTTTCGGCCTGATGGGTGGCAAACTCGAAATTACCCTCGCCGGAGTCACATCTGCGACCAGCCTCAAAGGAAAAAGACAGCTGAGGGAAAGAAAAGAGAAGGGAAAGTTATGAAATCTATTTCAGAGACCAGATATGTTTGTCCACAATCACTCGGGCGTAAATAAAGAAAGGCTGTTTGTTTCCCATGAGAAAAGGCATGCAAATTAAATCCAATATGTTTAAATGAGGAAATTGTTTTAAAATAAAAAAAAACGATCTCACACCTGCACATTGACAACAGTAAAGCTCTTTTAAAATTAAAGAGTGAAGAAAAATGACATCTTTACATCAAAGGATCAATGACAGGATAAAGGAAAGGAAACATCACAATGGAATATTTGGATTCATGTTTGTTTCATAGTTTAAAAAATAACAGTTTTTAACCATTATAATAACCATTTTCAAGAACCATTTTCAAGAAGCATTCATTTCAAAAATATCATGTGTAACTAAGTAAAAACATTTCCCCTTTATCTTTATACTTTATACTGTATGCACAAAAGGGTGTTAGATATTTTAAAAGTTTTTTTTTTAAATAATTATTTTAAACCATGTCATATCACCACATTGGTGACATGACATGGTGCCATTTCCTGTTTTAATGATTTTTTTTCTGCATGCTAGTTGCACCACATGTGAAACTGTGTTTAGATATACTATCATACGTATAATAAAAACAGTAATATTGTGAAATAATGGAACCTTATTGTAAAGTGTTACCAATCATTCTTATATGCGGACTTGCTGTTCACAAAAAGTTTATAGTATTATTATTAATGTTGAAAACAGTTCCGTGTAGAACCGTGATTCTAGTTTTCCTCAGCGCATAACTTGCATCTAGCAGTTGTATACTTAGCCTACCTGTAAATGTTACAAATCCTTGCAAGCATTTCCATTTTCACAAACAGGATTATCCTGTCAGTAAGCAAGTCTATTTTCAACTTGGTAGACTTCAAAGAACGAGTGCCAGCGTGTGTATGCACGTCAGGTATATAGCGGATAAAAATGGGAGCACAATAATTATGACCTTATTTTAAAATATTGTTTGAACATATTTTGCATTCAAAAGAGTAAACACTTCAAATTCCCCCAATTACAGCAGCACCATAAACTGCAGTGTGTTGTGGTAGACTATTTAAAATGTAACTACAGGTATAGTTTGTTCATCACGTTTTTATTAATTAATTAATTAATTGTTTTTACCCCTGCTATACCAAAAACATTCAGAACCGTGTCTGTGAGGAGGTATGAGGTATCGTCATCAAATCGTTATTATCGTGAATGTTACACCCCATATATATTAGTAGATATTAAAAAAATAGGACCATGTCATTAACCACAAATTTAAAGTGACACCAGCTTACCGTGTCTTGTCCAAACTTCCTTACGTAACAGTACGGCCATTTGAAAAGCACTTCCTTAGTTTTGACGTCCTTCAGGATTAAGCAGTCCAGCAGGGGAGTAAGGAAATAGTCCCCATACAGATTGCACTGAATGGCCGCCTCTGTGCCCACTGCTATAACCAGAAAATCTCGAACTGCAAGACAAAAGAAACTTGTTGGCACAAAATGTAATCAGGAAGAAAAAAAAAAAAAAAAAAAAAGATAAAATAAGGAACAGTACAAATTAAGCCATTGTTGCAATAATTTGCAAATGCAAATACTTGCAGTTAGTTGCAGCAAAAAGGCCTTTGGTTATTGAGTGCCGTGGCTTACTGTTAAAAAGGCACATTAGTCATATGTTACTTGTGCAACTTTTATGGTACTTTTGAGTTGATTTCATGACAATTCAGTGATGATTTTTGTTCTATTTGAAGCTTGCAGTATAAAATTGGCAATTAATTTATTGCATGAAAAAAGCACATTGTGAGCATTCTGCTAAACTTCTCCTTTTGCATTCAACAGAAGAAGAAAACGAGTCATAAGAGTTTGAAGCACCATTTAGAATGAGCTGTTCCTTTAAATATTTCCATCCGCTCCCACAATTTCAACTTCTGAACTTTCCACATGGGTGCAAGTACAATATAGCTGAATCACAAGTCACTGAAACGTAGACTTGCACCCGAAGTCAGCAGGGAACACAGCCTATTGCTTTTCCTCTGGAGATAGCTTTGAAATTCAAAACTGGTTGCTGTCCACAGGAGCAGGAAGAAGTCAGAGAAGGCAGACCCGTCTAACTTCAGCCTTTGTTCCTTCGGTTGATGTTCACAGCTGTCAATTTCTGAGCCTCTTCCTCCTCGCTCTTCATCTTCCAGGATGAAACAAGCTCTCAGACTGTTGGCTTGTTGCCCTGTGAGGCCTCACACTTGACCGTGAATGTCAAACGTACTTGTTTTCTCTGTTCGTTCTCGTTCTCGCAGTGCAGCCAAGGAAGAATGTTACACGCAGCACTACCAATAATTGTGCCCAAGTATTCTTATGTGCAAACAATGTTCTTCTTCTTCCCCTCGACCAACAATCATTTGCGTGTATTCACAAACATTTGTTTTTACTTCTTTTGTAATGTTATTGACATTTGAGTTCCTTTCAGTAAAAAAAAAACAAGTTGGAACTTATTGCCAAACCACAATTAATTACATTTTGCTAACATTCCCATTAAGTAAGAAAACATAATTTCTGAATATTCTTTGAGCATTCACCAACTTTCAGGGTTTTTTTTTTTTTTTTTTTTTTTGGATGGATGTGCTTTTTGGGGCTTCAAAATCTGAAAAAAAAGTTACTTTTCACTCCCATTACAAAGCTTAGAAGAGCCAGGATATTTTTTTTATATAACTAAGATTGTGTTCACCTGAAAGAAGAAGTCTGCACCTTGGATGGGTGCAGGCGTGAGTAAATTATGGGATAGTTTTAATTTTGGGGTGAACTAACGCTTTAAAGATCTGAACACACTTGATGTTGTAATTACAACTTCTAAACTCGTAAATACGAACCTTTCAGGAAGACTTGAATGCACCAATACGATCTGTTTGACATGGCTCTGTTTGAAACCCTAGTGAGCTGACTATATCAGCATTAAAATACATCTAAGCTGTGCTCCTGACACATACACACAAACAAACACACAATGTTCCAAAAGATAAAATACCTAGTTTTGGCCAAATTCAGCATTGCATATATCCTATAGAGAAGGCAATCCCATTATGCCTTTTTTAACATCCAAAATCCATCCAATACGGTGACAAAGTGAGATAAATGTTGATTATCAATATACTTTATTCAGTACCCATTAGTATGGATATAAAATAGTTAAAGCAGCACTATGTAGTTTATTCAACCTTTATAATATTTTTCCAAAACCCTTGAGATGATGCATCGACTTACAATAGGTTGAATGACAGGTCTGCCGTAGCCTGACAGTGTCTGTATCGCTTTTACTGGCACTCTGTAACTTCGGGGAGCGGGTAGGAACCCGAGCACAAAAAGCACTACAAAATTCGACTGCTTTACGGCATACATCACTTTCCCCACTTCCTCAAATTCTGATATGAAAGCCCAACAAGCGTTTTGGTTTTTTTTTAACCTAGGGTGGCTAAAGCGTCGGATGTTGACACATGGTCAAAAGCGTCAGTTAGATGACGCTTTGGGATGAGAACGGGCTGCAGTAGTAGAAGACAATACTGTTTCCCAACTGTAGGGGGACTCGGAGAGCAAAATTTCAAAAATAACAGAATGTTGCTTTAAATCTAATAGAAAATAGCTATTTTGCTTGGGTGATCATCACAATTTGTATAATGCATATATGTAGGGCGTTTCGAATCTGTCACTAATGAGGTTCCATTACATTTAAGTGTCTATGTAGGCAGCAATGGAGCACACTAGGTCCTGAAATAAAGCTGTTGTCTTTTAATTGTACGCCATCATTCACTTGAACACCCAAACTGTTCACAAAGGAGTTTTGTTTAGCTTACTGAGTTGTCAATTTGGAGGGGGGAAAAATCATGAAAACATTCACGTTTTTATTATGTTTTCCTGAGTCGTGCTTTGGTGCAAATCAGTACTTGACAATTACTTTTTATGTGGTCGTGTTAAGCTGACTCTCAGTCTTAGAGCCCGTCTTGATTTCAAGGGTGTCTGATGAGATCTGCCAAGTGTTAATCAGCCTCTGATTGTTGGGTCACTGATTAAAAAGAGTCTTAATAGAACCAGTTCATCAGCATATTACGCAGATCAGAAGAGATACATTCATTAGCCATCAATTTAATTGTGCATATGTGTATATGTATTTTTTACATGTCTTAAGTGTCTTATGTTTGCCAATTTAAAACATCACAAACAATACGTGATCAAATAAATTTTCAGCACTATTTGGTTGTCTGAGTTTTACGCTTTAAACCCACAGCGGTATCAAAGGCACAGTCAAACCACAGCAGCACCGGGGGTATTATTAGAGACCACCACAAGGCCAGTGTGAAGTTCACCTCAATGTGAAACTGTACCACCTGCATAAACAAGGTGCAGAGACTGCAGCGGATTTAGTAGATGGGTCAGGGGCTTCTCGGGAAGGAAAGGCATGAAAATGCGATTCCAGTTGTGAGCTGCTGATACTATCTTGACTCTCAAAGTTAAGATCAGAGAAAAAATACCACTTCCTTCTTATCTGGCCCATGGGTGTTGCATCTATCGGCTAAAAATATACAACAGGAACTACAATACTAGCTTTGCTGTCCCAAAACACTCTGTCTGACTATCTTCATCTGACGCCACTTATCCTGTAAGTTTCGCGATATTCAGAAAATGACTACATTTCCTTAAAGGGATACTCCACCGTTTTTTCTTATTAAACTATGTTATTCCTTTGACGAGTCATATATATGTATATATATATTGACATTTTAATGTCACTTTTGAGCAATTTAATGCATCCTTGCTGAATACAAGTGTTTAAAAAAATCATGCTTTTGATCGGTGGAGGAGGGACATTCAGACAGACTTTTTTTTTTTTTTATGTCAAGCTTCTATACAAAATATCATACACCACACACAACCCGACTTGAAACACTTCTATCAGAGGGTGGTTGCAATCCAATTATTCTTAAACTGCAGCTAGTCTGACCTTTAGCGTCTTTAAACTTAGCATCACTATGCAACTGTGATGAAGCATTTCAGGTCAGCTTGGCAACTAGATTGAGATCTTGAGATCCATACAAAGACGTCTTAATTTGTACAGTTAATATGAATAATAGCCATTATGTAAAATGTGCATAGGAAAAAATGAAATATAAAAGGCATTAAGAGATAGTTAAGAGAAGGATGATGAACATAATCACTTCATCTTCTGCCAAGTCTAGCGATTTGCTTATAATTAAAAGCTATTCGCTCAGTCCTCAACCAAGGACACTGGACTATATGTTCAACATGGCATATTGGCATACTACTCTTTTTTTTCTGCCATATACAGTGTAAAGTATGCAAATGAATGAGAAATGATAAAGGACTAAATGTGTAGTATGCAACTGGAGATGCTGCGTGGGATCTTGAATCCCATAATGCAGTGAATCTGACATGACCTTGCATTTTCAGTAGTTGAAGCAGCAATATTACATTTTTAAAGGGACAGTTTTAGGGGAAATTTCCCTTTAACATATTCCATTGGTCATACAAAATTATGTGTTTTTTTTTTTTTTTTTTCACACAATCAAATTTAAAATGGTTTCTCTATACTCTATACTGTTTTACACATTGTTGCATTAAGAATAAGTTCAAGATTTGTGCATCTATTATACTATTGTACTATTATATATTTGTTATATAGACTCTAAAAAATGCTGGGTTTTTTTTAACCCAATTTTAGGTAAAATATGGACAAACCCAGCCATTGGGTTAATTTTTTAAATTACATTTTTAACCCAATGTGCTGGGTTTGTCCATATTTTACCCAAAATTGGATTAAAACAACCCAGCATTTTTGTGTGTGTGTGTTAAATAAATTTTATATATATATATATATATATATATATATATATATATATATATTTTTATTTATTTTTTTTTTAAATCATGTCAAGGGAGACGTAAGTATTTAAAGTTGTTTTGTGTGATGGCATGGCGTAAAGAAAAAAAAATTGGATGCTATGCGTCACCCCTCCTCAGACAAAAATAGAAACATTTTGAAGTTCATGGAGTACAATCAAACAAGTTTCATTCTCCTCCCTTCCCCTCTCTCTCTCTCTCTCTCTCTCTCTTCTCTCTCTCTCTCTCTCTCTCTCTCTCTCTCTCTCTCTCTCTCTCTCTCTCTCTCTCTCTCTCTCTGGCATGTCATTCTGTCTATAAGTGCTTCTCTAAAAACTTGCAGCGGAACCTAGACAGAGCCCTCGTGACAGTCTGAGATCGTTTACCTCAAGTGATAAAACAGAAGTTAGAACTATATTTGCCAGCTGTACTTCTGGCCCAAGGGCAGTGACACTAATGAGATTTTAAAATCTCATTTTTTTTTTTTTTTTGGCCATGCAAAGTCACAGCAACAATGCTAGCACAATGCAATTGATTACTGTTCCGTAATGTTGGTATTTTGCTAGCTAGATATGATTTTAGCTAGACATGGCGCAGGACCCTCATTCAAGGTAACTCTATTGGATATTTGGGCTGTTTTACTGTCCACCAGGGGAGAATCACAACTCTTTTTCATTGCTTTTCAGTTATGTCTAGGATAAGTGTGGCACCAAAAACGTAGTAATGGTGCTAGTGATGCTTGCCTTAGCAAGCGCCACAAAAGAAGTGCCCTGTTGTCAATGATACTCAAGGATAGATATCTTGAACTAGATGAAAAGGAAGAAGCAGGAAGTCAATAAGAAGTCGCCTTGGGTGAATTTGGGACAGCTTGCATCCCTCTGCTTCATTTCATTTGTCGTCTCCCCTGAATGAGCTCTCTCTATACATACACCTGAAAACAGTGTCCCCTCTTTCCTGTCCTTTAATGGAATCAAGGTTGGCCACCTGTGGCCCAAATGGGCAATTTGAGTCAGGCCTGAGGTTTCGCTTGAAAAAGAGGCGGTTCGTCCTTGCAACAGGACAAACTAAAATAGCTTCTCTCTCTCTCTCCTCTCTGTTCCTCCAACATCACTATGTTAGGGTATCCAGATATATGAACAGCTAATAGACTAAGATATTAACATTGTTATCAATATTGGTTTTTTTTCGGTGGGGGGATGGGGGGTGTGCTGAAATTAGATATTTTCACAATTTTCTTTAAATACATAAAACATGAGAAAATAAATAAAAAGATTTTAAAGTCCTCTATTATGCTTTATAAAATATTAGTTTTCATATTGTGTGTTTCTGAATGTAAAATGTCCTCAAAGTTTTAAAGATCAAAGTGCAGGTTAAATTAAGTTATTGTTTTTCAAAAGAAAAAAAAGAAAAAAACAGATTCTGAACTGCCTGAAACGAGTCAGTAATTCTAGTTCCACTTCCTGCTCAAACCTAAGTATAGGTTTGTAACAAATTTGCATAACGCCAGTCTATGGTCTTCATTGGCTGCCCGGGAAGGACGAGACCATTGTTACTGTTCTTATCACTGTATAGTATAGGGTGCTGAGAAAGCTTCCACAACAGAAATTCAGATATGGTAATGGATCTCATAATTACATGGCGTTATGCACCTTTGGTTCTGACGTACTGTAACGAGTAGACCAATCACAACAGACTGGGCTATCTGACTAATCAGAACAGAGAAGACCAATCACAACCAAGGGGGTAATCCATCAGCCGGAAGTTGAAGCTGCCTTCGGGGGCCGCCATTGTAGCGGGCTATCACCTGCTGTTAGCATCCCATTGACTCCCATTCATTTTGGCGTCACTTTGACAGCGAATAACTTTATATCTGAGGCGTCCAAAGACTCCATTTATCCATTATTTATTTCTATAGAAACATGACAATGTATAAAAGGCTCCATTACTTTGTATGTTACGTTATAGAAGCCATTCTTGTAAAAATAGGCTAAAAATTGTGTCATAACCACTACACTGTCCGTCGCACAGTAGAGAAGTTACCGTATAGACAGGAGAAGCTCGCACAGCCTCGCAGGTAATCTTTTACTGTCTAAAGTCAGCCCATGGCATAAATAGAAGCAAAATGACAAAATAATTAATCAGAATACTTACCAAAAGTTGCTCCAGGTCGCGCTTCGCCGTCTTTGTGCACGATTAAAATTTGTCTTGGCACAGCTACTAAAAGATTTACAACTGTCAGTCAGTTTGCTCACGTGACATCTACGTCGTCAAGCTCAGTTTGAGCCTGCACAGAACGCTTGGCTATCTGGAAGGGAGTGCCCATGTTGAGCTTCAACTCTCTCCGTTGAAATCAACGGGGTCGCTGTGTCCATTTCTTTTACTGTCTATGATCACAACAGACTGGGCCATCTGACCAATCAGAGCAAAGAAGACCAATCACAACAGACTGAACCATCTGACTAATCAGAGCAGAGAAGACCAATCACAACAGACTGGGCCATCTGACCAATCAGAGCAAAGAAGACCAATCACAACAGACTGAGCCATCTGACCAATCAGAGCAGAGAAGACCAATCACAACAGACTGGGCCATCTGACCAATCAGAGCAGAGAAGACCAATCAGAACAGACTGGGCCATCTGACCAATCAGAGCAAAGAAGACCAATCACAACAGACTGAGCCATTTGACCAATCAGAGCAAAGAAGACCAATCACAACAGACTGAGCCATCTGACCAATCAGAGCAGAGAAGACCAATCACAACAGACTGAGCCATCTGACCAATCAGAGCAAAGAAGACCAATCACAACAGACTGAGCCATCTGACCAATCAGAGCAGAGAAGACTAATCACAACAGACTGAGCCATCTGACCAATCAGAGCAGAGAAGACCAATCACAACAGACTGGGCCATCTGACCAATCAGAGCAAAGAAGACCAATCACAACAGACTGCGCCATCTGACCAATCAGAGCAGAGAAGACCAATCACAACAGACTGCGCCATCTGACCAATCAGAGCAGAGTAAACTCTCAAGAAAGGGAATGGGGGGTTAGAGAGAATCCTTGATTGAACGGTTTCAGACACTATGAGAAAAGAGGTAATGCTGTTGTGTATTATGAAAAAATTAAAGGGTTTTTCTAAACTTGGATGCATTTAAACCAGAGGAATGCAGTGGTGTTCTGCGTCAAACAAGCACAGAGAAGAGGCGGTATTTATCACAAGAACTAATCATATCCTATCATAACCAATCATAGTGCGATGGAAGCATTGCCTCAACTCAAATGATTTTCCCCCATTTATTCTCCATTACTCCCCACTAAACCCAGCTCATGCTTTAGGGGGTCTGTTAAAAGTCAAAGGGCTCAGGGGAGGCACGCGAGATGTGTACTCAACTGCAACTTTACCTGCTGGTGTTGCTGTTGTACAGTGATTTATACACTTTTTAATGTCACATCTTTTCATATTTGCATTGTTTTATTTTTGTAATATGTTGAGAAAGTTTACCCTTGCACTATCTTAAGGTCATCATTGGTTTGTGCAATCTTATTTACAATGTTATAGGTAGCTGAATTGCAAAGAAAGGCTGATTTTGTAATCATTTAGAAAGAAATGAACTGGCTTACCGCTCTCTGCCGTGTCATATAGAGAGTTTTCCTTCATTTCTCTGGCATTGGAACTGCTTACAGTAACAGGATCATAGATGCAACTCTCTCTCTCTAATCTTTGTTCAGCCTCGATGTTCTGAAAAGCATTAAGTGGTTTTAAAGTGTGACATCTGCACCTGAATGTGTCCATTATGTGTTACAAGCAATTAGCAAAACGCTCATCATCATTATGTGCTGTGATTTGATGCCATTCAACCTACAGGGAACGCCTGCTCGCACAGACTCCTGATCCAGTCCTTCACCTCCGAATGGTGGGAAGCGAAGAAGTAAAGTTTATCTGAGGTTTCGAGAAGAAAGGCAGCGCAGTCTTTGGGGCGGTCAGCCATCTCGCACTCTGATATGCGGATGCATTCTCGCAGCCGGATCACCTGTTTGTAGTCGGGTTTGCGTTTGGCGGAGCCCTGTTTGATGGAGCTCTGTTTGATGGAGGAGTGTTTGTGCTCGTACAGCTCCAGTCGTGCGATGTTGCGCCTGCCCTCAGCCACCACCACACACCACACCTTCCTCCATCGCTGAAGAGGACACATGCACATTATGGTATGTTAGCCACTCAGTTGGAGTTTTTTTTTTTAATGTTAAATCCTTTATACACTCAAGTAGTGATTTTCAAATGGTTTGGCCATTGGTCCCACAAGTCTTTAAGCATGACCCAATTTTATTTAAAGGGTTAGTTCACCCAAAAATGAAAATTCTGTCAGTATTTACTCACCCTCATGTTGGTCCAACCCCGTAAGACCTTCGTTCATCTTCGGAACAAAAATTAAGATATCTAAGATATTAAGATCACTCCTGTATTGAGAATGAGGAGTTGACGTCATTTTACAGTGCCCCTCCCCTTTCCGCCATGTTGGTAGGATTCCCACGACAAAACAGTATTGATTACGTGTGTTTTTAGCTCGGTAGTAGAGGAGTTTCTCACAATACCGCACTGTTTTACCATGCCTGGAAGTATCTGCTGCGTTAAAAACCGATAAAAACCCTGGTAACCGATAGCGTCACCTACCATCATGGCCGACCGGCTCAGACCCCGCCCAAATAGGCACGTGACTCCTCATTCTCAATACTAGTCCATAGGCTTTTTGAGGGAATGACTTGCTGGCCTCAGAAGTCATTAAAGGACATCGTTAAAATAGTCCAAGTGACAGGGGCTCAATCTTAAGTTTATCAAACGACGAGAACACTTTTTGTGCGCAAAAACAACAAAAATAACGACTTTATTTCAACTATTCGTTTATTTCTCCCTCTGCCTCGAGTCGGGTTACTAGTTTAATAGCGTAAGCTTCTGTTATTGTGCGTCACACGCATCACACACATGACCAGCGTCGGCCAATAGTGAGCCTACGTGTGACGTAGCTCTACGCAATCACACTACGTTAACTGACTACAGGCCCAAAGAGAAGGAAGTGAATAGTTGAAATAAAGTCGTTATTTTTGTTTGTTTTTGCGCACAAAAAGTATTCTCGTCATTTGATAAAGTTAAAATTGAGCCACTGTAGTCACTTGGACTATTTTAACGATGTCTTTGATTGCTTTTCAATGCCAGCAAGTGTCATTCCCTCAAGAAGCCTATGGACTAGTATGCAGGATTGATCTTAATATATTAAATATCTTAATTTGTGTCCTGAAGATGAACGAAGGTCTTACGGGGTTGGAACAACATGAGGGTGAGTAAATACTGACAGAATTTTCAATTTTGGGTGAACTAAATATGAACCAAGCAAATTTATTTCAAAAAAAAAAAAATGGTTCTGTGAGAGACTTTTTGTTTAGTTACAAAGAAGACTGACAACATATCATTTGACAAGATACTGGGAACGCGTTTTTCTTATGCATTTTTTACTTAAACTTCGTCTGACCGAAGAGTCAACGACTTTCACTCACGTCTTTCAAAATAAAAGTCTCCCATCGGAAAACTTTTAGAAACTTTTGAAATTATTTAGACATTATTTATACATTTTTATTACACTGTAAAACATTTTTTTCAAGATTTGTTATCACAACATATTTTCTTTTGTCAAATCAACTTTATAATAGTTTATTTAGTTGAGATAACTTATTATTTTGAGTTTCTGATGATTAAATTAATCTCCTTCATTGAATTAACTCACTTTTTCCAGTTTAATCAACTTAAAATTTTAAGGCAAACCAGGTTACTTACTTTTTTTAAGTTAAACCAACAATATTTTTTTTACACTGTAGTAATCACAACACTTTTTCTTTTGTCAAATCAACTTAAATAATTTATTTAGTTTAGATAACATATAATTTTGAGTTTCTGATTAAGTTAAACCATCAATGTTTTTTACAGTGTATAGCCCACTAGTTCAGAAACACAGCACTAAAGTCATAATTTATATTACTGCATTACAAATATCAAACCAAGAAGTATTTATTTTAAAGAAATAATGCACAAAATCTCTTTCAGGCAAAACATTTCTAAAAAAAAGTTTAAAATGATAAAAATGTGCTCATTTCAAAATGTATTTGACTTTAGTGATGATTAACAATTGGATGAACTACTGTGTATGAAATATTTGAACAATCTCTCAATATTAACAATATTAAAACAGTAATATTATGAATATTATTGCGATTTAAAATAACTGTTTTCTATTTTAATGTATATTAAAATTTGATTTATTCCTGTGATGGTAACGCAAAATGTTCAGCATCATAACTCCAGTCTTCAGTACATGATAATTGAGAAATCATTCTCTTTTACTGATTTACTGCTCAAGAAACATTTCTTATATCAATGTTGAAAACAATGTGCTGCTTAATATTTTTGTGGAAACCACATATATTTTATTGTGATCTATTTTTAAAAAATGATTAATGGGGTCAGTTTTGCGCACAGTATTGCAACAGATCTCGGCAGGGTTTAGTCTGACGATGCATTTTGAATCCACAGCCATTCAAGAGTGTGAATAAATTGTGTCTTTAGTTTACCTTGTGAAAAAAAAAATGGTGCAAATAATCACAATATTTTACAGCTCTGAAAAGGACATCTGGTCTCACCTTGCCGAAGCGTTGCTGATGAAAATAAAGGGTCCCTTTTCTCCTGATGTCCTCATCCATAGTTCTTCAGCTGGCCTTTATCTTGTTTTTCTCTCCTCCCTTTCACTTTCTTTAGGTTACCTTGATTCCCCTTTGCTTTTAAACTGTTTGGATGACTATGAGATGCATTGCTGTGAATGGCGGACTGACCTTAGGTACATTGTCAGCCTTACTTCCTGTCAAAGATGTCTAAATCAGTCACTTGGAGAAGTTAGATGAGTGGGCGTGTGTCTATACGTCTGTGGTAGGGTTGGTTTCCTACTCATATGATTCTTCCTGTTTGACACTATTTAGGGCTGTAGACTATATCTTCTATGAAAAGTGTGAACACGTTCAATAACATCCTACTGCTACCACATCAGAATCAATCACAGGATGCTCTAACAATAATGTAATATAAAGTTCTGCATTATTCCAACAATGGCAGTCCAAATAAATTGACATGATCTGCAGGATTTTTTAAATATAATTTTCTAGGAATTAAAAAATAAATCAAATTGTGCATATATGCACTTTTGTCACCTTAAGTAATGTGAAAATAACGTTTAGGAAACTAACCAGTGGATGTCAAATGAACGCAAGACTTTTCTTGCCTTGGGCCTACAGTCTGATCGTGTATCTAGAGTGCCCCTTTGTGACCAAAATGGGCTATTACAACACATTCACAAGCTGTACATCACAAACGGACTCTCTCATAAGACATTTTTGAAAAGCTGCTGCTGCTTAAATGTTGTTGTTTAGCATCTCTAACTTTTTTCTTTCTTTTCTTTCAATAACCACTGAGAAATGTACATTTGTTTTAGTATTAGAACTACAGTGTGTTTTGAAATGGGTCAAAAGGTCATATCTACAGCTGAAAACAGCACTCTGCAAATTCCATCTTTGGCTATGTGACATCCTGCTGCGTGTCAACTGGCCAATCAGTAGCAGCTTTGCATAGTCATACCAGGTCATACCTTTTATGAGGTTGGGTAGTTGACATAAAAGAGAAACATTTCATGCGGTGTGACAGGGTTGTTATTATAGTTGACTAAAACTGTGTGTGTGTGTGTGTGTGTGTAGTTGGCAAGGCAATGTTTCTTGATTCTCATCACTTGAAGTACCAACTAGAACTAAACTGATTGTAAAATATATAAAGGACATATTTATTTAAAAAATAATAATGATATAAATAACAAAAGCACAACAAAATGACATAAATTTTTCCTACAATATTAAAATAAGATAAAAACTAAAATAGTATTTCAGTGATACTAAAGTTAAACTAACAATGGTGTGACACTAATCTTTTCTGTGTGCTTTTGTCATTTAAAAAAATATACTTATGTGTATCTTTATTAACATGTCAACTTGAGTTATAGCTAATAATTTCAGTACTTAATTTATTTTTTATTTTATGTCTTATTTTAATTGTAAGATTTTTCATTTAAGTTTTTATTTATAGTTTTATTTTAGCTTTATTTTAGTTACTGTGAACACCGTGAACTCTTTCCCCACCAGCGTTTAAAAAAAAAAAAAGTTGCCAGCCACAGCAGCGTTTTTGACCTCTCACAAAAATGTAATTGCCCCCAGGATATTTTTTTATGAATATCTGAACATGCAATATGTAAAAATAAAGAACTCGGCTTTAAAAAAAAATGTATGCTTTATTTTTTTATAACCACTTGAATGGATAAGTTTCATAAAATAGCAACATTATAAGCAAAAAGCTGAGAAAATCACGATTTTGTCAAAAACTGCATTGGATTCAGAACAATGATCAAAACAGATGGAGTAGAACATCAACACCTCTTGTAGCTCGTCCTGGGTCGACATTTTTTTCAGTAACTTTAAAGTTTATGACCGTGTTAATTTACATATGCATTACAAATGAGATCACTTTGCTTGTTTTTGCATCTTCTTCGCAAGTGTTTTGATCAGGAGAGATTTAGTTAGTCTTTCAGAAGATGGAAATGGAAAAATTCTGTCAATGGCAGTAAGAGTTCATTGCTAATTATTTTATCATTACTATGCACATTTTCTGAACACATATTGAGAGACTAGATGGAACAGTTGTATTTAAGAATATAACATTTTTCACAGGAACACTTAAAAATTAAATACTGATACCTCCTGCAAATGTTGATGTTCATAAAAATAATTCAGACTCAAAGCTATTCTAAAGTCACATGTTGATAAAAAAAATAAAAAACAATGTTGAAATAGAAGGGAACAAACTCTGGATGAAAAAGCATTTAATCCTGTCGCCGGCTCCACGCTCTCTTTCACTTCATTCCTTCGAGTGAAACTTTCAGCCGTAATAAACCCTGGAGGGCACAGTCATCAAAATGAGACACAGGTTGTGTCCAATGAATATGTAGTTACCTCACAACCACTTAAAAGTGATGGCGCAGTGGATAAGGCACATGCCTTTGGTGTGAGAAACCCTGGTTCAAATCCACTGTGAGACACCAATGTGTCCCTGAGCAAGACACTTAATCCCTAGTTGCTCCAGAGACGTGCGACCTCTGTACAGCAATTGTAAGTCGCTTTTGATAAAAGCGTCAGCTAAATGAATAAATGTAAATGTAAAAAGTATGTATATATTATGAGTTTGTGTCGTAAATGTAATCAGGACGTACTACATGTGCCATGTTGTTATTATCATGTGACCTACCAGCCTCACTGTCATTCACAAATCCTCTCCTGTGGCCTCATGGGATAGTAGTGTTCATCATTTGCACGCTTCAGAATCTTGGTGGAAATAGGTGCTTTTTGCCTGCCCTTTTATGAGTGCTGTGAATTCTGAAATACTTCTTTTGACACATACTGGTTTTTGCCTACTATATAATAGGGAAGGATGTGATTTCGGATGCAGCCGAAAAACGAAAAACAGTAGGCCAAGTTCCTGGATGACCTACTAGCCTACTTCCGGGTAGATTCTTTACTATCACATGAGACCACAGGAGATGATTTATGTGACGATTATAACAACATGATGATGTAGAGTGCAATTTATAGTGCACACATTCATACCACATTATAGAATGCACTTTTTTTTAACGGTCGCAAAGTTAATTCAAATTAAAATATACGTAGTCTACCTACTCAGACAGTGTGTGATTTTGGACACAGCAATTGTTGTGGAAACTATTTTCACTCAGAAATTGCTAGTAAATTTGACAATAAAATAAAATAAATAAATAAATAACACCTATACATTGAATTGTGAAGCGGAAACCCTGAAATAATATTTTTATAAGACCTACTCTAATACTTTTGACTCATAACTTTGTAATGTGTAAAATCTCGTAATAAGCGAAAGCCAATGTGCACTTTACAGGTGTAACAAAAGTCATTCAACGTAAGAACGCCCGCAGAAGCCTCTATTAACTTTAAATAAGAACTGTCAATCACGCTTAGATATAATTAGATTCATGAATCCACGTGACCTCTAATATCTGAATTCGCAGTTTCACTTTAAGAAGCATGTAAACAAAGGCTCTTTTCTGCGTTAGTTTCGACGGTGGAGGTTTGCCGTAACGGTATTCACGAAGCCTCGGACGCACATCTGGCTTTATCACTACCTGCGTCAATTGCGTAAATGTTCCAGTGATTGTGGGTAGATGCGCGCATGCTCATTGTCAGGGGGAGTGAGAGGAGCATGAATGGAGCAAAATGGCGGATCATGTGCAGGTAAGTCAATGATTTTGTTTTGCTATTATTAATTTAATCTATTGTGATCCACTGCAGTTTAACGCTAGATCCTGGGGCTTATTTCGGCGATGCGGACGTGTTTGTTTTAAATGCATGCGTCGCGCGGTTGAAGAGGTTGACTCGCATGCTTTATTGGATGCGATTATCAAGTGTTGACTTGTGGCCTGTCATCATGTTGATTTTAACTCTGTAGTCTAGGCGAACACACAACTTTGCCAGTCGTCTGAAAGTTGTTTTAAAGCAAGATGCAAAGACTTTTATTTTAAGCAGCAGAGATTGGTAGATCCAGAGAGATCAATTATACTACACTGCATGTAACTCTATAGCCACAGTGATGTTTTACATTGTAAACAAGGCATCATCCCTCATCCAACCGCTTGCAAAGCAATAAATACACTGGCCTGTATACATAAGCGATTGTAACTCACGATCAGCGAGACTTTTTCCTAGAGAAAAACCTCTCGGTAAGCCCAAAAGCGTATTTGTATTCGGTTATCTGTCATTATGTTGTTGCTAGACGCAAATGTGTCCAGTTTGCTGAGCTCTCGCGCTGTTAGCCTGTAGCTCGCATGCTAACTCATGAGATTCTCCCGCGCGCCGCCTCGTCAAACCAAAAGCCAGAACAGAATGGGGTTTTCTTGAAAATTATAAATACCCTATGCGCGTTAGCGTCCTTCGCAGGTTGTAAATGTGTAATTGTTTTTAAAGTAATCCAAATATATATAAATATTATATTTTCTTCACCTGTAACTAAGCGGGTGAGAAGCGTTAAATGACTCCGCGGAATAACTGCCATTATTGGATGACGTAAATGTAGCGAATCGGAAATATCCTTTTTAAAATTTATTTTCACTATATTATGCATTATATTTAATGCTGTATTTTGTTATGATTGCTCTGAGGCGTGTTTTAAATAATCGATTTAATTACATTGAAACATAAAAAAACATGATATTCTTATTAAATTTATTTGACTATCACGACATTGTTCTTGATAACAGGAGTGAGCCAACCAAACTTACCAACCAAAACAATTTTGTGTAATTGACAAATAATGGCTGTTTAGAATTTAAAGATATTCTTTGTAATTTTATACTCGTCATTCACTTTTGACAGACTCAACACGGTTGTCATAAAAATCTCGACATGGACCGCATTTTTCGGGCTTTACTGTTGCGTTAAACACTGTCAGACACGGGCACTGCTTGTCATGTGTCATCTTGTAAACAAGCTGCTCAAGACAGGTCATATTTGAGGCCAAAGGTTAAGGAGGTCACGAGGTTAAACACAGTGTTGAGTAACTGCATATTCCCATGAAACTCAATGAAGTGGGGGACGATGCAGTTGTTAACCTGACTCTCATTTGCACAGGCTACAGTAAACATGAGCTTTCCAGTGTTGTTGCCACGCGTCCTGTTACTCTGTAGGTGGTGAAGAAGCCATTCCATTTGCAGTAATAGATTATTAATTACCATCAGAGCAGCCCTGTGTCTTACAGGCCATGTGAGTGTTGCTGATCACATCTTGGTAGTGTAACACTCATTTTATGCATAAACCAACCAACCAATACTTCAATATATGTGTTGACGATTATCAAAGTATTGGTTGTGAGTTTATATGACTCAGCGGTATTTCTGGCTTTAACATTCAATTCATTTCTTGTTTAACATCTCAAAAAGTTGGTACATGGTGTCTTCATTTTGTGTTTTCCAACCTAGAGTTGTCTTATCTTGTCTGTGCAGCTCCTTGCTAATTCAACTTCTTTTTTATCTATTAGGATGCAAATGCATTTTTTTGTATCTTTATGGGGTCCTCCCTGTTCTTTTAGGGTATCTTGATTTGGCTATCACCAGGTTGCATCAAGCGTACATGGGTATGCCATGAAATACTAACTTAAAGTTGTGAAATGCACAAGAAAGTGTGCATATTTAAACGTTTTTGCACAAGTATTAAACTACTTAACATTGTTTAAATTTTGAGAGAGTTTATTAGTTAAGGTTCAGAATTGTTTTGCATAACAAGCATGAACATTTTCATTGAGACTGTACGTTTGTTGCAGCTGCTGTTTTTCTGCTGATGCTGATTTTGTGTAGTTGGTTATGCTCCACAAGTGAAAGGACTGTTTGGAGTCAGAGGCTTGTTGCTGCATAACACGAGTTAGCTCGTTCATTCTCCTCTATTATTACCAAAGTGTATCACTGACTTTTTCTCCAATCACCATAGTCTTTCATGCATGCATGAACCAGATACTCCCTTAGTTACCTAGAACAATAACTTGTGGATGTGATGGCTGTGCATTAACTTGCTTAATGGAACACAAGTGTCCGTCTAGTTTTTCATAATCCCGCTGTTTGTTGTTATGATTGGACACTGAAGCTCTCTGGCCTCTGGTTTAAGATTGTAAGACTTGACAATACTTAAAATTGTGTCTCTTGTTGTTGTTGAGGAGATCTGCTGTGGAGCTATTTAATGACTCTAAAAATTCCATGTGGTGTAACCAAGTAAAAATGAACTACAGATTTGCTTAGATCTTGGTTTCTCTTGATCTTATTTTTTTAAGGTTAATGTATTATTTTTGCAAATAATAAATTGTTGAATTGTTAATTCATAAATATACATTTTTGTTAAGTCACACCACATGAACTAACTAACTTTATTGACCTTGATGCACTGATATAAGATTCGGCACCACATGACTGATGATTTGGCGTGCAAAAATGGTCTTTTTTAAAAAAAACGAAAATAAAGATTATGCCAAGCTACTGAGTTTTCTTTAATGTTTTATATATCAGATCAGGGCACTTAACTCTGACATTTTTTTAATACTTTATTTCCCCCCAAAACTATCAAAATAGATTTTAATGTAGAAATAAAAACATGCTAATCTCAGAAGAGGTCTATTCAGGTCATGCGTTTTAGTGTATTTTTTTAGGGCTGTCAAAGATTAATCGCGATTAATCACATCCAAAATAAAAGTTTGTGTTTACATAATATATGTGGGTGCACTGTGTATAATTATTTTTTATATATATATAAATACACACACATGCTTGTATATGTAAGAAAAAAATATTATTTATATATAATATATTTATATATAATATAAATTATATATAAATCTTTATAAAACGGTTAGTTCGAATCCTTGATTCTGATTGGTCAAGAGCTGTGCTTTATTCACGATAAAACACGGCTATGACCGCTTCACCCAACGGTTCTATTGTTCGCTGCGCAACACCGCAGTTCTATGTTGTTTTTTGTTTGAGTTTTTATGCGTTTTACACATTGAAACGTTGTTGCTGTTCACGCTCAGGGACTATTTATTTTAGTGGAAGGAAGGCTTTTAGTGATTTTACTTCAAGAAAGTTGCACTACTACATTGGTTTTTACTTTAATATTGTGTGGCAACTGTTTTATAAAAGCAATAAGGTACTCGAGGCAAGTGCTGTATCGTAATTAAGTAACGGGTGAAGGGGTTGCAGGCACTCCAATACAGCACAGCCTCTCGTACCTTATATTGCTTACATATACAATAATATTTCTTAAATATATACAAGCATGTGTGTGTATTTATATAATATAATTATTCACAGTGCACCCACATATATTATGTAAACACAAACTTTTATTTTGGGTGCGATTAATCACGATTAATCGTTTGACAGCCCTAGTATTATTGATGAAAATAGTAGATGTGGTTAAATGAATGTCATTGATTGACCAAATCCATCATCTAGCTTGATTATCAGTGCTAATATATTTCTGCAAATAGAGTTTGTAGAACTTGGTTTATGAAAATAGTTTTGACATGTGCTTAGTAAGTTCTTGGAAGACTGCAAAAACAATAGGAATTTATTTTATTGGTCCATCTCACAAAAAATCCTCTGGATGTTTTTTTTTTTGTTTGTTTGTTTGTTTTTGCTGCCACTAAACTCATGTGGGTCTCTTTTTCAGAGCCTAGCCCAGCTAGAGATCCTGTGCAAGCAGCTATATGAGACCACAGACACCACCACACGTCTGCAGGCCGAGAAAGCTCTAGTGGAGTTCACCAACAGTCCGGACTGCCTGAGTAAATGCCAGTTGTTGCTGGAAAGAGGAAGTGTAAGAATTAAACTTTTTGAAAGCTGTGAAGAGCAGGATATCTGAAATGAGCAGACAGCAATGTTCTCAAAAATCCTAGTTCTTCCTCCATTAGTTAGGGTTAAGCAACTATTTAAAAGTGTTTGGTTAGTTTTCCTCGAATTACCTGACAGTGTATTTGCTTACTTCACAGTCCTCGTACTCGCAGTTGTTGGCTGCAACGTGTCTCTCCAAGTTGGTGTCTCGTACAAGCAACCCACTTCCCCTGGAGCAGCGCATTGACATTCGTGAGTTTATACCATCCACCAATTTGAGATTTAGACCTCATAAAACCTTGAAGAGACAAAATTGTGTAATGTCTCATTGGTTCCTCAGGAAATTATGTGCTCAATTATCTGGCAACCCGGCCAAAGCTTGCTGCCTTTGTGACCCAAGCCCTGATCCAGCTTTATGCCAGAATCACCAAGCTTGGCTGGTTCGACTGCCAAAAGGAAGACTACGTCTTCAGGAATGTTATAGTCGACGTGACAAGATTCCTGCAGGTAGGCATAACAAACATTGATAAGGTGAGAAAACAAAATCCATGTGGATATATACATGTTCTTTGGATTTGGTCTATTTGATGAGATTTATGGATGGATTTATGATGTTTGATGCAATTCTCAGTCACCTTGAATTTTGCGAGGACTTTTGTCCTTATTCTTGAAACATGAAAACAAAAGTTTTTATGTAAATCCTTCCTAAAACAAATCTTATGTAAACTGTTGAATCAGAATGCAAGTTAAATACATTAATTTGAAATTTCCATACAAAAGGAATTAACAAATTACTCACATTAGCTGTACTCCTGTTTCATGAATGAGGACTTTTAAACGTAAACCGCACATCATTTGTGAAACATTCGGTGCTGAAAATTCAAGAACAATTGCAGTTGGTGTTTATGTTTCCTAGTGCACTCTCAGTGAATGACATAATTTAAATGCTAATGCAAATCACATCTTGGTTTTGCTTTAGTTTGTTTAAATTTCTGCGCAGTTTGTTTAATTTTTGGCAAAAGATTTTCATTTCAGTGCATCACTCGAGCTAAGGTGTCTCATGAGAAGTGTTTGACAGTTGTCACTCATTCTTTCATACTCAGTGTAATGGCATAGATGATAACATTGCGTGTTATTGGCAAATTAGGAAAAAAATGCAAATATCAATATTCAACTGACTACTAGTGTAAATTGACTAGTGTTCAGGAGGTTTGCTTGGTTGAAAATATTTTTAACATGCTACATTCTTATGATACTTTCAGGATAGTGTTGAACATTGCATCATAGGAGTCACAATTCTTTCCCAGTTAACCAATGAGATTAACCAAGTAAGTTTCTCCGCTCAAAGCAGTATGTCTTCATTTAGTCTTTCCTTAGTGTTTCGAACTTTCGATATTTTTTTGCTGTTTGTTTAGGATCAATAACCGTATGCCACATTAAAGATGAATTACTGATTCCTTGATTCTTCTTATGTTCCCCCAGGCAGACTCCTCACATCCACTTACAAAACACAGGAAGATTGCGTCATCTTTTCGAGATTCCTCTTTGTTTGACATCTTCACACTCTCCTGTAACCTCCTCAAGCAGGTGAGGCTATAGACTGCACCATGTATCTGTATATACTCCTTCACAACTGTTAAACCAGCTTTAAGTGAAGGTCTCAATGCGTTGTTCTGTTTGTCTGCAGGCATCTGGGAAGAACTTGAATCTAAACGATGAGAGCCAGCATGGGCTGCTCATGCAGCTACTCAAACTGGCCCACAATTGCCTCAATTTTGATTTCATCGGTACATCCACCGATGAGTCCTCAGATGATCTGTGCACCGTCCAGATCCCCACCAGCTGGAGATCAGGTGATCTACCATTTTTTGGCAAATAATGAAATGGTGCAAACAGTACTTGTTTAAAGTGTCTGTATTTTTTTTACCTTCTTTAGAGATGCTTATAAAGTCGAGTTGTCTTGTTTCAGAAATGTATTTTTCTCGTCTACAGTACCTTTTGAGACTTCAGTATGCAAATAATTTTTATAATGGCTGGCTAAGCAACATTTCAAAATGATTATTCGTGGTTGACATTTTTGCATATATGGTACCGTACAAAAGTTCGGAGTCAGTAAGATTGTTGTCAAAGATATATTCAGCAAGGACATCAAATTCATCAAAAGTGAAAGTAAAGATATTTATAATGCTACAAAATATTTCTATTTGAAATAAACTGTTTTTTTTTTAACTTTGTTCATCAGAGAAAAAAACTTTCTACAATAATATTAAGCAGGACAACAGTTTTCAACATTGATGATAATAAGAAAAGTTTCTTGAGCAGCAAATCAGCCAATGAGAATGATTTCTGAAGGATCATGTGACACTTAAAACTGGAGTAATGATGCTGAATGAATTATTATTTTAATATTTTAAATTCTAATGCAATTTCACAATATTATATTTTTACTGTATGTTTGATCAAATAAACGCAGCTCTGGTGAGCATTAGACTTGAAATAAATGTGACCGTACCGAAACTTTTTGAATAGTAGAGCGCATGTTTAGTTTAAAATGAGGCATTCATGTTTAACTCTTGTATGCTTTTGGTTATTTTTTCTCATCTGCAGCCTTTTTGGATTCCTCCACCTTGCAGCTGTTTTTTGATTTGTATCATTCCATCCCTCCCTCGCTGTCTCCCTTGGTGAGTGTCAGATAAACAGCATGATATGCATATAAAGATAAACAAGCCTTTGCCTCATAGATACTGTTAGACTCTTCCTCTAGTGAAGACACATTTGATGTGAACTGTTTGTTTGTCTTTTAGGTTTTGTCTTGTTTAGTCCAAATAGCATCTGTCCGGAGGTCTCTCTTCAACAACGCAGAGAGAGCAAAGTTCCTTTCCCATTTAGTAGATGGTGTGAAGAGAATATTGGAGAACCCTCAAGTATGCTGTCCATCTTTATATTCTTTCAAGTGTCTTTATAAATATATTGTAGTATTAGATATGTGTATAATAAACGTCATTGCAATTAAGCATGATTATTTCTGACTTTGCGTTTGGTCGAAATGGTATTTGAATGCACACTCGCTTTCAATTTCACGTTTGAATTTGCATTCGCTGCCTAACGGTGGTTGAGGGCAGGGTCAAATCGGATTGTGCCCACCTTGGTAGAGTATGTGTCTTCATATAGCGATTTGCTATATTGGTCATTTGCCAGTATTCTCCAATATTGACAAGTTAAAGCTGACTGGGTGGGTAAGAATAACAGTTAGTTATTTTGTTTATGGGTCAGTATATATCTAGCTTTCTGCCTACTTCAAATCAGACAGAAAATAAAGCAATGTGGTAAGATTGCATTTATTTGAATGAATTAGTGAAAGAGAGAGAGAGAATGTTTGTGCATGATTTATGAAATCTACACATAGGTATATTGTTGATTGGGTGACGTGGCAATATTTTTTTTTTTGTTTATTTTGCAGAGTTTGTCGGACCCAAACAACTACCATGAGTTCTGCCGACTACTGGCTCGACTGAAGAGTAACTATCAACTGGGAGAGCTGGTTAAAGTAGAGAACTACCCTGAGGTCATAAGACTGATTGCTAATTTCACAGTAACAAGTCTGCAGGTGAGTGAAAGACTTGGTATGCTACAAGTTTTTAAAATGTGAAAATTGGCTTTTCAAAGACTGATAATAATTTGACGTGTTCCAGCACTGGGAGTTTGCCCCCAACAGTGTGCACTATCTGCTGAGCCTGTGGCAGCGTTTGGCGGCATCTGTTCCTTATGTGAAGGCCACAGAGCCCCACATGCTGGAGACCTACACCCCTGAAGTGACCAAGGCCTACATCACGTCTCGCCTGGAGTCCGTGCACATCATTCTGAGGTAGAGTGAGCGCCATCCAGTGTTGTCACGATACTGATCAGTGTTAAAAACAAAATCAATGTCTAAATTAGATTGTTTGAATGACGCGTTCATCTGTCGATTTTATTTAGTTTTTATGCCTTGTACAAAGTCAAGCAACAGGTGCTTGGCAAGGTTATACAAATACTGGTCAACCTTAGTTTCTATTTACAATATCCTTTCTATACAGGGATGGTCTTGAAGACCCCTTGGATGATGCTGGGTTGGTGCAACAGCAGCTGGACCAGCTGTCTACTATCGGGCGGTGCGAGTATGAAAAGACCTGTGCCCTGTTGGTGCAGCTCTTCGATCAGTCGGCCCAGTCATACCAGGAGCTGCTTCAGTCCACCAACTCCAGCACAATGGACATAGCAGTGCAGGAGGGTGAGCTTGAAACGCCTCACATTTCTTGATGCACAAACATACATAATGATATAACCCTAACATTATGAGTGTTGTCCAGGTCGTTTGACGTGGCTGGTGTACATCATTGGTGCAGTCATTGGAGGGAGAGTATCCTTCGCAAGCACGGATGAGCAAGATGCCATGGATGGGGAGCTTGTGTGTCGGTGAGGAATCGGCACCTAAGGCTGTTCAGCATTCAAGTTTCACATGCAATTTGATCATTCTAAAATAATTCTTTGAAAGTAGGGGTTCAACGTCTTCAGATTTTTTTGTCGACATTTATTATGTGATGAAAGTTTACAAAGCTAATTGAATATAATAAATCATTTTTTTGCGGTTATCGGTTGGCCTAGAATTTTTATTTCAGTGCATCCCTGGTTAAAATCCACAGCTATCATAGCACATGCTGAATGTATATTTTATATAGCATGTTTATTTAATGAACAAGTAAGATATAACTCGTCACTGGCATTAGCTTAGTCATTGCTTATAGAGTCAATGTAGCTTTCTCCATAGTCTCTTGTTCAGCACAACGGTAAATACTTCAACATAACACAAACTATTTTAAATTTCAAACAACAGAATTAAACACTAACAGGCCTTTCCCTTCACTAAAAACGAATAAAATAAAATAACAGTTCATTTCAACATTTATTCTCCTTGTTGTGAACTCAGTAGTGAAGATCAGAAGACTCGGGTGTATCTAAGCTCTTTATTGCTGTTGCATCGCTGTAGTCTGCTTCGTCCAAAAATCTTAGCCAAGTCTGACTAAACTAAAATACAAACTGTTCATATACCTTACAAGGGGGAGGGATTTACATTGAGGCGGGAGAAACTCTCAAACAAAGCATGTAAATGAGGTATACAGGTTTTGGAACCTGCTCAGCAAGAGAAACGAGAACAGGACTTCTCGTACTGAGACGGGAACTTACTAACAACGGGTAACGGAGAGTTCAGGACAGTCAGGAATATCCCACTGGGAAGCCGTAACGTTTGCAGAGATTTCCTGATCTCAATTATGAACTTTCTCAATCTAAATTAAACATTTAAATAAATTTGTAATCCTACATCCTTATCCAGTCCTATATAAACCATGCAGGAACTAAAAAAGCCACTATATCCAATAACATTTAAATGTAATCTTTAGCCTATCTAAGAAAAAAAAAAAAATTTAATGATGTGATTCCTAATTTCCCTTCTATTAAAAAACAGTTCTTTTATGGATTTTGTGCTCAAATTTGTGGCAAAGTGGTAAAGAATTAAATTAATTAATCATTTAAAATGACTAGTTCTTTTGGTTTTTGCTTAAATATAAACTTCATCTTTTGTCATTTTCAGAGTTTTGCAGTTAATGAACCTCACAGACTCTCGGCTGGCTCAAGCTGGAAATGAGAAGCTCGAGTTAGCCATGCTAAGTTTCTTCGAACAGTTTCGGAAAATCTACATTGGTGACCAGGTGCAAAAATCATCAAAGGTAATTTTTCAGTTATTTTACAGTTTAGCATATGAGCACAAATTTCAAGCTGTGGTTTGTTTAGACATCAAATGTAAAAAATAAAATAAAAACATTCAGCTTGTATAGATTTGATCATTGATCTCTCGTAACTTTCAATGGGTTTTGTCTTTGAACTCTCTGCATGGTTGAATTTTGCAATGGTGTTGTGTCTGGTCTTTGAAAAGAGACCGTCGATTCAGCTTTTTTTGTATGCTTAGTTGTGGGTATCACTCTTTTAGTCTGGCTTTCTAAATTGACCTGTAGTTTTGAAAACAAAATAGTTTGTTTTTTGGGGAGATGAGTGTCCTGTCTCAACTAACCAGAAAGCTTAAGTTTTCTCTCTTGTTGCTCCAATTCTCTGATCACTCACAGTTTGGAAGATAAGTGCACATAGAGAGACTTGCTGTTCCTTTAAAGGCCAATTCACATTACACCGCCACGGACAGACGGCAACAGTTTTGTTGAATCAGTGTGGGATCCTATCGGTGTCTGTTGGCATCTTTCAGAGTTTGTTTTTCGCCGAGTGAACATTGTCGGGTTGTGAAATTTTTGAGAAGTGTTCAATTGGCGTACTGTAAGCATTGGTGGGCGTGTGTTGGTGCAGTGTGAATTGGCCTTAAAACTGTGTTTAGTTCTGCTTTAGCATTAACTCCTTAAACACCTTAAAAATGCTCCTCATAACTGTAAAACAGTGCAAAAATCAATATGAAGGATTATTTGATCTTGATGTTTTGACTTTAATGGCTAATTTGTGTATAGTGTCCCAAATGGCACACTTAATTTGGATTGTAGAGATGCAGACTTTACAGTGTACAATTACCCAACAGCCCATGCAGCGTATTTTAGACTCAGGGAAGGGTGCCATTTGTGACTGGTCCATAATCAGGACTCAACTACAAAGATTTTTTTTCCTTCCAAGAATTTATTTTTCGTGTTAGAAAGATTTGGAGACTGAATTTGCCATTAAATATCACATTAAGTTTTTAATTTGTAAATGAAATTGAACTGCTTCATCCCCCTATTCTCACCAAACATAAGGTTATGGTTTTGTGAGAAATGCCTGTGAATCGTCACAGTTGCTTGCTTCTTGTGGCTTGGTTCCCCAAACTTTTTATTTTTCGGTAGTTTAACATATTAAATACTTTATAAAATGGATGTTTCCAATCTTGCAGGCTGATTGGTTAATCAGTGTTTCCCACAGGATTTTGTGAAACTGTGGTGGGTGGACCTTGGTCCCTCTAAGGGGGTTCGGGGTCACGCTTTCTTTTTATCTTGTTTGACAGCAATAGCACAGAACACAACATTAAAGACCTTTTATGGGTTTTTTTAAGAGGTTTAAACATATTTTTGGGCCGCCACAGTCTTGTTAATAAACAGAAAGTACTGAAATCTTTGTGGTGGTCAGTGCTGATGTTGTGGCACACGATAAATAAATGTTGTGGCAAACAGATAAATCAAAGTATGGGAAACACTGGATTAATACATCATACCATTTAAATACCATTTGTGCTGGATATATTAGTAAGATCTACAATATAAAACACCTGTTCAAGATGACATAAATTGATACTACTTTTGTTTTATCCCTAGTTGTATCGGAGACTATCAGAGGTTCTTGGCTTGAATGATGAGACCATGGTACTCAGTGTTTTCATTGGTAAAATGTGAGTATATGAGCACTAATCATAAATAAAATGAATGAGAAACCTTACTTTGTCAAAAATTATGAATGAAAAACATTTTTAATGAATAGTTTTGTTTTAATGCAGAATCACCAACTTGAAGTACTGGGGACAGTGTGAACCAATCACATCTAAGACACTACAGCTCCTCAATGACCTCTCTATTGGATATCCTTACACACTTGTTGCTTTAAATAAAAGTCCATCAACCTCAGTAACAATGCTGACACTGTTTTATTTAATGTAAATCTATAGAACAGTCTGTGATGTTTTTGATGATAAATATTTTCTTATGTGTTTCCTTAACCTTATTTGGCACATACAGCAGTGTTAGAAAACTAGTGAAACTCAGTGCTGTCCAGTTCATGCTAAACAACCACACAGTAAGGGAACAACTTGAGCTTTTTTCTTTACTGAACTTGACCCTGTAGTATAAATAATAAAATCGTAATTTCACTTTTAAAATAATATAAAAAAAAAAAAAAAGTTTCTTCAGTGATAAGCTGACAATGTCTTGTTTTTCTTCCATATGACAGAGTGAGCACTTTTCTTTCCTGGGTGTGAACAATCAGGCCAACCTTAGTGATATGAGGTGTCGGACCACTTTCTACACAGCCCTGGGAAGACTTCTCATGGTAGATTTGGGTAAGGGTGTACCTATTATAGTTCATGTTTCAAATTTACAGTGGGCTGGCCTTAATCATCAGATAATGTAAGAAATAGAACATAAGTGTCATGTCAAAGAGCATCTTTTACGATGTTCTGTCTTTGACAGGTGAGGATGAGGACCAATTTGAACAGTTCATGCTTCCTCTCACTGCTGCGTTTGAAGCCGTAGCTCAGATGTTCAGCACCAACACCTTCAATGAACAAGAAGCAAAAGTGAGCTGTCATATTCTTTATCATAAATGACCTCCTCTGTGTAACGTGCAGCATTTGCAAAATACCTTTTTGTTTTCTTTATTGTTGCTGACCTTTATAATGTACCTCAGTGTTTTTAAGAATAATAGATGAAAAAAAATGTTTTGCTCTTCTTTCTTTCTTTTTTAGAGAACTTTAGTAGGACTTGTGAGAGATCTAAGGGGAATTGCCTTTGCCTTCAATGCCAAGACCAGCTTTATGATGCTCTTTGATTGGATGTATCCTTTTAACATGTTTTTTTTATGTGTAATTATTTGTGTTTTTATTTTGTGTGTTTATTTTTGGTTTTATTTGTTTCTTTATTTATCTTTCATTAATTTTTATTTAAAACTATTGTGCATTTCAGATTGAATGTCAATTTTAATGTTCCTTAACAGATCATAGTTACCCCACTTACATGCCCATCTTACAGAGGGCAATAGAGCTCTGGTACCATGTACCTGCCTGCACCACACCGGTCCTCAAACTTATGGCTGAGCTTGTCCACAACAGGTAAGAACAGGGCCTAAACTACCTTTTCGCCACCGGCCAGTGCATTTTCAAGTGCAAGGCGACATAAAGAGTTCAATTCAGCATTCACTGGCTGTCTGAGACATGGATTTCTAGCCGCGTGCTTAACATGTTTGCGTACAGAAAACTTCCCTAAAGGCCATTGCACACTGAGTACGAAATTTTCGTATGCGTTTTTTCCTGTCCGTCAGCCTAAAAATTCGTCACGCACAGAAACCTTGCACACTGTGTCCGATGCGTATTTATTAAACCTTGCGGGGAAAAACGCAAAAATACAAAATGAATTTGTCAAGCCGTAAGGATGATTTTGTTGTCCTCTCTCGTATTGAAAAGAGTTGCGAATTTATCCTGAGCAAATCAAAATTTACCTCAGAATGTCAGTGGAACAGTTTGATGCTTTGCGAGCCACATTTTAAAAACAAGACCACCAATTTCCGTGAATCAATCGATTCTGAACAGAGACTGTCAGTATGTTTCAGGTGACACACGCACGCGCACCGGTGGAAGCGCTGGGCAGACAGAACAGCTGTATAGGCTACAGGTTATATATTGTACCCAAATAATACATTAGTTATTGAATTGGCTGCTCAATCACACATTAATCGATCCGAAATTTCAATCTGATTGAAAGGGGAGGTTATTCCTTTCATAATCCAATCGAGAGAAGAGAACAAACACTTGATCGAATTGAAAACTGAAACTGAAAGCACTGCGCATATGTGCAATAATGTGCGGAACGAGCTCCATAGACCGTAAACGAGCTCCCCCCCGGCCCTGAATTGTCAAAAAACCTCTCAAAATGCTGGCTTTGGATGCAAAAAACACAGAAAATCGAACCCGATCCGAATTTTTTTATAACGGACGAAAGTTTCGGAGGCGGTGTGCAAGCGTGATTGACATAACGGTTAGTGCGGAGGTCATTTTTTTTTTTTTATGTGCGAAAATTTCGGACTCGCAATGGCCTTAATAACAGAGAGTAACTTATTGAACTTTATTTTGCATCATCTTGCACTTGAATATTTAAATCTGCAAGACTTAGACTGCATTGTTAGGATTCATATGTTATCAGCCAACTGATGATTGATATGGTTTCGTATACTCGCCAACACTGATTTCTACTTACATTTTGTGCTTTGGCGGGTGTTAATTTTAGACCCTGGGTATGCATGTTACATTTTGCGCATGTCCATGAGAGCTGTGTTTAAAGGTTGTTCTCTGACTAATGGTCTGTTTTTTTATATATATATAAAGGTCGCAAAGATTACAGTTTGACGTGTCGTCACCGAATGGAATCCTGTTGTTCAGAGAAACCAGCAAGATGATTACAACATATGGTATAATAATGACCCAGTTTTCACCTATTCCTCTTGTTTAGGGTAGTAGTAGTATTAGATTGTAATCACTTTGATGACTAAGTTAAAAAAAAAAAAAAAAAAAAACTTTTCTTTTGCTTCAAGGTAATCGGATCCTGACACTGGGCGAGGTGCCAAAAGATCAGGTTTATGCACTGAAACTGAAGGGAATCTCCATTTGTTTCTCCATGCTGAAAGCCGTATTAAGCGGCAACTATGTCAACTTCGGCGTCTTCCGTCTGTACGGCGATGATGCCCTGGACAATGCCCTGCAGACCTTTATTAAGCTGCTCTTGTCCATCCCTCACAGTGACCTGCTGGTATGAGCCGTCAGCTATCAATACCAGGATTGTGTCCTTCAGCATTCAGATCGGTTGATTTTTGGTTGGTTGGTTGTTCTTCCTGCAGGACTATCCAAAGCTTAGTCAGTCTTACTACTCTCTTCTGGAGGTGCTAACCCAAGACCATATGAACTTCATCGCCAGCCTGGAGCCTCATGTGGTCATGTACATCCTGTCCTCAATATCAGAAGGACTTACTGCACTTGGTAAGGACCTTCTCTTCAGTTCCATCATGGACTACTTGGGTGTTTGTTAACCTATGAGCCTGATCTTTGTTTCTGTTTGTCCCTTCACAGACACAATGGTATGCACTGGTTGCTGCTCGAGCCTGGATCACATAGTTACTTATCTATTCAAGCAGCTGTCACGCAGCACGAAGAAAAGAGCGGCACCCATGGCCCAGGAGAGCGACCGCTTCCTTCACATAATGCAGCAGCACCCTGAGATGATCCAGCAGGTGAGGCTGCATCTGTTGCCATCTGAGACTTTGAAAGACATCTGAAGTTACAGTACACCCAATCATTAATTCAACTATTTGATGATTTGTTAAAACATAATTTGTAATGAAATATTCACAGCTTGTTTATGTACAAATATATTGTTCTTATATATGTCTGTTTACTTTTTTGGAGTGTATTGGAGATATTTGACATGACAACGTTCTCACAATCTGCTTATTCAGATGCTGTCGACAGTGTTGAATATCATCATTTTTGAAGATTGTAGGAATCAGTGGTCAATGTCACGGCCACTGCTTGGCTTGATTCTGCTCAATGAGAAGGTAAGTGGTGTGTAAATTATCATGATTACATTATAAATGTCTTTACCTTAAGTCAATTTAATGCATCCTTGTTGAGTAACAGTGTTTATTCCTTTCTGATCCTACATTTTTAAACGTGTGTGTAAAAACAATGTAATGTAAATATGGTGTCAGTTCTGTAATGGTCACAGCTATAGACACCTAAGAATGTAGTGTGACTATACAATTATTGGTTTTTTTTTTTACTTTTAATTAGCACTACAACACCACTTGTGATCAGAGCATTGTGTTTGTAGTATTTTGCAGATCTGAGGAACAGCATTGTGAACAGCCAACCACCAGAAAAGCAGCAAGCCATGCACTTATGCTTTGAAAATCTCATGGAGGGCATAGAGCGAAACTTGCTCACCAAAAACAGAGACAGGTCATTTGATTTCTTGTGATTTTCATCCTGCTTTGCATTTAAGTTTACAGAGAAATGCTAAACCATAATAAAGTTACTTTAAAATATATATCAAGCACTCATACGCACAAACAAAGTTTGTCGCAATGGCAAAAGTAACAATTATGAATGTAATTTTAATAAACTAATGCTTTCTGAGTCAGTGTCGTCTGCAAAGATGGTTGACAACGCTGACTCGTCATCCGCAGTAAGCGATGTATTGATTTAGCTGAGAGAGTAGCCATTTAAAATGGCTGATGTTAGGCTGCTAATTGCAAGTTTCAAATGATAAGCTATGTTTGAAGTGGATGAATGATAGACGAAAGTTTGGATTTCCTGCCTGACATGCTCTAATTTCCACATGACTTCACCAATTGGATATATAATTAATTTATTTATTTATTTTGACAAACCAATTAAAATTTGGTTAACTAAGGCTACGTTCACACTGCAGGCTGAAACGACCTAATTGCCCCTATGCGACCTGTATCTGATTTTTTCATGACAGTCTGAACGACACAGATCCGATCTTTTCAAATGCGACCCAGGCCACTTGGGTATGTGGTCCAAATCCGATATGTATCCGATCTTTTGAAATGCGACTTCAATCTGAACGGCCAGGTCACATATATCCGACCCGCACGTCATTCCACGCACCTGTAGCTAGCCAATACACGCTAACTCCAAAGCGTTTCTGCACTATTATGGGCCGCTGCAGACGTGTCTCTTCCCCAGTGTTGTGCCTGAACGCGTTCAATGAACGATAGTGCATGAACGCGTTCATAAACATACTGTATTACTGCCTCATGAACATTACTGTGAACACGTTCATTCTGGTGTCTGTGAACGTGCGCTCTCTGTCAGTTTAACTTTGTACAGTAGGGTGCCAGATTTCTATAGAGCCTTCCAGGCGAAAACCTGGCTAAAACACATGTAAACATGCCTTAAAATGTAGCGAAAACAAACCCAATCTGGCAACACCAGCCACCAGTGTCGCACCGCGGCCGCCGGTGACAAAGCAAGGAGCGCCGAGCGGACACGCACTATCAATTAAACGGGTTTTATGACGAGGTCGGTGAGGATCGGAAAAATCTTACATTTATGTGCAAACTTTTCCCGTCGATAAAATAATTGTTGTCTGTGTTTGTATATGGGCTGTGGCAATAATAATAATAAAACAAAAGCTCGCAACATATGGAAAAAAGAACTATTCCGCAAACAACAAGTGACGTCGTTGACCGTTGATTACTCTTCTGCGCATGCGGGTCACTTCTGGGTCATTTCACGTTCACACAGGAGATCACAAAAGGTCGCATTTAATTGGAAATGTGAACGGCCTTGCAAAAAAATCTGATTTTTTAAAAAAAATCGGAATTGAGCATTAAGCCATGCAGTGTGAACGTAGCCTAAGACTTTTCCTCAACTAGTTCTTCTAGGGGCAGCCCTAGAAGCTTGACATTTATTACTCTATCTTTTATTAAACTACTGTATATCTTGTATCCCAAGTTTTCAGAGTATTACAATAATTTGTAATTTATACTGATTTTGCCTTGCTAAAAGACAGAAGCTGACACTCGCACTTTCTTTCTAGATGTAATTTATGCATTAAGTAATCAACAATTTTTCTTTATTTTGCAGGTTTACACAGAATCTTTCAGTATTTAGAAGAGAAGTCAATGACTCCATGAAGAATTCCACATACGGGGTAAACAGCAACGATATGATGAGCTGACATTCCATAGAGCACCAGGCCACGTGGCCCGGCCCCGTCCCGTACTCCCACCCACCCCTGGCCCGGCTGCCGGGGGACCACCACTGCGCAAGCCTGCACCTCCCGCTCCCCAGTCCCTAAAAAACCATTACCTCTCTCCCCTCACATCTCCTCCCCCACCCTTTTTTATATATATATATAAATATATATATATATACACATATAAATATATACATATTTTAAAGCCAGTTTCAAGAGGTCCTTCTCCTTGACCATTCTCTTGTCATTTGGGGCTCAAAGTCCAAAGAGAGTGAAGAGGGCTGGAGAATGGTTGGGAATGGGTTTGGGTTGTGGGATGGCACCAGTGTGGACTCTAGAGTGGATGGCACATCCAAACCGCTCCAAGGGATGATGGGAAGTGGGCGTGTGTGTGTATGTGTGTGTGTGTGGTGTGCGTGTGTGTGTGTGTTTGAGAGCATGTCTGTGGGAGGAAGGGTTAGGATGAGCGTGCTCTGCTTTTGCCTGCCTTGTATAGAAACACATAAGGAAAAAAAAAGTGTACATTTTTTTTCATAACATTTTCAACAATGTTTATAATTATTACAATTTAAGACAAATAATGAGTGTGATTGAAAACTTTTTACAGTCTAGTAAGTTAGTGCGGATTTGTCTGTATGGAGAGAGTTGTTTATATCCGGGTGACCATGTGGGATTGTGGCATGAGTGCTGGGATTGACACCTGTCCGCAGAGGGGGCGGGATGGAAAGGTGTATAGGGTCACAAGTTGTACATTTATTTCCTCCTCCCCCCTCAAATTGACTCTATAGAACAAAAACAGGAGATTTGTAAATACACAACCCCTCGCGTTAGCTTTTTCAGGAGGGATGCAATTTCCCTAAAATCTTGGGCATGATGAAGTCCGTCTTGCATCAACCTTTCCCCGTATGGTCATCCATTGCTGAGGATGTTTAGTTCTGCTCACCTCTGACCTGGAAACGGGCCCAAAATCACCCATTTTAGTGTATGATTAATTCTGAGACCTCCATTAAAGGAGAACGCACGTGTAACCTTTTCCCTTTTGTCTCTGAAGGGTTTGATCATGTCGTCTGTGGATTTGATTAGATAAAGTGACTTGGTTGTGGTGAAGTTGCTCTCTGAGCTTTCGTCAAACTGTTTTCCTTGCTTTTAATCTCACAGACTTCGTCTCTCGTGGCTTTATTGTTGATCTGGCGTTCTTCGGTAGTGAAGCCTATAGAATGTAACCGTGTCATTAAAAAAGAAAAAAGAAAAAAAAAGACCCTGGTACTCAAGTCATTGCGACAGGATCACTCTCGACAGTTTCTCTAGCTTTAACCCCCCTTTTTTTTCTTTTCTTTTTTTTTTAACTCCCCCTGGATTCCAGATTTATTTTTAATCACAGAAAACACATCGGAATATGGTAGATCTAAACAGAGGTGAATCAACAGATGTTGCTGCTAACTGTTTGTGAAGAACTAGCTCATCTCTTAACCATGTCCAACACTCATGGATGTTAACTTTCTTTTCTTGGTTCCCTGATGTGAATGTGTTTTTGGCGACTGTGTGTTGGGTCCATTGAGTGATAAGGTTGAATTGTTTGTTTGGATGTCTGCTACATATAGTGTAAGCATTGTGACTGCAAAATAAACATCATTGGTTTGTATTAGTATGTGCACGTTTTGTGACTGCCACATCGTGGCTAAACTGTCATGCTTTTAGTCAACATGGTCAAATTTGACTTTTTTTAATAAATGCTCCTGTTATTAATAGCGATAGAGCTTTCCATGGTCATAGATGACTTGAAATGTCAAGAAAATTTAAGGGATAGTTCACAAATTGAAAGTCAATGGGTCCATTATCTGTTTGGTTACCCACATTCTTAAAAAATATCATCTTTTGTGTTGATAGAAAAGAAATTCATACAGGTTTGGAACAACTTGAGGGTGAGTGATGACAGAATTGAAATTTTTGGATGAACTATGCCTTTAACATGTGAAAATTAATTATTTTTTCTAGTTATGCTCTGCTCAATATACTATTGGACTGAATTTACTATATTAGAATAATCTCAGTGTGGTAGTGGGTTATTGCAAAAACGCTATAACTTGCAAGAAAGTTGGCATTCGGATACATCAAGATGTTCAAGTTGAAACTCTTAAAGCATAATTGCATTAACCTTAAGCTTTTTGTTGAATATCCTGTTTTATTTGGAATTTAAGTTTACAGTGAAATGTGAATGGAATTACATGGCTTTCAACCAATGAATAATCAGTTACAATATGATAAATTCACAGTACAGCAATGCTTTTCAGGGGGAAATGTGCTGTTATTTATTACAAAAAAATGCAAGACATTACAGGAAAAATGAAACTAAATTTTATCCACCTTCCGACATAAGTACAGATGGAAAGAGCAACTCTTTTACATAGGACATTTATTATGTATTTCTCCACTTTTGAACTTGATTTGTACGATCAATACTATGTCAAGAAGGCCACTTTAAATACCACACCGTCATGATTAACACACTTCTTTTTTATGTTGTTTGGTTTTTGAATTGGCATTGTGGACGATATCATTGTATCCTTCTCGGTTTCTGGCAATCTCAATGGCGTAAAACTGGATTCTGGTAGCTGAAATGAAAATGGGGAGGGAAATTAGTGCGTTTCCTTCTAGCAATATTTTGTTTTCTATTGGAAAGATACTGATCTATTTCTGAAATGAGTGCATGTGTGGCATTGCATACCAAATATTGTGTTCTCCTCAGTGTAGTCCTTCTGACAGTCTAGACGTAATAATGTGCCATAGTTGAAGTCATCTACAACACCTTCAAACTGGTTACAAAAGGGCCTCCATTTCTGGAAACAAAATTGAAACAGAGCTTGACAGACTCTCTGAGTAATGTATAAAAGTAAACTCATCTCGCGCACAAAAGTAACGTCCCAATCCCAAACCTCTTTAGCGTCTGCAGACTTCAGCTGGTCCGGGTCCAGAACTCCAATACTGAGGTCAGGAAATGCTTCCCGGAATTTAGTGTATATCTGCTCGTCTGATTTAGTTAGCTTTAGAAATTTAGGCTCAACTGAGGAAATGAGCTGTGGAGAAAGAAACTGTCAGTTAAACTGGACATTCAAGTATTCCAAAATCGCCGCAGGATAGATTGTGACCATTCATTTGTTCATTTGCTCACTTACATTAAAGTAAACTTCAGCGTGATTGTAGGCTTTCATAGCCCACATTACTTCCAACTGGGCCTGATGGGGAACAAAATATGGTTAGTGTTTTGAAGTGATAATGCTTTTAAGAAAATTAAAAGTTTTGCTTATTTGTGCAAATATCAAAACATCCCATCTTACATCATTTCCATACGCTTCTGCTGGAAGAGAAAGCGCATGCGCAGCAGCGGTTGCTCCTTCAACCCCCTGTTTATTAAAACAGATATTGAATGAAACATTACAGAACATTTATAAATGTTAATACGTAAAACTCGTGCCATTTTAAAGCACACAAGAGCTCGTGATAATTAACGTTGTCGTGATTATCAAGGATATTATTTCTTATTACTGATCTATTTTGTTTTTGTTGCCACATGCTGTTGACATGCTTCTTAGCATGCAAGCTAACTATGATAAGTAGCAATATGGGCTAAGAGCAGTGGTGAAAAACCGTTAACTGAGAGCATCGGTTCGATAAAATGCTAGGCTTGCCTGTCGAGTTATTGTACAGTGCGTTGTGTTTGTTGATACGTTAAAATAATTCGTTCCCTACCAGAGATGCAAGAATATTCCCCGTGTCCATGCTGGCGACTTTTGACCCGGATGAGCTACAACAAACACGTCATGACGACAGGTCATCTGATTTAAATACGTTTTGTTGTTTTCAGTTTGACGAGAACAGCTATTGTTGCAGTGGAATTGATTTTAGAAGAATTTAAATAATTAGAAGAAAAAGCATTTATATTAAGGTGTGTAAAAATGAAGCGGCATAGCCTACTACAAAAACGAATCCAGTGGTCATGCTGTGTATTACATGTAGCTCTCTGTTTTTATTATGAATTTTAAAGCTATTTATGATGATATTTTTTATTTATTTATTTTATATATAATAGAATATAATGAAATGGATCTAGACTGGACAGGAAAGATTAGAATAGTCTTTACTAATAGCAAAACTAATAGAATCGAATAATCCAGGAAAGAATCAAATATGACAGAACAGAACAAAATAGGTGAGTAGGGGAGGGAATAGAACTACCAAGGAAGAACGGAATAAAATATTACATAAAGTATTTGACTATGACAGACTAAGAGGGAATAGTTCTAATAGGCTAATAGATCATAATACATTAATTAGAAATAATTGAATAGAAAAATAATAGAATGAAATGGAATGTGACAGAAAAAAATAGAATATGGCACAGTAGAATAGAATGAAATGTATCTAGACCAGACAGGAAAGCAATAGAACCTAAAAACTGAAAAAATAGAATATGACAGGAAAGAATAGAATATTACACAATAGAGGGGGACAGATATAGGCCAAACATGAAAGAACAGAATAGTCCTAAAAAGTGCAATAGGAATAGACTAGAATATGACTCAGACACATTATAAGAAAATAGAAGGTAATATATCTAGAACATACAGGAATGAATATAGAATCGATGTTTTGGTGCTATTGTTGTAGTAGCGTTCATGTAAAATAAAATGTAGCCTACTCATAAAAAATATATTGTAGCTGTCATAATAAAAGGCTTTACCACGTCCTCTAGTCGTGTAAAGTTCAATCATGACCTTAGTTAATTTATTTTATTTAGCCTATATAGCCTAGGCTACATATTTCAAATACACTGTGTTAGGTAGATAGCCTATCAGTTGTTACTTAATAAAATCAGAGGCGACTTGCAAATTAACGTAAAACGTAGGCAACTATATCATCACACGTAAAAAATAAAGTAAGAGTAAGTGCCCTATTAAATTTAACAGGACGGTCCCATCTTGAGTTAGTTGAGTACAGTTGTTTTACTCTCATAGGCTGGCCATTTACTGTAAAAGATGCTTCAGACGCACATTTCCTCCACAGCGGTTGTGTTGCAAAAAGTACAGACGAGTCAGCGGACGCCTAAATGGACTATGACGCACAATAGCTATGCGGTCTAGGTAGGCAGCTCACTGGTGTTTGAGACACGGCCAATGTGGCACGAGCATATGAACGCGTAATCCACGCAATGATCTTGAGAGTGTCCAAGTCCAAGACCTTTAAAATTCTGCATCTCTGGACGGAAAGGACAGAATAAACCGCTGCTTTAAAATATAAGGTACGAGCATGCGACGTTTTTGTTATATCTGCGAAGGGATCCAGTGGAGTAAAATGTGCAGACTAGCCTATAAATGTTCAAAATATTGATGTGCAATCATCGTTTGTTGTTGTATGATGGATGTAGGCTATGTATTCATATTTTGCCGTAGTCGATTACGATCATCAGTAGAGGTTGTGCATCATCGGGCACTTGCAGTCTATGGAGGACCATTTCAAATCAGTTCTATTTGAAAACGGCCGGATTGGTATTAAAAAATAAAACGTGTCGTTTTGTTAGGCCATATACATCTGTAACCTTCAACAGAATCTTGACTTCACACCTTAAATGTTATGTGGGCCTGTCCTTGTTATGACCCGTGTCATATAATAATCTTGAACAAATTGATTCAATTAAATTTCCGAGATAAACGCTTGTTTGATTTATTGGTCATTTACATTTACTTGTGCCCTACAAGCGTCACGAAATAACAGCAAACAGAGTAAAAAAAATAATAATAAAGAAAGGAAAACAGCAACAGTCTCACTGCTGGTACTTAAAGTCGCGCCCCCGAACAGCTGCGCGTCCCCGCGCGTTTCCCTGTCTAAAGCAACAGGAAACTACTGCTTCCTTTAAGATACCCCAGTCCTGCATGCAGGTTTAGGAAACACTTCTTATTTTTCATTGGTTGTTCAAATGAATTTAATATGCAGTGATGATGATAATAATAATTATTAGTGGAAATAGACTTTTTTTTTTTTTTTTTTACCAGATAATTGCCTGAGTATACACACTCTGATTCGTAGAATAGAAGGATTGCCTGCACACACAAACAAAGGAGCAATTTGCTGTCACATTTCCTCATGATCACACAGTCTGAATTGACAGCATTTATGGTGGCAGTGAAAAGGTTTTCTCATCATCAGAGAAAAGGGTGTAAGATGTAGGAGTAAAGAGTCACATGTTAAGAGATTCTTCAGTTCCTAATGGACACTGTTTTTGTAGCTAAAAAAGCATTTATTTCTTATTCCCTATGATGGTTGAGAGACTAAACGGATGAAGATGTGCAGTGATGCTGTATAATGAAACACTGATGCAGGCTAATTGTCTGTTGGATATTAGAAATCCAGTTAGACCGCAGATAACCTCCCCTTCCTACACTGTTTCATTTAGATCCACTTTGCATGGAAAGTCCATTTTGAAGAGAAATAACATTTCTATTCCATTTTTTTCTATTCTGCCTGTAATAGATGTATTATTCTATTCTATTCTGGTCTATTATATTCTGTTCCCATTTGCACTTTTTAGGACAGGGCAGGGCTATTCTATTCTGCTAGAAATTCTTTTCTACCATATTGTAATAATTCATATAATATTCTATTCGTTTTATGACTATTCTATTCTATTCTGGTCTATTCTATTTTGTTCCCTTTTGCACTTTTTAGGACAAGGCAGGGCTATTCTATTCTGCTAGAAATTCTTTTCTACCATATTGTAATAATTCATATCATATTCTATTCGTTTTATGACTGTTCTATTCTGTTCTGTTCTGTCTAGTCCCTTCTCCTTTCTTCTACTGTACCATAGTCTATTCTACTGTTATTAGGGTATAGGGCTAACTTGTCATATTCTGCGATATTTTATTAATTCCTTTTCTATTCCATTGTCAAGTTTTTAGGTCTATTCTGTTCTATTATTTTCTGTCTGGACTAGATCTATTTCATTCTATTCTATTCTGGCATGTTCTATTTTATTATTATTTTTCTATTCTATTATTTCCTTATTCATTTTTAGATTAGAACTATTCTGTCATATTCTATTACGTTATGTACATATTATATTCTGTTCTTTCGTGTATAGATCTATTCCCTTCTGTTCTGTCATATTTTATTCTTTCCTGGATTCCATTCTTTTAGTTTTGGGATTATTCTATTCCTTCCTGTCTGGCCTAGATATATTAACTTCTGTTTTGTTATACTCTGTCATATTCTATTCTTTTCTGTCATATTCAATTCTATTTAGCAGTTTATTCATATTTTTCCTGTCCAGTCTGATCTATTTCCTTCAATTATACTGTGGCATTTTCAATTATTTTTGTCATATTCTATTTTGTTCTTTCCTTATTCATTTATGTTCTAGATCTATTCCCTTCTGTAATATTCTCTTAATTTCAGTCATATTTTATTCTTTCATGGATTATTCTATTCTATTAGTTTTAGGACTGTTCTATTCTATTATATTCCTGTCTGTCCTTGAGATATTCCCCTGTCTTCTCTTTCTTTCTTTTTAGGACTATTCTATTGGTTCCTGGCCAGTCTAGATATATTTCATTCTATTCTATTATGGCATATTCTATTCTTTAGTCATATTCTATTTTATTTCCTTATTTTATTATGGGCCAGATCTTTTTCCATCCAATCTTTTTTATTCTGTGATATTCTATAAATTTCTGTCATATTTTATTCTATTCTTCCATGTCTGGTCTTCTACACTGTCCTAAAACTGCAAATTAGGCTGTAATACTTTGTGTGAAAATGTATGTTGCATAGAGTTGTGATAAGACACTTTCCTGCCGCTAACGGTGTCCTCCTGTCATTCAGTTTGCAGTGAAGTGATTCACTAAGAGTGGACATTGAGTAAGTTTAATCAATGGGACACTAATCTGATTGAACAAATCCAGCAGTCAGTCTCTCTGCTAGTCTGATCTTCACAGAACTAGTCAAGACAATCCAGAGCTCTGCTAAACCCCCAGGCTTATGACCTGGATAACTCTACACGCAGAATAAAATTAAGCCTAGCGTGCAGCACATCAGAAGTGACGGGGAGGAGTTAGGAAGGGCTTGTTTTCTGGGACGTGGGGTGCAGCATGGCCATTGTTCAAACAAGAAAGATCTTCAAGAGGAGGGCTTCCTCAGGCTGTTTATGTCAAGCAGAAACACAAGCTCCCCAGATCCTCGGCCCGTCACATCGCACTCCCAGTGGAACCGGAAGGCCTCGCCAAGGTAATGGATCCTGTATCCATCAGCACTGTTGAGAATTCTCTTCAGGCGGAGCAGAGCGTTGCCCTGGTGATGCAACCGACTCGTCTGATTGGGCGTTGGCTGCTGTTGGTCTGCTGAGATAAGTGCTTTTCAGTTTGGGTGGAGAGAGAAGTGGGTGGGGTCTAATAGACAGCATACAGAGAGAGAGAGAGAGAGACGATGAGGACTGTGGAGAATGGGAGAAGGATGACAGGAAGTCTGGATCTCTCAGCGTAGGATTTCCTCTTCATCACAGAGCTGGAGCTGAGGTGGAATCCTGGTGTGTATTGTGGCTTGTTTTGCCTCCAAAATTACCCTTTCCTTTCAGACTAATTATGGTTGGTTCTGCGATCCACTCCTTAATTTTTTATGAAGCTATGGGTTTTTGGTGCTTGGTCCTGTAGTTTGACCTAAATATGCAATGTGTATATATAATTTCTCTTGAAGTTCTTTCATACCATAAACTTATCACTGGTTTCTTCTGTTTACTTTTGTAAAAACCAAACCAAATTATTATTTATATTCAAATCCAGATTAAAATTAGGATATTTTCCTTTTTAATATTCAACTGCTTTATGTATTTATATATATATATATATATATATATATATATATATATATATTATTATTTTTTTTTTTTTTCTTAATCAGTTTTTTTTGTCTTGTCTTCCAGTTAAAATATTTAAACATCTTTAAAATAAGATATATTTAAAGAAATAGGTTAATGGATGGACCCCATTGACCTCCATAGGAAAACACAATTGAAGTCAATGGTGCTCCATTAACTGTTTGATTAACAACATTCTTCCAAATATCTTCTTTTGTGTTACGCTGAAGAAAGAAACTCATACAGGTTTGGTACACTTTATGAGTAAATTACAGAAATTTAATTTTTGGGTGAACTATCCCTTTAACAATCGCGTCAGATGTTTAGTTTTCAGACACTAATGCTGATTAAGATTTTGCTGTGAATAAGAATCATATTACTCTTGCATTCTAAACCTCTCCGATGAGAGATAAGGACATTCTCTGGATCTCATAAGTGCATCGCCTGGCTTCCTTATCAACACTAATATGACACACTATGCTGTCAGAGTAATGTTAGTAATGATCATTTAAGCTTGGTTGATGATCTGTGTACTTTGTAGTAGTGCCGTATACTATTTTATCCTATGAGCATACATGCAGTTCATATGTTTTAAGTGCAATGGATTAGATGAATTTTATAAGTAGCTATATGGATAGTAATTAGCAGCCTATCAGCTAATATGGGCCATCATTTAAAGTATATTTTGTTGTTGCTAATGCTAATTATTTTTATTTAATTATGACTATGGCCATTATGACTATTTAACAAGAGATGGCAGATAGTTTTGCAGTTGTAGAACTTCACTGCAAGAACATCTCCAAACAATCGTCCTCATTCTGAGGTGATGTGTGCTATCAGATTCCTGCTGGAACAGCAAATGGCTCAGTTTTGATGTGCGCCAGCAGTAACCTGAAGTTCACAGCACAAAAACACAATGGCATCTCCACAGGTAACTGGTTAGTATATGTCAAGCAATTGTGTAAGTGCTAAATTGTCTTCTCGGCATGTGAATCAGCACTAAATCAAACTTTATTTGAGCCTGGTGCTCAGGGACTCTTCTTAGCCAGATTGAACTTGAATTACAGGCAGCTTGATGCACATGGGTCCCTTCGTCTCATGACAGGCCATTTACATTGTGCTCAGGTTGATCAATCACGTCTTCAGCACACACACACACACACACCGTCCTTCACGCCAGAGTAAGCCTGACCTGAGCTGATCACTATAACCCTACTAACCAGCAGGGACAGATGTTTATGGCTAAGGAAAGGAAACGACAGTGATGTTTGGTGCTACGATAGATTTCTCTCTCACTGATTTCTCTGTCAAACATGGAGGTGTAAACGAAATCAATTACTTTTGGCTTTAGAGTAAAAACAAAAGGGAAGGTTTCATAAGCTGTTTAAGGGTCTGGATTACCCAAAAGGAAAAGAAAATTGGTAACACTTTACAATAAGTTCCCATTAGTTAAAGCAACACTAAGTAATATTTTTAAAATAATATTTCCAAAATCGCTTCAGTGGTTCATTAAGTCGTAATAGGGTGAAAGGCACTTCTGGATTCACTTTACGGTCCTATATCTGCTATAAGCACGCTAAAGCCAAATTTATACTTCTGCGTCAAAGTCACGCCGTGGCTACGTCGTAGGCTGTGTGTAGCTCGCGTACCCTTCGGTGTACCCTAACGTGCACCTAAAATGTATACAATGAATCAATTCTACGCATACCACAAGTGCTGTGATTGGTCTGCTAGAACCGCTCCCAGGGTTTCACATGCTTCCTCTGCATGTGTAAATGCGCGTCAACGTGGACAACAACACATACGTATAAATGAAAACCAATGCGTATCTATAGCGTAGGCTCCGGCGTAGGTCTGACGCAGAAGTAAATCAGCCTTTTTTCAGCCTTTTCGGGTTGCGTTTCTGTAGATCTAATGAGACATAAGAAAACTACAAATTTGACTTGCTTTACGCCAAGCGTTACAATAGTCATTATTTTGTTTTTCTTCGTTTCTGATGTCGCAATACATCCTACTTTCATGAAAACATGCAACATACTCTACCTTGTCTGTGGACATCGTTCATCCCAAAGTTGGTGCTGGATAAACAACGAGTGGGCGTGCGACTAGGCTGCACTAAGCTAAATTATTTACCACAGCTGTAATGGACAGTTCCGCTTCCAACCTGTAGGGCGACCGCAAATGGAAAAGTTACAGTGTTGCTCCAACATTGGTAAATGCATGCTGACAATACAATTGGCGATGTGCACTACATTTGTTACATTATTTATTCATCTTTGTTCATGTTAGTTCAGATTCAACTTTTGATTTCAATAATGTGTTAGTAAATGCTGAAATTAACATTAATTGAGATTAATAAATGTTTTAGAAGTGTTTTCATTGTTAGTTCATTTTAACTAATGTAGTTAATTACTGTAAATTTTATATATATATATATATATATATATAATGTCTAGATTTAACCTAATGTTTAACCTAATATATATATATATATATATATATATATATATATATATATATATATATATATATATTGTAAGGAAGTTTAATTATAGTTTTTTTATAATTATTTGATTTTGTAATTTAAAATTACTAAATGTATTTTTTATAATCATTTTATTTTATAATTTGAAATGTTATTGCAGTATTTAATTAAAGCTTTTTTTCATTATTTTAAATTATTCTATTACAGTTTTGAGAAGTGTGCACATAAAGTCACAATGCGCAACATTTTTGTCTTTTTTTTTTTTTTTTTTTTTTCCTCCTGAAGCAACACATGAGCAGTCAAAACAATCCGGAACGAAAAAAGCATTACCTCGAGTGAACATCGTCAAATCAGAATGCTGTTTTTTTGCAAATAGAGCATCTTTGTCAGCAATTTTAATGCAAGAAAATGGATTCAAAATGCCTTGAGGCTTGTACCCTGCTTAGTGTTACTTATGCTCTTGTTATAAAATATTCAAGGCTCATCCTATGAAATTGAAATTACAGTTAAAACTAATTAGCACATTAACGACTACCAACCAGAAACCATCAGTATAATTCTCTGGTGTTTTCCGATGCCGGAACCTGATAAATTCTGTGGACAACTCAAGGTAAAATTGGGTGAGCAATCTTGATGTCTCGCCCCCTCCCCCACACTAACGGGATGTCTCATTTCATACATTAGTCCACTGATCCTCTTAGTGGAGATCAGACGGTTGGTGGAACTGCTTTCTTCATATTTAGTCATACTGACAGCAGCTTTTAAGAGAAAATTCTTCCAATAATTGGGCAAAAGACATTACCCCACCCCCCACTATTGGTTGATCCAGTGTTGCTATGGTGGGCTGTTTGGGATGAAGGCAAGTGTTAAAAGTGTCACAGAACCAGTGTTATCGTTGTTAACTAAACTATTAAAGATAGTTTTTGGTAATTGAAATAAAATAAAAAAATAGGGTATTAGATTTTAAAAAACTTACATTATACCTTTTTGTAAGACTGCGGTTTCATCTCTGAATACAGTGCAAAAGCTTTGTGTGGAATAACCTTGTTATCCAAATATCCTGTAGGTGGGATGAAATGAAATGTGTGAAATGAGTGGGCGTGTTGAACACCCTCAGTCAGACTGATTTTCAGGAACGCTCCGCTGATAGAGTCTGAATGGGATGTTTCACACAGAAACTGTTTAAATCAACTCATCTGAATTTCATAATGTTGTTTTGTTGCAGTATTCATATTTCTAAAATTGTAATTAATTTTATATCAAAACTCACAGCAGAATATCAAGACCAACTTTCAATTTCCAATTTAATGTGTGTTTCGGAACTATGGGAAATGCCTTGTAAAATATTGTTTTCCACCAAAAAAAATCTAAATATAGAAGATTTGAAGGTTTTAAAAAAAATCTTTGAGAAGCAAACAATAGTAAGATTTGATTTAAGATGACATTTTAATCATGTCATCTTAAACACTATATATATATATATATATATATATATATAGTGTATGGGGTATAGTGTGTTATTTATGCTTAATTGTTATATATATATATTTACACTATACTTTTTTCTGTGAAGTGACATTTGTAATGTAAAAAAAAAAAAAATATTTTTCAACAAATTCATGACCGGAATAAATAACATTTTCAATAGAAAACAGACATTTTAATTTGTAAAAAATATTTTACAATATTTACTGTAGGCCTACTTTGTATTCAAATAAAGGCAGCCTTAGTAACAATAGACTTATTAAAAAATTAAAAATAAACTTCTAAATGGCAGTGCACATAATAATAATTCTTTAAATTCTAATAAAGAAAAATAGACATTATTCAAGAAATATATATTTACTTAACTGAATATATAATATATTGTAATAATAATATATAATTATATAATTGAGATACAATTCTAAACATGATACTCTAGGATACTCTCAGTAAACTAACCGAATTGACGATTGGTCTTGTTATGGTTTATTGCAGATCTGTGTAACTGGAAGAACAAAGAAGGAAGTTTTATAGTTGTCCTCAGTCATGCAGAAGGTAAGGTACTGTATGTTGAATTCATATCATCTTGTTGCCATGAATCAATGATCTCCAATAGGGTTTCTGATAGCTTTTTTTAATTCTCATAGAAAATGTGTATACTAATCTATATTATAGTTTCGTTCCAATGGAAACTCATTAAAGCGTGATCATATCTGCACTGGGATGATGATTTCCCTTAGTGAGAATGGAAAGGGGGCGTGGCCGAGTGACAGACATCATCAGTTTGATTGATGATATTAGATATAGGTCTTATTTCTCATTAACAACATGTCATTGGATAGGAGCAGTTAAATCATGACCTCTGACCTTTTTGATCTGCTCCGCCGCTGCAGGCAGGGACGGCCCCGTCTTCCCGGGGTCCAAGTGCTCCTGGATCCCCAGCCACCTCTATTGTGGTAAGTAAAACTAGCCTGCATGACCGCTCAATAGCTTTCAGTTTCACAGTAACACATTCCGTTCTGTTATCTTTCATAAAGCACATGCTCAATATCCCAGTTCCTGGGAACCCCTCGAGACATCTCAGAAAACAACCGCTTCTTTCACACCAAACTGAACTTAGCCTCTTTCTGTTTAACTCCCCAAAGGCACGGATGGACAATCAGGTCATTGGATATAAGGACTTGGCAGCCATTCCCAAAGACAAAGCCATACTCGAGGTGGAACGGCCAGATCTGATGGTGTACGAGCCGCATTTTAATATCTCAGCCCTGGATCGGACGGGTCTCTCCAGAAGCAGAGAGGTCAGGAAACGACCAATCGAGTCTTTGTTTCATTGTAATCTTTGAGAAGGGTTATTGTACGTTTTACAGCTTCCACTTAAAGCGGAATCAATATGTGTTTTGGCAAACAGGAAGCTGAATATAATGGTGAGATGTAATGTTATTAGTCAAGCTTTGTTATGTAAAAGTGACTTTTGAATGTCAGGCCTTGAAGACGATGCATGAACTGTATGTGTGTGCTCTGTTTTCTCTCCCTGTCTTCTCTAGAGATCAATGTCACCTCACTCGATCTCGCCGCCTCCTTCCCCTGAGGTGAGACACCAGGAACGGTCGCTAGTCACTGATCACTGACGTTTATCTCCCTGCACACTTCACATGTGATGTTTTTACTGAGACACTTAATTAACGGAATGACGCCGCCATTTTAAATGACATTCAGTTTCAGTTCTGTGTCTTAATTATGCTTGCTAGCGGGAATATGGCACTGTGTACTTTAATTTAATTCATATTATTATATTTTATTTATATGTTATATCCATATTATATATATATATATAGTATTTAATTTTAGCATCATCCATTTATTAGTTATTCGCTAGAACGTGAAAATAATTGTCATATCGTTAGCAGACCAAATTTTTTAAATGATTTAAATTTTGTTAATTATAAATAATAATATGATAAAATTATTATATTGTAATATTTTTTTTTTTAAATGATGAATAATAATTAATACTGAATGTGAATTGATAATGAATTATTTACATTATTAATCATATTAATTAGAATGGCGTCTTTATTTACTGTGTAACATTATTAATTTGTATTAATTACTATATAATACTATTTTATTATAATATTGTTGTAATATTTCATATAAGTATGAATTAATAATAATATTATTACTTAATTTAATGCCTTTAATTCACAAATATTTCAGTGCAGACATGATCTAATCATTATTTAGCTAATTTACGTATTATCCATATTATATTTAATTTGAGTTTTTGTGTGTTTTTATCAAAATACAATAGAATTTTAAGATTGGACATTTAGGATATTGTAATCTGCTAGAATTTGAATGTCATGAATTTTAACATGATTTCATATTTATTTATTTATTATAATAATACCATTCATCATCATATAATATTGTTATATTGTAATATTTTAAATATTGCATTGTAAAAAAAAAATGTTCTTGGTTTAACTTAAAAATGAAGTAACCTGGTTGCCTTTAAAAAATTAAGTTCATTGAACTGGAAAAATTGAGTTACTACAATGAAGGAGATTGATTTAAGCATCAGGAACTCAAAATATTATGTTATCTGAACTACATAAATGAAGTTGATTTGACAAAAGAAATAATTTTGTGATTTACAAATCGTGATTTATTTTTTTACGTTGTGTATGTGAATATGAATAAAATCTATTAATTAACATTGTTATTTATAATAATTAAAATGTAATCTTTCTCCACTGATTAATATGAGTAATTTGTAGTATAATTAATACTGCTTTTCATAAAATATTGTAGTATCATAATATTCTTGTAATATTAATAATATTAACTATTAAAATGATCACTTATTATCATGCTTTAATTTAATGTCTTTAATTCACATTATTGTGGCGCAGTCAACATTATTCAACAAATCATTATTTAGAAGATATCAAAGGAATTATCCACGTATTATTCTTATTTCATATTGGTGTCAGCCTGACTTCCGTTAGCATATTTTACTGTAAGGCATGAGTTTGCAATGTCATATTATTGATGCAGGCAGTGAAATATGATGGTCTGGCTTCTGTTAACATGCTGAGTGCTTAAATTGTGTCCACTCTTAACGTCGGAATTGAAACATGAATTTATATTGCCATACGCCAGTGCTTCATTATTTGCATTCCAGAATAATAGAAGGTAAATGCAATTCCCCTGTTTCTTTAGATATTTTCCTCAAAAGAGTGGCCAGAGCAGGGTTCTCCAGGAGGGTCCAACATGGGCTCCACGGTGCACCTCCGCAAAATCAGCCCTGCTTCCAAAGGCCCCATGCAGCACTTCCACAGGCCAGGTGCTTTGTTCATCTCAGGGTTCTTATAGCACAATGTTTCATAATCATTCAAATGTGTTGTAACTGTCCACCTTGTTGTAACTGTTTCAGACAGTGGCATCAACATCTATAAGAAACCACCAATTTACAAACACGGTATTTGTTCATTTATAATGTTTACAGGTTTTCCAAGGTGTAAGGACAGATTCACTGGTAACGATGTTTGTCTTTTCCCTGTCCTTAGAAAGAGAGACTGGAATGTCTCATAATAAACATGATGTCATCATTGAGTCCTCCAAGTTCCCAGCAGCCCAACCACCTGATCCCAACCAGCCTTCAAAGATAGAGACCGAGTACTGGCCCTGTCCACCCTCTCTAGCTACTATGGGTAAATGCTCATCAGCTTTCATATTTCTGACGCATTGGACAGTTAGCCCCGCCCACAATGACATTTTATTGGTCTCCTGCTCCACACTGCTTTACATTGACAGTAAAAAGTGGCATTTTTTTCCTCATTCTGTTATTGCACCTTTAGAGAAGCATGCATACTTACAGAAACTAGTTAACTTTTTATATACATTTCAAATTTGGAGTCTCTAAGGCCCCGTCCATTCTGTTTAAGAATGGTCACGCGATAGGCATTTTCAGTCGTTTTAATGTGGACGGAGATCAATTCTAATACGCAGATAAAACGCTGGTGTGGACGGAGATTGTATTCGTTTTAATTCTCCGTTTTTAAGCGAAAACGCAGTAGTGTGGGCGGGGCCTAACTCAATCCTTCTAGCGCCATCAACTGTCCAAATTTGCGCTTATAACTTTTACCTCAAGGGCTAAACAACATTTTGTCCTCTTATTCCTTGGCTCAAGACAATTCGATTGCATCCTATGACGCAATGTTTGTCTGATTTTCATCAAAAGTGCCTCATCATCTTCAGACCATGCTGACAGACCAAAACGTTCTCGAATAACGTGCGAACAAATTTGACGAACACGTCAAAATAGATGTATTATTGCTATATTGCAGCAATGCTTTAGCATATTTTTCAGACCAAAGTTGGTAAATGTCATCATAAGCATGACCTGGGGCTACCCACAGCGTTTTGGCACAGCGCCACCTACTGGGCAGGAGGTATGAAAAATTTATATATTAGCGTATAATTTCTGAACAGTTTGACCAAAAACTTTTCTCTTTTAATTCAGTGCAACATACCGAATGATACTCAGTATTTTTATATCGACCATTTTGGGCACCGGACAATTAAAATTTTGTCATAAAGGGCTGTATTTACAGTATAAACTTACTTAATGCTGTAAACTTTGTGTTTTGCCTTATTAGTAAGTGTACATTGATTGGTTAAATGCATGCGAAACACTGGCATCCGTCATTTGAAAAGAGCCATATAAACTCAGTTTATAGCCTATATATTTACTTCGCAAACATGAAAAACAGCGAGAAATGGACCAACGTCAAAGTCCAGGCACTTCTCAGCAGTTACGCCAAAGGAAATCCAATGCAAATTTAAAGGGACCAAGCAAAACATGATTACGTTTTTCGTTTTTTAGAATACTTTTTTGTATACTGTGGTACTATGTGGTTCTATCTAATAACATATAAGGACTGTTGACCGGCTTACGTCACTTAAAAGATCCAACTGCCGGTGAGAATGCAATAAGGAAAATGTTCTTGGGGGAACATTTAGTTCTCGGGGGACTCCCCTGGTCTTTACTATAACTACCTGATGCGAAAGCTCCTTCATTGATACACGCTCAAGGGCGATACACTTTTTTTTACTTCGTCTGTCAATTCCTCACAGAGATCGAGTGGAGAAAGAAAGCAGCCGAGCAGGGAAAACCAATGGAGGACGATGAGTTTGAGGACCTGACTGAAGATGCAAAGAGACTCCAGGAACAGGAACTCCTGAAGGTGAAAGCAGCTTTCGTCTGGAGCAGGACTCACTGCCCCATATCAATAAATCCTGTTCAGATTAATACCCCTCAATGTCTGTCTGTCTAGAATAAATCAGACGCTGGGCTGGAATATTTTCTGTAAGGCTAGATGATTAAGTGTTTTGTTCAGACTATTAAAATAAGGGAGTGCTGGAAGGATATGCACACACAACATGAGGCCAGTGCTTAATGGAGCTTTCTAATCATGACTGAGCTGTTTTGTTTTGTTTTTTTCAGATACAGTCCAACTTGGGAAAATTAATCCTGAAGGAGGAAATAGAGAATTCAGGGCTCATCCGCAGAAAAACACGTTCCTTGCCAGATGGGACAAACATACTTTTGGGTATGGGACATCTGTTTTAGTCTTAGTGCACTTCAACATTAGCCTGGCAATGCACCAGTTCACCAGCAGCAGCAGCCATTCTTTGTTTGTGAACCGTCGCATCTCTGTCGTCATTATGTTAAGCCCGCCCGCCGACTCTATACATGATGTGATTGGCCTGACTAGAGTTTGTTTTTTTCCAGCTTGAAAGTCAATGGAGAGTTGCTAGACTAGACTGGCGGCAAAATAATTTTTGCAGCCGCTAGGGGGAGTCTAGATTTCTTGGCTACTTCAACATGAAGTGCTTGAGTATTTGTTTTTGTATCCAAAAAGGATACACTTTTAAAAGTAAAGGTTCTTTATTGGCATCTGTGGTTCCGAAAAAAAACGTTAACATCCGTGGAACCTTTCCATTGTACGAAATATTATTTATAGAGGGACAAAAAGTTCTTTAGATTGTTAAAATAAGTCCTTTGGGGAACCAAAAATGGTTCTTCTATCTCTTCTGCAAGTCACAGAGGACACCCAGTGTTCAAATGATGAAATATGTTTGTGTGAATAGAAATTCTATAGAAAGAAATGTCAATTGTGCTTATAATTAAATGTTTCATTTCCATTCATTGCAGGATCATCAGCCAGTGCTACTAAATCCGCTTCTTTACCTCCTTGCAGTCGAACAGGCCTCACAAGGGTAAGCGAGATTCACCTTTAAAGGTATTTTATACATTTTAATCATGTTCCTCCCCTGACCAATATTGAAATATAATTGTAATTTAAATATGAATTTTAATTAAAATAGTCTTTTTACTGATTAATATCATCCATTTTTATTTTTAATAATAAAAATAATGAATAAGGAATTATTAAGATTATGTCATAATTAACATGCAATCTTTTGCTTATTAATGTCCTATGTTTTTTTTAATAATATTCAATATGACTATTTATTATTAGCATTGTTAATTTTAATGATTAAAATATAGACTTTCTTTACTGATTAATAGTATTAATTTATAATATTAAAAAAAAAATTCTTTTAGGACTTTTCTAAAAATACTCTATGTTTCATGTGACACTTTTAAATATGTCCCAATCATGTGTCAAACATGTCAACTCTTGTTTCAGATGTCCCTGTAGTCTTTTAATGTGTGTCCTGTGTTTTTTTTTTTTTCTCTCGGCATATAGCTGCAGTCTGCAGACTTTCCCTCCACAGACAATGGAAAAGTAAAAACAGGTACGGTCAGAAAACGTTAGTATACACAAGCAAGATTCTCATCATACATTAAAGTTCCAGTATGAATTATGTTAACAGAATAATAATTTGATCGAAATGAGTATGAACCAATATTTGGTACATCCCCCTTTGTATTTAATCATTTTTAAAGTTTTTGGACCTCAATGTATTTCCAAAATGATTCTGTGTTGTTGTCGTTTATGCGTTCTAATCTTTTTTTTCTTGTTATGTTTCTCAGGTGTACAGGTGAGATGGCGTTGTTTATTTGATTTAACAAGCATGGTGTTTGGGTTTTATAATTTGCTGACAGATATAGGCTCTGACATAGAAACCACATCCTGTTCCTGCTACTAATTAGCCTACACTCCTTTTCATGGCGCCTGACTCATGTGATCACCACATACTGTTTGCATACTTAAAGAGGTCCTATTATGCCCTTTTATGCATCTGCTCAGATGTAAATATTAAAGGAGTAGTTCACTTTTTTTTAAAAATTGCGGATAATTTACTCACCCCCATTTGAGCTTTTTTTTTTTTTTTTTTTTTTTTTTTTAAATGAGCGATCATTTCGCTTGATAGGACCCTTATTCATTGTCTGAAATCGTTTAAAAGCCCTTTGAACAGTTTGCAGTTTTGCACTGAAACTGTCTTTTGGACCTTGAACTGTTTGGTTCCCATTGAAGTCAATTATATGGAGAAAAATCCTGGAATGTTTTCATCAAAAACCTTAATTTCTTTTCGACTGAAGAAAGAATGACATGGATATCTTGGATGACATGGGGCTGAGTAAATTATTGGCAAAAGTTTTTTTTTTAGAAAAGTCTTCAATTTCAAACCAATTCAACCCTGATTCTTAAGAATGTTTACAAACAAGAGGATCATCCAGAATGGATTTCATACAAAGACTTTGCAAGCACAGATTTCACTGGACATTTCAGATCAGTGTTATTTTTTTGTAATTTTCGTATACATTTTAGATATGATGTTATACACCATTTAAACTTGAAACTTGTCGGAAAACTATGGTAATACAAACACACACCTAACTAATGTTGTTAACCTAACTAAGTGGAAAAGCATTATAGGACCCCTTTAGTAATGAGTCAAATGATCCTGGTTCATTATTATGGATGTAATGAAACCCTCCTCTCTAAATGTACCTGTCTCATATTGATCTCCTTTGTCCTGGGGGGCATTTGTCTCGGGCTGGGGTGGTGGCGTCTTCATAGAATGGCGATTCACAGAGTGGGAGAATGGACAGAGGAAACTCTCTTCCTAGTATTCTGGAACAGAAGGTGAGGCAGATCTTAAGAGACCCTCCAAAGTTTTCATGCTCTGCTTCTCTCTTCTAACCCCATGCCATACATTCACTCACATCCATGTTGCTTCTGCCTTGCATCCATTGAATGCAGAATTCAAAATGGCAGTATCACTGAAGGCAACATTGAACTGAAAACTTTGGAGGCTGAATGTGCAGTAAACATTCTCCCTTGAGCAAACCTTTTGGAAGCCTTTGGCCTGTTTTCTGAGTACTGAATATAATGTCCTCAAAATATAATAAAATGCCCTGTCCCTTCAGATATATCCATATGAAATGCTGATTGTGACCCACAGAGGGCGCAGTAAGCTTCCTCCAGGTGTTGACAGAACCAGATTAGAGGTAAGTCCCAAATGAGCACTAGTGAACATTAGTAAAGAGTTAAGTCAGTTTAGCTGATTTGCACCTATCAGCTCAAAAGAAAAATAATACTCCTAAAACAATATTCATAATAAATAATTATTAAAGTATTATTATTACTATAGTTATTATTATCATATTATGTTTTCCAAAAACTTCCATAAATAATATATATTTTTTTTTATTATTATTATTATTATTATTATTATTAAATTGTTCATTTATTTGTATAACAAACACTTCTATGAAAAATAAATAAATAAATAAATACATAATATTTTTTTAAATGCATTTTAATATTTTCAAATTGTTCATTTAAATTGTAATAAAAAATTAATTAAAATAAATACTGTTTTTAATAAATGATTATTATTGTTGTTGTTGTTTCATAAACACCCCATGACAAATAAATCATATTTTTAAATACACTTCATTCTCTATTGTTCATTTATGATTAGTATTATTATTGTTCATTATTGTTCATTAATTATATATTATTACATTTTTCCTTAACACTCCTACACAAATATATTTATTTGTATTTTTTTTTTATTATTATTACTGCATTTTTCCAAACCCTCCAACCAAAATAAAAAAATGAATGCATTTTCATAAAATAAAAAAATGGATTTTTTTCTTAATAATATTATTATTATGTTTTTTAAACACTCCCACTACAAATAATAAATGTCAATAAAATACATAAATATAAGAAATGTATAAACACTTTTTCTTTTCTAAACAAATATTATGATTACAGTATCCATATATCTCATCTTATATTAGGTGAGAAACAATAAACTGAATTTTCATATAATATTTAGTGCAATATTTGACGTTAAACTGTAGGATTTTGTCTCAGACTGCACGTCTGTAATGTGGCTGACTCTTTTGATATATTTATATATTATATTTGTGTATTTAATAGAGGCATCTGTCTCCAGAAGACTTCCAGAGCTTATTTGGAATGGCCATCACAGAATTTGATCGTCTGTCGCTATGGAAACGGAATGACCTGAAGAAGAAAGTGTCCCTTTTCTAACATTTGGACATTTGGACTCGGACATTGAAACACTCTCCCTCCAGAGACGCTAGTAATAACCACTCTAATCCAATACGGATGCTATGCAGACATTTCAAGATAAGTAAGGAAGATGACGCAACATTACCAGACGTTATTTCAATCACACATACAGCAGTCTCTCAATATGTCTCTGGTGTACATAATAAAGACAGGGATGACTATTCACGCATCCCTTACAGTCACTCCATATATGAAAACTCGGATTATTAGTGATGGATTATCGATTTCATAAACCGCTTCAGCCCTTTCTTTACGCCTTATGTCTATTTTAAAATCTTAAAGTGCCCAGAGAAGTTTATAATAATAGGCCTATATATTTACACAAAGTTTAAATTGTAAACCATCTCTTTTGTTTCAACTGTGTTCACTGATATTACACTATAAAAGTTATTTATTGTATCCCAAACATGTCTGGCACTGTACATATATCATGTTATTTTTATCTATTCGTGATGTTGATTCAGTTAAGCTTATAAAAAACACTAGATGAACATTTCTACCACCTTGAAAAAAATGAAATGTTCCTTTTTCAGTCATTAAAAAAATGCATGGACACGGAGTATACAAAATTTATTGAGTTTTACCGATACAAGCCACTGCGAAATATGACTCCCATTTGTGCTAATAGCAACAGTGTTATATTGTGGACTAATTTGACATAACTAAGCTCAGGCTTGCTGGAAAGATCTGGCTTTTGGTTCTCGTACACTGTTGGTGCTTCATGCAGTAGGTTGTAATTACTGAACAACACTAGAATAGCTTTGTTCCACACGAAGCCTTTAGCAAACCATTTACTTCAATTTCAAATGTCTGTTGCCGATGCATACATACGGTTTTCCACTGCCGTTAGTAGTTATTCTCCATTGCAGTCTTTTGAAATGGCATAGGTGTTATCAAATCATACTGGACACTGTCCAACGTTCATGTGTCTGGTCATAGTTGTCTCATCACCGTTTTTCTGTAACAACACGGTGTTAAGTTGAAAAAATAAAAGCTTCATGTTAGATTTTGTGTCGAGAAACATTTGTTTGGTACATTTAATTTAATGAACAACCATGGTGCATTATAATCTGCATACTATGTGCAGTTGTCTTGTTAAATAGAACTAAGTTTGGGGTCTGTGAGATTTTGAATGTTTTTGATTGTCTCATGCTCACCGAGGGCATTTATTTGATCAAATATACAGAGAGAAAAAAAAAAAAAACGAATATTGTTTTCTATGTGATAAATGTAATTTATTGCAACGCATTCTCACCCCAAGGCGTCACCTTTGACCATGCTTCAATATTTGACGTTTTAGGCGCCCTTTAGCTTCACTTACATGACGCGATCCTACGGCGTCATCTAACTGACGCTAAAGGAAAGCGTCTGTTAGAGGACGCGGTTAGGTTTAGGTGTGGGGGTAGGGTACACGCGATCCTAGGGCGTCATCTAACTGACGCTAAAGGAAAGCGTCTGCTAAAGGACGCGGTTAGGTTTAGGTGTGGGGTGGGGGTAGGGTACACGCGATCCTAGGGCGTCATCTAACTGACGCTAAAGGGCGCCTAAAGCGTCAGATATTGAAGCATGTCCAAATGCTTCCCAAAGCGTCAGTTAGGTGACGCCTTGGGAGTGAGAATGGGCTGTTTATTGTTGTGATATCAAAGCTGTATTTTCAGCATCATTACTCCAGTCTTCAGTCAATTGATCATTCAGAAGTCATGATGATTCGATGCTCAAGAAGAAACACTGGTTATCAATGTTGAGAACAGATGTTCTGCTTCGTTTTTGGAAACAAAAAAATTGCGTGAAAAAAAAAAAGGATTTTTTGATGAATATAAAGTTCAAAAGACTGTAACAATGTTAATGTTAACCTTACACTTTTGATCAATTGAATGCCCTTGCTGAATTAAATAAACAGAGACCCTTACAGAGAATTATTTTTTTTAAATCTTACCCTATAAAACCTTTAAAAAATGATATAAAAAAGTGCATATTTTTACTTTACATTATAAGTTACTACATACTTTAAACTAACTTTTATCATTTTCATTTTTTAAATTATATTTTATATTATAAACATGCATTTTTTATTGTATTTTTATGTGATAAAGTAACTCATAACCAATTAACTGGGTTTTTAATGTTTTAGAAATGTTTAAATTATAACCATGTTATAGTGATAAAAAGGAACTGTCAGTGCAAGTATTCACTGATTTTCAGAAACATGTGGACATCACAGAATTAATCACACGGTAGATTAAACTATTAGCGCATAACATTAAGACATTTTAATCTCGAACATTAACATAATTACCTGCATATTTAGAGAAGCAGGCACTGGAAAAGTGAACAAGGAAAAGTGTTTTAGATTTCCTGTCTGTTTCATATAACTGAACACAAGGTGTTAGCAGTGTTCAATACTTCTGTCAGGACTACTATAGGCCTATTGTATATTCCGAGACTCATATCCTATAGACCTTATGTAGCCCCGCCCCTATTCAGCGCTGCACTCATTGTCTTTTGTCTTCCGGTCTGTATTTTCACAGCGATCTTGCCTATTTATGAATGAATGGCTCGTTTTAAAATCTTCCCCGGTCTACTGACATTTGTTAAGACAATTGCTTTAAACATTACAACCCTCATGATAACTTTTGTTAACTTCACATTACGTAAATCCACTTCAAAGTGAATTAATCCTGGACTGCCATAGAGATATACACAGAGAACGCAAAACCGGAAGTTCAAAGACAATATTCTAAAGATGGCGGCTCCCACGTTTCTCTGGTGCATAAGGTCTATAGCTACCTGTATAATAAATTGAATTACTATTGCATAGGGTATAATTGAAAATAAATGCCAAAATAATGGTGTATTTTCGCATTCAAATCTTTAGCATAATCGGTGAGAAAAATTCAACCCGATCTCACGATAATTCATACAAATTTTACGAGGTGGCTAATTCGTAACAATTCGTACGACCTCACTCGAATTAGTACGATTTTAGCTAAATTGTACATATTTTACGAGTAGGGCCAATTCGTATGAACTTGTACGAATGACATACCCCTGACCCCGCCCCTAAACCTAACCATCACATGGGTTTAGACAAATCGTACAAATTCGTACGAGGTTGTATCAATAGAGTGCCGAAGTGATGACGTCATGTAGGACAACTCGGAAGCTAGCGGCGCATGGGTTCGAAAAGCTATGCATTTTCCCCATAGACTTTTGAAAAATCGCAAAAAATAAGATCTGTGTTTAACAAAGAGTTGTGTCCCTTACACGTTTTGTCTATCAAGATAATCTTTACAAGTTAATCCAAATACATTTTTAAGCCTATATAAAGTTTTTTTTTAACACAAGTGTACACAATAAAGTTTAAAAAAACACAAGCAGGTTTGTGTTCTACGCATGTCATAGATCGAAATGTGAAAATATTTAGAGGCTTTATTCACCACAGACCTTATTTCAGGCGATTTAGCAAAAACCCATTCAAAAATCCCATAGACTTTAGAGCGAGGGAACCAGGAGTGCTAAAATGCTAACTCACTTCTGCGTTTTGGCCTATAGAGTGATGTCGTAACTTCGGCACTCTATTCTTACGAGTTAGCTACCTTTTAATCACTCTTACAAATTCATACAAATTGGTCGTGAGATAGCAATATTATGAAACTAAGTGTATCATCAGGATGTTAAATGTCAAACTAACTTCTACCACACTTTTGAAAGTTTACTTTTACTTAGTATATCCATGCCGACTCCCCTACCTCCCTCCCTCCTGCACCCCCTCATTAAACAGCCTGTCCACAATGTGGAGCTCAATTGTATTCGCTGGAGCGCTGCTGCAGATCTCCATTGTATGATTGGAAAGGCAACCCCTCAGGTGGCCCATCGGGTCCGTACCTTTCACTTTCTGGTGGTCTAAATGGGTTTCTGGCTGTTTCACTCCCACAATAGAATGACTGGAGACAGGTCACGTGACCACCTGTGAGTCAGACCAAGACAAAAGATAGCCACCGGGAAGCCAAGTGCATTGAAAAAAAAACCACAGCAGCTTTTTCAGTTTTTCCGTTTTGCAATGCACGTGCTCCATTATGCTGATCTTTAACGTGGCCTGCGAACACGGTAATCTGTTATGTATTTTTCCATTCCTTTCATGTCTTCGCAGCATGTAGCTTTAAGACATCAATGACAATTAGGCCTAATGAAACTTTGTATGTGTGGGCACAGCGAATGTCAAAAATGTGCAAGGATATCAGAAGTAAAGCCTAATAATCCCCCATATAAAGCAGCATAAATTCTAACTGAACCACTTTTAAGTTTCACCCCTTTGACTTTGATCCTATTTTAATTGGAGGAAACATGCTAAGTTCGCATACTTATTTCTCTGAAAAACACTTCTACAGCCAGTTACTTTACTTTGAAATGTGTGTTTCCAGGCTGGAATGTTTGTGCTTGTTTCTGTTTTGGTCTGTGATATTGCACATTAGGCCTACCAACTTGTCAATTTTCATTGTCCAGTTGCTGTTCATGTTGCATGTGCTCAAACTGGCAACCCGTGTGAACGTCGTCCAGTCTGAGTGAGGAGCAGGTGGCGGGAGAAACAATGATATCGGATATTTTGGACTGCAGTACCTATTTCGACCACTAGTTGTTATTCTTACAGACTGCACTTTTAATTACTCAAAACACACCGTGCCTTTAAGCAGATGCAACATTGTAAATGTACTTTATTTTGCAAACGAGTTCTAAAACTATAAAGTATAATGTGCGACTAATATCCTATGTAGTGAGCATGGATTTGTGTTGTTTTACACGGAAATTCACATTGCTCACGTTTTGTAAATGAGGCCTGTTGAGTGATGAAACACTTTGAAATATCATAATCTATCATCATCTCATTTTGAAGTTTTTATGATGCATAAATTGATGATGAAGCAAAAACGGCAGCCTTGGGATTCGTCTTAACTGATCACAACAGCCGTTCGACTTGATTTTGCATGTCCAAAGCCCGTCAAAACCTACAAATGTTGTCTTCCTGTGCTATAGATTTAGGATTATATAGGATTAGTTCACTTTAAAAAAAAAAAAAAAAAAAAAAAAAAACTTTTGTCCATGTCATTCTTTCATCAGTCGAAAAGAAATTGAGGTTTTTGATGAAAACATTCCAGGATTTTTCTCCAATGGACTTCAATGGACTCCAACAGTTTCAAGGTCCAAATGACAGTTTCAGTGCAGCTTCAAAGGGCTTTAAACGACACCAGACGATGAATAAGGGTCTTATCTAGTGAAACGATTGGTCATTTTAAAAATAAATAAAAAAGTTTACGTTTTATAAGCACAAATACTCGCCTTGCTCTGTTCTGTGATGCGCATTCGTGACTCTCCAGTTCGAACTCGTTCATAAAAATGAACAAATATTTTTTCGAGTCGTTTGTTCATTCAACGAACGAAATGAACGACATGACTCGAAAAAAGATCTGCGAAACTATCATTTGGACCTTGAAACTGATGTAGTCCATTGAAGTCCATTATATGGAGAAAAATCCTGGAATGTTTTCATCAAAAACCTTAATTTCTTTTCGATTGAAGAAAAAAAAAAAACATGGACATCTCGGATGACATGGGGGTGAGTAAATTATCAGCAAACGTTTTTTTTTTTTTTTTTTAAAGTGAACTATAATGCTTTAAGGTTAAAGTCACCATGATTTCAAAATTGAAAACTCAAAACTGAATTAATCTTTAATAAAAATAACTTCCCCTCCCTCTTGTAGTGACATCTCTTCTCTGATGACGTGTTTACTGGCCCGAGGGCAGGACAACCTGTCAATCACGTGAGATTGACCAATGGCAAACCACAACCATCCAATCAATTCCACATGGAAAAAGTAAAGTCCTGCCCCGAGAAGCCGTTTCACTCAGATATAGGCCTACATCAAAATAGGGAAGAAAAGCCTATCGCAACTTGCGTTTCATGGTGGCTTTAAGCAAAGTTCAGAGTGTATTTATCACCCAGAAGGAGAAATGGAGATGGCAGAATCTGTCACTTCAATGAAGCAATGTTGTGAGACGGAGAAACCAGGGCAGATGGCTAACCCTCAAGTAAGAAGATCTAATTCAGAACTTGCATTTCAGTTCACAAATGAAAGTGTGTGCAGAAGGCCTTGAGCAGCACTCATCACAAAAAAGTTATGTGATGATTCTGAGCAGCAGACTTGTACTATTTCCTTAGTGCTAAATGATGCATCTTGCAGCTTCATCACACCTCCGCTCATGGTGTAGATGTGTGTGGTTCTTCTGCCTCTGATGAAGCTGTCATATTTCATCTGCACTCTGCTAAATTGTTTTGCAGAGGCTCTACACAAATTGGCGTTTAGTATGCCCAACTTTCCTCAAAGAAATGAAGAGTTAGATATATGTGGCAGAGAATCCGTTTGATTCCATTTCATAAGCTCTAGAAGAACTGCTTTAATTCGATTCCGATTAATTCAGGCATTTACAATGTCCATTTTGCTTTCAAATGAAATTAAGTGTCAATTACAGGGCCTTGTTTCAGATTTATTGATCTTGAGGAATCGAGCTATCGCACACGTTTTAAGTTTTTTTTTTTTTTTTTTACATTTGCATTAGTCAGATTTAAAATGCTGACTTTAATTAAACACATTTGATTTTGCGGTAATCACATTCAAGACCTAAAACATGGTAAACAAGCAACGGAGACACTTGGGCTTTGAGTGTAAGCTAATGAAAGGCATGTGAAATGCAATGCGATCTTCATTAGGGAAATGTTTATTAAGAAAACAGTGGGAGACAGCAGTTTATACACCATCTTACAAAACAAACACTCAGTGAAAAGCATGTACAAGCAGAATACTGATACAACATGTGTTGACTAAGAAGTTTAAATTAAATATAATATTTTGCACATCTGGTCACAATATGTACAGACCCTGAATCCATTTGTGAATCAATGTATTTCACCGTTTAGATTACATTACATCAGACAACAACACATTTACATTGGAAAAATGCAGATCCCAAAAAATAAGTACAATATTTGTATTTAATTTTTTTTAATGCCACAACACTTTTCAAGGGTTAATAATGCAGTAGAATTCCATGCATATTTACACAGTACCTGAAGCTATGCATAAAATTTCTGATGTAGAAATCACTCATTTTAAAAACATGAAAACATATAATTTTTTAAACCTATTTATTTGTTTAAATTATTGTATATACTGTATTCGTTTTTGAATAAAAGACCATACGTTGTGTCACTCATGAGAAATTAAGCTATCTCATGTTAAATAGAAGGCTCAGAAGCACAACACATAAGGATTAAAGGTAGGGTAAAGGCAGTCTTCGGAGATAGCAATGGCGAGCTAGCTTTGAAAGCATAAGATCCCAGCCTCCCTTCAGAGCGTCTCCAAAGCCACGCCTCCTTCAAAACACGTGATAATGGCATGCGAGCAAACAAAAGCATCACAGAGACGGCGTTTAACTACTTCATCTCAAAGCACATAACATTACAATAATACTGAACAAAAACAACTCAATGAGCTCTGACCTGTACCACCTGACTGCTGCAGATTCATTTCAGCATTGATAGTGTTGCCATAGAAGCATATATATTCAAGTCTCTATTGTAACAAATTACAGTAGTTATGGTGTGAACGCTGCATAAGCTCATTGTTTTGGCTCAGAAGGAACTGTAAAAGGCAGCTGCTGTTTCATTTGCGGTGTGCATTCGGACAGAATTCAATGATTGGACAAACATTTTATGGTCCTACGCCTTCCACAGATGATATATAGGCAGGCTACATGTAAATTTAGACCACTTACTTCAACGTTTATGTATTTATAGCGCATTTAGGGCTTCACAGTTTATAGTAAAAACATACATCTATAAAAAGATTTATCAAGGCTAGCAGATGAACGCATGACTAAACACTCCTAGACATTCCCCTCACCCACCAACAGTATAATGCGATTAGTGTGGAGAGAAATAAAACCAACTAAAAGTAAGTAATAACTACAATGTACACTACCCTTAACTAAAAGCTAAAGTTAAAAAGATACGTTTTTAACTGAGACTTAAAGTTGGCATGAAACGGAAGTTGAGATTGTCATTTTTTCCTTGTTGTGACGTATATCCGAGTGAAACGGCTTCTGAAAATAAAAAAAAAAATGTAGGGCGGAGCTTGATTTCATCCTTTGGGAATTGATTGGATCGTTGGAGGTTGGGTGTTGCAAACAAAATGGAGGCAGATTTGAATGCTGAGAGTCGATGCATCGATAGCCGCACCCTCATCGGCTCTGGCCGCACCCTTTCGCCATTGCACGCGACCGAGAGAAGAGAGGTCGTTTCGAGGGGGGAGGGAAGGGTTATGTATTTGATTAAAGATCATAAGGGTACATGAATTTTTTTTTTTTTAAATAATGAAGTGCACAGATAAAACATTTTAAATAAACACTGCAATATTACATATAAAAAGAAGATTTGTCAAATTTGATTTCATGCTGACTTTAAAGATTTCTCTTGTTTGAGCTAATCGGGTATGACTGTTTCACAACTTGGGAGCCACAGCTGAAGAAGTTCGGCCACCCTTTCATTTCTTTTTAGAATAGGGTACCGCCAGCAGGGATTGGTTAGTTGATCTTAATGTCCTGTCTGATGTGTAAGAATCTAAAAGTTCAACAATGTAGTTGTAGTTAAAGGGGTCATATAATGCACTTTTACAAGTTGATTGTACTGATATGTGTGTAGGCAGTGCCTGTACACAACAATCACATAACGATAAAAATACATCCAGTGTGTTCTTTTAATCTCCTTATGTTTTCCTGTCTCAAATCGAGTCGTCTGACTGTGTGACTGTGTGTATGTATCATGTCTCACTCACAGAAAGCGTGCAGCCATATACCCCTATTCATAATTTGCACGTGATATCACAAGTACTGGCTGATGGCGGGCAAGAATGTCATTCTCTAGCAACAAAACCCAGTAAACTAATTAAGGATCGTGCCAGGACGTCGCCAATTTTAATGAACAAAAGTTGCATTCATCTGTAACTGCTATGTGATTTAATTTGATCAACTTAATTAATTTAATTTGATCTAATATGCATCTACTTATTATACAATTACTTTGCATGCATACACTTACTACATGTACACTACTATACTACAGTACATCCTAACAGAATGTCAGTCTTGTAATCTTAACTGTGCTCACACATTTGCAAGTAGGTGGCGAGAACGCGTTCATCTGTAACTTTTGCGTGATTTGATTTGATATGAGAAGATGAATAAATGGAGAATGAATGACACGTTACTGTTGTACTCCGTCTACTTATTACTTACAGATACTTTGCATACATACTATTGTACACATTACTATACAGCCTTACAGATTGCTAACATGATTATACGCATTTCGCTGCTCTTGTCTGTTGTCTGATCCTATGTGGAGTGGATAAGCAGGTAGGCTACAATGTTTGACATTGTGCTAGCCATATACAGTATGATACAGTTGACTTAAGTTTTTATGTTGTACTACTTATCAAGCTGTCATTCCCCGGCAGGCAGGGTGTACATATTCAGATGAAGACGTCATCACACGATGGAACAGATCAATTTGTCAAGTCAAGTCAAGTATATTTATATAGCGCTTTTATATAGACCATTTCACAAGATGTAAACAACACTGGTCCAGAAACACTTCCTGTTTCAGTTTGTTTTCTTTATTTCACATGTAACTGTTTTCAACTGTTTTCTTTATTTCACATGCAAAGAAAACATCTTAAAGATGTTTGTTGAACTTTTTGATTCAGTTTTAAATGTTCTGTTGGTTGTATTTTATCCCAGCTTTTATGTAGTGTTAAAAAACTGAAACAGGAAGTGCTTCTGGACCGGTGTTGTTTACATCTTGTGAAATGGTCTATAGATTGCATCAAAGCAGCTTCACAGTATTAATTTGAATATCCCCAAGTTTGTGTAACGTTCTGCAAACATAAGCATACAGACCTTTGCTTTGATTATGAAGTTGTTCCTGTTTTTCACCTCCCATATGACAGCGTTTTTAAGCCATCCACTCTTGAAAAAAGATAACAATTTGTACTTTTGAAGGCTTTCATTTTTTGTGCGGTGTAAGGTGACAGATTCTCTGCAAGATATATGTAAATATCTCCAAACTCCGAGTCTGGTTGAGACTTTGCCAGCTTCAAAGCAATGAAAACATCAGCGGGTGCTGTGGATGGATCACACATTCCGAGTATGTTAATCTTTTCTTGATATCTAATTTTAACATTCGGTGACATATGGTCTACTAAATAGTTAATTGATTCGCAATTTTGTCAGCTTTTGTTGCCCGCCAGGTATCCATGGTAGTCACGTGACTGCAAAGTATGAATACAGCGCGCATGTAAAATTGAGCTGTTTCGTGTGTGAATGGACAAATACACACAACTTTATGTTTAAATGTCCGTTTTGGAGAGTATTCACGTAAAATAAGTCATTAACAGAGTTGTCATCCAGTCTCTTTGGTATAGACCCTTTTACGGTTTGTACACAATGATGACGTGGCAACGTATGCGCGCGCATATTGGCAACGGAAGTATGGCGAGAATCAGCATTGTGTCAAGCTCGGTCAAGCTACGCGAGCGGATTTTTAATATGTCCTCGCTCCAATCAACACGTTTAATCGCCTGCAGCCACAGGCACCGCCGGTTCTTCTGAAATGGCCGTGATTCTGTCGCAAATATAAAACTTAAGCCCCTTGGTGGAATATTGATTAGTGCAACCGTAAACGCAACAACCAGACATTTTGAAGCTGGGAAACCGTTTTAATAAACTTTCGGAGTTGCTAACACGTTACAGTCAGTGGGAAACAACACCACTTTCGTTGCCAAAATGCGCAAGCAACTATTTGATCACGTGGGCTGTAAAAGGGTCTAGAGAGAGAGAGAGGGGAAGAAAACAAACAAGCATTCAAATGGAAATTATCGTGGCCGGAAAAATAAACAAGGAAAGATTAAATGATTTAATGGCTACCGTGACAGGCCTAATCCAGATTAATGACAGCTAGCCATGAGCCGTGACTAACAGCTGGCAAGCTACCAGCTGTTAGCCTCTTAACTAGCTAACCACGCTACCTAGTCAGAGAAAACATCCACTAAAATCACACATTTAAATTGTTTTCAATAATACTTATTACATTTCCCATGATTATAAATCCTTGGTGGCCAGGTACTGCACTTCTACCCATCTAGCCACAGCATACTGGTATGCATTGTTACTTTTAAAAGCCTTCAAGCGATCCCCACTGTATGGGGAGTAATGAACTCATTCAACTTAGCGCTATTATTTACTAATTCATTAATCAGAGTTTCTTGTTAGTAAATAGTAGTTACTAGAATGTTAATATTGCGTTACTCATTTGTTCCTGAGTAGTTAGAATAGTATTCTAAAGTGTTAACACATTTTCTTTCATGGGACTTAACCCAAGCAAATCACAAGTATTATGATGTACCAGATGAGCCACCAAGCTACTAGCATTCATTTCAGCTAAAAATTGCATTGAGTTGTGTGTACAGGTATGTTTTAATGTTTGTTTGTTTTAAAAAAAGAGGTATGTTTTTCCAGTGATGCTACGTGGGAAACTTCACTGTCTTGGGATGTTTTGATGAATCTGACTTATTATGATTCCCAATGAACTCCTTCCAAACAGTGTTTCTTGACTTATAGACGAGCCAAGAGGATGTATTTTGCACCACCCAATTATATAACCAGATTGAGAGCAGTCAGAGTTTTAGAGCCTCATGCACTCCCATAGCCGAGAGTCGGCGGTTGATGTTTCGATAACGGCAGCATAACAGGTCTTTATAAGTTGAACGCAGGTCTCGGTTGAAGAAGGCGTAGATGAAAGGGTTCATGAGCGAGTTGGTGTAGCCCAACCAAAGCAGTACCCGCTCCAGCCAGACAGGGGCGCAACTGCAGAGCAGCCCGCAGATGAACGGCCGCGCTGTGGTGAAGAGGAAAAACGGCAACCAGCAGATCGAAAAAATTCCCATGATCACCCCAAGAGTGGTGGCCGCCTTCTGCTCCCGCCTGAAAATCGAGGCGCTCTGACGTTCGCGGTTCAACAGGCAGGAGAGGGTGGAAAACTCCTCGGTAGCTGCAGGGTTCTTCATCCCTTGCATGCAGAGCCCCTCTACGGTGGCCAAGACTGGTTCAGGACAGGCTATCTGAATTGGGGGAAGTGCGGCGAAGTGGTGTTTGGCCCCACTTTTGCGGGCAGCTTTGAAAATCTTGTAATACATGAAAAGCATGACCACCATTGGAATGTAGAAGGCCACAGCTGTGGAGTAGAGGGTGTAGCCCACATCCTGGCTGATCAGACACACTCCCGCAGTGTTGACGTTCTGAGCCCAACCGCAGAATGGTGGCAGAGTAATGGATGCAGACACCAACCAAACGCCGACTATCATCTTGGCCATAAGCAGTCCATTCTGTCTCGCTGGGTAGGTCAAAGGGCGAGTGATTCCGAGGTATCTGCGGAAACAGAGGATAGCGCGTTTAATGAGGTAACTTATGGAAATGTTTAGCAGCGAACTGCATTCCTCAAAACGACTGAACCCAAAGATCTTGCACCTACCCTGGTATATTCCAGATATGGCTAAAAATTCCTCAAAATCACCAGACCCAATAAATTCCTACTGACCTGAATTTTGCCAACAAACTGAGTGGAATAATCATTGTTCACAACTAAATCTCTGGTATGTCAGACAATCCAACTAACCAAGCAACTCGGCCAACAAAAGTAGCATCCGGGGGGGGGAAAGCAGTATGTGAAATTTGTAGAAAGTCCAAAATCACAGTATTCATAAAACATTAGGCGTAAAGTACCAGGATGACCTACTACTACAGCCGAGATTCTGAGTAGTAAATCCACTGACAGCGAAAGGCACACGACCTGTGTTCCTCACCACATGTAGTACCTCCCTTGTTTTTCGGACGCCCCATTAGATTCATATACATATATAACGGGTTGGCGCGTATGGTTGGGTTGCATAGAGATTGTGAGATTGTGGTTAGGTCACATGTGAACTACGAGGAAGGAGCAACCTCAGCAGCAGGAGGGATGTAAAGATCAGTAAGCTGGGCTGAGTAGAGTGGGGGACGGAGGGGGGTGACTATGGGATGCCAGAGTCACTGTCGAGCCTTCTTGAGGTGTCATGGGCTAGAGTGTGAAGTCGTCAATAATCGCGGTGGTGTGGATACTGCCATTCAGAATCACACATTATTGTTTTTTGGAAGTATGACCAAGACCAACATAAGAATTTTCACTGGAAAATGTAATCTGAACTAGTAAGAAACATCCACGTTTGTTCTGGTTCTGACATTGCAGTAAATCGCGCTGATTAAATATAACAATCGCTTATCATTTCACGCAAAACCGTGCAAATTATTCTTTGATCTCAAATTGTTAATGTTAACAATGTAGGCATTGCATGACTACATGTAATGCCCTTCCGATATGTCTCCTTGTTTTTGCATGGGACCAGTTGCAGTCTCTTTTTTGTCTGTATAGCCACTTCGAATTCGGAAGTCTTTTGCATTTTACAGCGGATGAATCTGTTGTCACTGGTGATTATCATTTGAACCTTTCTGGATCCGCCATCAAATTGATAAGTTTAATTATATCCAGTACTGTGAGAAAAGGCTATAAATCTCCACCTCCAGCAACCTCACACACAATATAGCTTATACTAGCCGAGACTCCTTCTTTATGTGTGCAGATGTGACGTAATGACGCAAAGAGGTGCTTGAATTTCCCACGGAAATCCACCAGTACCACTGGAATTAAAAGCATTGTTACAAACTTACCGCTTAGAATCGAGCTAATGCAAGCAGTTGTGGATGCTGGTAATGTATTTTCTCAAATATGTATTTTGGATCATTTTAATCCAAAAAAAGCTACAGACTGCGGCAATGCTACTCACCATGCAATTCTTATATGTATACCCTTGGACATGAAGTAAGGAATATAGCCTGTTACAGATGTTTCTGTTCTCATAGTCCACATCATTAATGTCGAGACTGAAACGCGCCTCTAAAGTTTACAGTTGGAGCTGGGGCTTGGGGATTACTGTGATCCAATATGTTTAGCTTTGAAGGTTTGAATCCTTAAAATTAAAAACAAAATCACATTCTCTAGAGATTTTCCCACAAATCACTGCATTCATACATCAAAATTTGATTTCATCAAATTCCGTTTCACATACGTGAGCATTTCAAAAGACTTCAGTGTAACTAAAGGTTCTCTAAATTTTGAATAGCACACAGTACATTGGCTTCTCTTTACCTACTAAAGCAGAAAGTCTCTATACTCCTGCCCACTTCTAAAAATAAAAGCTTTCATTTCACGCATGAGAATCCCTCTCTGATCAAGAAAGGGCTTAGAGACACACTTATTGGACCTGACACTTAAGGTGGTTAAAACCTTTCATACACCAACACAGAAACTCCATATAAATCGCTGAACCATGTAACCATTTTATAATAGTTGCTAAAGTGCTCTCTTTAACTTTTTAATTTAGTTTATTATTCAGATAATTAAAACATAATGAGTTAAATATATTGAATATAATTTGGAGGTTATATTAAAGATAAATCATTATTTATTTATTTAAAAAAAAGTTTTGTTCAAATAACCCTATACAGTACAAATGAGCAATAGTATTAGTGATGTTTGTATTAGCAAGCACCACTCATGATATGCAGATGACTGAAAGCCTCTTCATGTCATCATCAAACACTGTGCTATCAAATATAGACTAAATCAGTAGGGTAGCATCTTTTGATGTCGAGTACTGTCTACACTCCATTTTGCTCTTTGTGCCTCCTGTCATACTGGATGAAATACAGACCGCTTGCAGACGCCTCTCAGAAAACTGGAATAATAACTGGATTTAAAACAGTACTCAAATTGGAAAAGTAAAATAGGATATGAACAATGTAGTCTGGGGAACTTCTCAAGATTGGACAACTGATGCTAACAGTTGAAGGTCAAGCAAATGAGCGGAAGATATTGTGACTCCTAATGAGACATACTTTGAGAACCAGCAAAAGAATTAAAAGGGACTTCAAGGACAGACATTGGTAGTTACAAAACCCAAGCTTTGAAAGCCATATTCAGTCATTAGAGACAGTACACCAGACAAAAGCAGCTAATTCAGACAGGTGGATGAATGCATTTCATTCTGAGTATCATCAGCAAGCACTTAAATCAGTTTCTGTGTACTTCAGTCATGGGCCGGATGTAATCACAGCATAACATTTTCTGCTGTTGTAATTGATTTTGAAAACAACATTTGCTGTTGCAAAAACCATTGAGATACATTGTAGGTGTACTCTACACCACAAAAACTAAGGCAAGCTTCAAAAGCTGGCCAAATACACTCACCAAAAGGATTATTAGGAACACCATACTAATACTATGTTTGACCCCCTTTCACCTTCAGAACTGCCTTAATTCTACGTGGCATTGATTCAACAAGGTGCTGAAAGCATTCTTTAGAAATGTTGACCCATATTGATAGGATAGCATCTTACAGTTGATGGAGATTTATGGGATGCACATTCAAGGCACAAAGCTCCCGTTCCACCACTTTCCAAATGCACTATTGGATTGAGATCTGGTAACTGTGGGGGCCGTTTTAGAACTCATTGTCATGTTCAAGAAACCAATTTGAAATGATTTGAACTTTATGCCATGGTGCATTATCCTGCTGTAAGTAGCCATCAGAGGATGGGTACATGGTGGCCATAAAGTAAAAAAAACAATGCTCAGGTAGGCCGTGCCATATAAACGAGCCCCAATTGGCACTAAGGGGCCTACAGTGTGCCAAGAAAACATCCCCCACTCCATTACACCACCCCCAGCAGCCTGCACAGTGGTAACAAGGCATGATGGATCCATGTTCTCATTCTGTTTACGCCAAATTCTGACTCAGCCATCTGAATGTCTCAACAGAAGTTGAGGCATAATCAGACCAGGCAACATTTTTCCCATCTTCAACTGTCCAATCAATTTTGGTGAGCTCTTGCAAATTGTAGCCTCTTTTTCCTATTTGTAGAGGAGATGAGTGGTACCCGGTGGTGTCTTCTGCTGTTGTAGCCTATCCGCCTCAAGGTTGTGGATGTTGTGGCTTCACAAATGCTTTGCTGCATACCTTGGTTGTAATGAGTGGTTATTTCAGACAAAGTTGCTCTGCTATCAGCTTGAATCAGTCGGCCCATTCTCCTCTGACCTCTAGCATCAACAAGGCATTTTTTGCCCACAGGACTGCCACATACTGGATGTTTTTCCCTTTTCACGCCATTCTTTGTAAACCCTAGAAATGGTTGTGCGTGAAAATCCCAGTAACTGAGCAGATTGTGAAATACTCAGACCGGCCCCTCTGGCACCAACAACCATGCCACACTCAAAATTGCTTAAATCACCTTTCTTTCCCATTCTGAAATTCAGTTTGGAGTTCAGGAGATTGTCTTGACCAGGACCACACCCCTCAATACATTGAAGCAACTGCCATGTGATTGGTTGATTAGATAATTGCATTAATGAGAAATTGAACAGGTGTTCCTAATAATCCTTTAGGTAAGTGTAAAACTAATCAAATGTGTCCATAACAGAGAAGGCCGTTCCAGTGCCATTTTAATAGTTTTAGTTAACATTAGCAAAACTGTTTTTATAGTGGCTTTCGCAGTGGAGGAATCTTTTCTTAGTTCCTAGAACAATTGGCGAAAGTACCCGGATTTTGGCGTGAACTAGGAACTTTTTTAATTCTAGGAACTCTTTTGGAGAAACTAATTTAGCTCCTACTTCAGAGTTGGGTCTAAACCACCCACTATAGGAACTAAAGTGACGTTTGTGTACATTGATTGGCCAAACACACGTGAAACACCAGCACCCGACATTTTTTAAAAGGCTGTGTAAACACAGATTATTGCCTATATATTTACTCCACAAACTAACTCTACGAACATGGAAAACAGTGATAGATGAGCCTCTTAACCTTTACGCTGAGGAGAAAATCATGTTAGACTGTTAGACAGATCGTAAACTAATGGACAAGGAGAATGTGAACACTGTGTTTTAAGGCTCTGGCATTTTTAGCGCCAAAAAAATAAAAGTCACAACGACAAGTGCAAAATAAAAGTCACAACAACAACATTACGTCACTTCTGAGATTTTACTGGCGGTGCAAATGCAACCAGAAAACTTTCCTAGGGGAACCATTAGTTCTCGGGGAGCCACCCTGGGGTGCGTTTACCAAAACCATAGTTGCTAACTAAGTTAGCAACTTTGTTGGTTGCAATGCAATTTCCCATTGCCAAACAATAGGTTAGCAACTACGGTTTTAGGAAACACCCCCCTGGTTAGTTCCTAGAACTAAGTTCCTAGAAGTATCCATTGCAAAAGCCCCATTATGCTTGAGTATTGCGCTGTTAGCTTAGCAACATGCTAATATCAATTATAAATCACAATCTAAATTGATTTTAAATAAGTCATTTCCAATTATATTGAAATCAAATGCACGTCTTCTGAGTGGAGCACAATTTGTATGCCGTTTGTAGCATTGCAAATGAGATTTCATGGCAGTTAGGAAGTTCACTTAACAGGAAGCTGTCTATTTGCAACTAAGCAGCTCAGTAAGTTTTGGAACCCATGTTATGTTGTAGCAGCTGATTGTCTGAAGCTAGTACAATGCAAGAGTTTTTTGTAGCATGATGGGCAGACAAAAGAGAAAAGCAGATCAAAGCAAAATTGAAGGTCTTAATATGACAGGATTGTTATGGGTGGTAATGTTTAGATTAAATCAATATTACTGAAGTTGCACCGCAGCGTTCAGTGTGTAACAAAAAGCGCTCTTGAACCGTCAAATGTATCAGAGCAAATTAACTTGAGAGAACAGCAGTAGTCGAAAACAAAGAAAGAAAAATTCAGAGGGGATATTCTTAGAGAACTGTATTTTCAGTATCATCTGACATTCAAACGCCTTTGTGAATAATTCTATTAAGAGGATCTGTTCAAATTGACAAATTACTCTACTTTACCTCAGATTGATAAATTACACTAATTTACCTCAACTGGATCTTTTATGTCTATTTTATTTTCGGTTTTACACATGCTTTTGTGAATGGTATTAAAGGGATAGTTCACCCAAAAATGAAAATTCTGTCACTATTTACTCACCCTCATGTTGTTCCAAACCTCTATGTGTTTATTTGTTCTGCTGAACACGAGGGAAGATATTTGGAAGAATGTTTTAATCAAACAGATCTCATTCCCCATTGACTTCCATAGTAGGAAAAAATACACATGGTAGTCAATGGGGAATGAGATCTGTTTGATTAAAACATTCTTCCAAATATCTTCCTCTGTGTTCAGCAGAACAAAATAGAGGCTTGGAACAACATTTTCATTTTTGGGTGAACTAACCCTTTAAGTGTGCAATATATATCTGATTTTACTAGTCATACCCCTTTGAAGAATAATTTCATATGCCATATACCTAGTATATATTGTACTCATTTGGATTGAAGGTTGTTGGGGAACATAAAAAACTAACTCTTGTATTGAAATGAAAAGCCATATTGAAAAAAGAAACATCTCCACCAGGTGCATGGAGGCTTTGGTTGATTGGTATTTTATAATTTTAACGTTCGTCTTCTAAATGAAGCCTTAAAGTTGCCTTAAATAATGACTTCAAGTTGAAAAGAAAACTTTTCACAAAGCTTGTTAAAAGAGAATTCTACAGCCATATAAACCTTGAATTATTTATTTTCGGCACTTGCAAAATGTACTATTCACTGTGTAATTTTAAGTTAGTGAAGTAGTCAAAGTTTAAACCTGTTTTGCAGCCTTGTAATCTTATAGTCACTCATGAAACAAAGAGTAGGATGGTTGTAAAAATAGGCATAATTCTCAGCCCACCTCCAATCACCTGTTATTCTACTTCATCTGCAGTTACACATTGTCTACAAAACATTCAGATAGGCAGCAGATACACGTTGTCAGGCCAGCACTTATCATTGAGACTCGTGAAAGGACCTAATTTTTAATCGAATAACCGCAGCCAGGGTGTTCCAGCACGCAGCCCTCACCTCCTGGGGCTCCAGCTCAGAACTTTATCAAAGAGCACCATCAAAATTGCATACGCACCAGGATGCAGCTTCAAAGTAGTTCATAGCCTCATATTACATGGTAGCATTTTGTATTGCTCAGTTTATTTTTTTAGGATTGTTCTTGTGTTTTATTTGCCTACGCTGCACACACATATACACCTATACATTATGGAAATGGATGATTTTCAGTTTTCATTAAACAATAATTAATAAACATTGTGTGTGTTTAATGAATAAAAGGTTGGGGCAGGTTTTCACATTGATATTGGAGCATGTCTGTGAATATTCTTACAAGGGTTATTTATATAATTTTCTTTTTATAATTATCTTTTTTCATCAAGTTTTATTTTTCTATTAATTGATTAAGCCTATCTATATTTTATACAAAATATAGAATTATAGATTTATGCTGCATATTATTTGAAAATAATCCGTTAAACATATAGATGTATACTATATATGGACTTTATAATTGTGTTTTATATTATTTGAAAACCAGCCAAGAACATTAAGAACATTCTGAATATCTAGAATTAGCCTATTTGAATGATTATTTCAGAACCATAACATGGCTTTTAAGACAACCAAGCAAATATATAGCCTACTGATCTGTTAAGCATTTTAACATCTTTTAACGTTTGTTAATAAAAGTGTCAAATTATTTGCCAAAACTGCATCTCGAACAGAATCTCGAACTCTTCATATGATCTTACCTGTCCACACTGATCACACACAAATTCATTATTGAAGCCGTGCAGCACATGACATCCATCCCAATAAAGACATTGCAGAAAACCTCCCCAAACAGCCAGACGCCCCCTGTCAGGTCAGTCACTATGGCAAAAGGCATAACGACTACAGCCACAGAAAGATCAGCTATAGCCAGAGATACTAGCAGATAGTTGGACGGTTGTCTGAGTTTCTTCACGACGCACACCGCAATAACGACCAGAGTGTTTCCCATCACAGTGACCGCAGTGATGGTGCTCAGCATCATCCCAATGACAACAGTCTTAGTCAAGTCCAGGTCCAGAGTCTTCTGCTCCCCACACGACTCATTACTTTTGGGCTCCGTCGTGGTTATTAGAACAGTGGGGGAGAACTCGGTTGTCCCATTGACAAAGGCGATTTCGGTCTCTCTGGACCCTGAAACCAGTTCGGCCCCATGTGTCGTGAACATCACTGTATCGATATTTTGGCGGTGAATAAAACTTCCGCACGCCTGAAGTGGACAGTGAACGCCATGGTGCCTATACGACCTTTCCGACTCTAGCTCCAAACAACCAAATACACCCGAGGAGAGTGATGAGAAACACAGAGAACTGTCTCAGCCCCGTTCCGCTGAGGGGGAGAAACAAAACACGTGCTAGGCTATAAGTAGTTTTGAGAGCTGCGCTGTGAAGAATAGTGAACCTGCTAGTGAACCCTGATAGTGCAAAACACTCACATAATAATAATAAAAATATTCGTTTTGAAATTAAAATATGATTTAAATTAACGCCACTTAAACAAGCTTTGGTAAATAATATTGGTATTAAATAACTTTATGGTGTTAAGAAAAATTCGTGTTTCTGATTGGCGAAAATATATTTAGCCTACATTTATGAAACTGATTCAGAGAAACCTTGAATGATTTTGTTCTTTTAACACAGACCGTACATAGGCTATGTTATTCTGATTCAGAATGTTACAGTACTGTTTTATTCCACAATATAGCTTTGATATATGGAATATTTTTGTTGCATAACAACATCAAGTTTTCTATATTTATATTAATATTAAATATTAGATCTATAGAACTATATGAAAGCTATGTTAATATAAGTGAATGAATAAAAATAATAGCCTATTGCTTATTCAGAAGCAGTTGGGTCAGTTTTAATTCATTCAGTAGCCTAGCCTAAATAAATAATCGATCCAATTCCGAAACACTCCTTTTTGGGTCTGCAGTGTGATAAAAAATAAAATAAAATAAAAATGTTTAATCACTATGTTCCATTCAGATGGGTGGCTATATTTTATTAAAACAAACACTCTCCTTGCTCATATTTTAATGTTCATGCATAGCTCTCTGTAGCAGAACATCGCCCTCTGGGGATGAATCTTGACTTCAAAAACTTTCCATAAAAAAGACGCATCAAATTAACTATAAGCCTATAGTAGTTTGCTAGATAATCACCTCATCAGTAATAGACTTCTATAGCCTACTGTCAAATGCTCTCTTTATATTTTAATGTGGCCCCTCCATGATACCATAATAATCTTTACAGTCTATGTTAAAACAACAAAATCATTCATGGTTTCTCTGCATTCAGCTTAATAAATGCACTGTAAACAATTATTATTATTATTATTATTATTATTATTATTATTTTACATTTTTAACATAAAAAGTAACCTGATTGTCTTTAAATTTTGAGTTCATTGAAATTAAACAAATTGAGTACAGTAGGCTACACAATGAAAAAGATTGGTTTAATTAACAGAAACTCGAAATATTAGGCTGTTATCTTAATCACACGAATTACAAAATGATTTGACAAAAGAAAAAAGTTGTGATAACAAATCATGACAAATTTGTATAGTGTGCAGAAAAAAACAATAGGCCCATGTCTGAGCCTGACCAATTATGGGGTAGCCTAGTAAAAAAAAAGTCCATATCTACATCTGCTGTGGCTGAACAGTTGTTGAAAATTAGTATACCTAGGCTAGTACAGTATAAATAATATATATTTCAAGTCAGGTTTATAAACCATGAAACAATCTGACTTTTCTCTATTTGACCACTGGGTGACAATGCTGGATTAGGCTACTGTTTATGAATGATCTCCATTAATTCTAACCTCCACAATGTGTTTCTTTATAATTGCACTGACCTATAACACAGCTATTCGTGTAGGCCATTCAAAATCAGATATCCCGGATGTATGGATAATTTTATAGCGATGCACATGACTTCATATATCGCTAGATGTAGGCTATGTTTAAAAACTACACTACCCAGACCCACAAATGTATGCTGAGCATCTGTCGCCATGTTGTAGGAAATCCGTTTGCACTGTGGATTAGAGTTTAATCCGCAAGAAGGGAGTCAGGGCGACTCAGTGGATCAAACAAGAAAGAAGAAAGACAAAACAGTGAGGCACGGAATTTGAGCGTTACAATCAAACCAAACCAGAATACGTCTTTATTATTTACAGGCCATTGTGGTCGCTTGACAAAAACTGGCAACATCTCGCACACAGCCTTTTTATTGTCCCCCCGCCTCCTTTCCCCCATGAAGTCTGAGCCATTTTCTAGAATCGGTTCTTTTGAAGAGCTAATTTAAAGAACCGGTTCAGCAACCAATTTAGCGATTCTTTTACGTCGTGACGTGATTGCGTCACCGGCGTAGCATTTATATTGTGTCTATATTGTCAACAAAAATATACTGTAATATCAGAGCTCTCTTTTAGAGAGAGGTAGTATATTCATATATTAAGGGAAATAATGTTCCTGAGTATCTGCTTACCAATAAAGTAAAAGAAAATTACATTTAAATTGATTCATAAAGTGTCACTCTTCTGAGGAAAATGTCATTCACTTGTTTTTGATATAGCCTACCCAATGCACAGATATTGTGGTAATTTTTTAATTTTATTATTATTATTATGATTTTTTTTTTTTGCTGTTTATCCAATTTCATTTTTTAATAGACTTTTCTTTCCCTTTTAAATATGTTACTTTGGATTGTTTGAATACTCAAATGAGAAGGGAAATATTAGGCTATAACATTATGTCATGCTAACAAAATGTCACATAGGCCTACATAAAAGGGGGGCTCTAAACCTCTTTTCTTCATTTTTTTCAAAATTGATAAGGAAACTATCCAAAGCTCTGTTACTACAAAGCAATGAAAACTGTATTTATATTCATCTTTTGTGCCCTTGTCTAGGCTAATATGTTATTTCCTTTTTGTTACTCTGGCAGCATGTCTGTTGTGTCTTGTTAATTACGCAATGATGTTTAGTTTAAATTACATTTTAAACATTTATAACAATTTAAACACTGGAGAGGGAAGACAGTTCTGTCGACGAGTCGGTGTATTGTTGAATCAAGAACCGATTCAGTCGTATTCGACCACGAGCCGTTCAGACAGGATATATGAACAGGTTCAAACGATTCCCTGAAAAGATCCGACTCAACCGAACGATTCGCTCACGAATCGGACATCGCTACTCCCTCGGAGAAATTGACAGCAGCTGGGTCGCCTGTGTGAGCAAACCCGAAGGACAGACACGGCAGAAAATAAAACTCTGCCGCTATAGTGGGTTCCCCCTTCCCCTTTCCCCCACTGTTTGAGTGTACATATCAACAAGCCGACCCGGACGAGCGCGCTGACTCCGTTTCCCCGCTTTTATAGCGGAGCGGTCAGGACTTTCCTCTCGAACTGAAACGTCAGTAGCTTAGCCGAGCTAGCGGGCTAACGCGACTAGCTGGGTTCAGCTACAAGGAGGAATTACAATTATTCCACCGAGAAACACTGAAGGATGTCGGGGAAGGAGCAGAATAAACAATCCACCACCGAACGGCTCGTAAAAGGTACATTTTCTATGTGAAACCGTACGTTTTTGTTCAGTTTTCCTGGTTTTGTGTTAGCTAACCCGCTCTGGTAGCTGATGGGTGACATTCAGTTTATGTGTAATATAAAGATAAACAAGTGTAAACATCTGTTGTGTTGACTGACTTTTGGATAACTTCGAAAGTCTAATGACACACATGTCATGGCTAATTTGACAGGTTAGCTAAGACTGTATGGGATGGACTGGCATGAATTAAATGAGATCAATGAAGTTTTAAGCTGCAGTGTGCAAACAGTACGCAGAAGGAAAGCTCTTAGTGAATTAGACCATTGTAGGGATTTTAGTGGGAATGCATGTTACTCAGTGGTCTGAATATGCAAAGCCCCGGTGATACATGAAATTGAAACTACCAAAGCCGTGCCAAGAAGAAGAAAATTCAATTTTACAAATTGCAGGTTTTTCTCTAATATATATATATATATATATATATATATATATATATATGAAGAGTTCAGACGCAAAAGCCTCTAAATGCCATTTGAAATTTTCGTCTTTAATTATGATTTTTATCAAACTTGTATATTTAAGTTCAGTGATTTCACTTAAATGGCAATGATAATTACCTATTAATTGTTGTTTAAGTGAAATTACTGAACTTAAATATACAAGTTTGATAAAAATCATCATTAAAGAAGAAAATTTCAAATGGCATTTAGAGGCTTTTGCATCTGAACTCTTCATATATATATATATATATATATGCATGCATGCAACCTTTTTAAAATGTAAACAAATTTTGATGGTCTTTCTGGTTGCTCGTAATATACATCAGAGCCTCTGATCTTAAAATAAGATTTTTCTGTTTTTACTTTATATGTAATATATATGTTATATATTTAAAAACTGAATAAACATACATCTTAATGAGAGATTCATCTAACTTTTATAATGTTAAAATATTTTGGTGAGCTTAAAAACACTTTTTCAGAAAGACTGTTGAGGTTTACGCAAAATACTGACTTTGCTAATATTAATTCATCATATTATTGTAGTACATTATATTATGTTGTTGCTCTTGCTTCCATCCTTCCTTGGCATTTAGGCAACGTCAGTGATTTTGAGACAGTTTAGTTCAGATAACTCTATGCTCAAAAACTGTGTCACTTTACCTTGCTCCCTTGACTGAGATAGAACTAAACTAATTGAAGTTATCCGTGTGATCCCAATTAACCTTATACGAATAATCTTTAAACTCAAGACAGGATTGACCCCTGGTTACGTGGTGTGTCAGCTCCCTATCAAGGGCTCATGGGAGTTTCTAATATCAAAGGAGTGAGACACAGTAGAGTAATACGCTAATTGGATCATTTGGTCCGTAGCTTCATGGGTATAAGCACCTGGGGAACTTGGTCTTGTTTTTGATTAAAACTAGTGTGTCCGCTGACATATATAGTGTGTTCTCTCCTCTCAGTCTTTTATATGCTGCTGTCAGCTCAATGTGTTTTGGCTGATCAGGCTCAATTAGACGTCTAGGTCTCTGTAATGAGCTGATAGCACTGGGCTCTCTAGTAGTCTAGTTCTGGATCCGTAATGACTTGCATCTTGCTTCCCAAGGCCGACCATTCAGCGATCTAAATCGCCACAGACAAAAAAAAAAAAAAAAAAAAAAACCCTCCTCATTAAATAGAGCCAAAGCCTTTTTCTGTCTAGAATCTGTGATCCCTGTTTTGCAGCAACAGGAGCATTTCAGCCTCAAATTAGTTCCAGGTTTCACTGGATGCCTCTTTTCAGTTTAAGCACTCCAACACCTGGATTTTATGCTACACGTATGTTTAATTGCAGGCTGTCTGAAAATTGTTATTTTTTGTTGGCCTCGGTGGTCAGACATCCATGTTGCGAAAGGTTGAACGTTTTGCAAGAGATGTAACTGGTGTTGCTTCTGAACACTGGCAACACCAACTATCATAGCAAGCCTACTGTACTTGAAACCTGAGATATATACAACGAAACAAGACAGCGGAGAGGGAACATTGATTGTGGAATGATTCAGTGGCGTTTTTCCCGTTCATTTTTCCCATAGGGATTTTTTAAAAAGTCTTTGTTAAAGCTTTATAATCCATGAACCAAGCCAACTAAGGTGAAAAAGTATATATATATATATATATATACAAAAAAAAAAAAAACATGGTACAAGACTAGTGGCACGATCAAAATCCTTGCATATAGCAACTCTCTCTGAGACTCTGATTGGTGACATTTTCTGTAGAGGATCATGGGTAATGTGGTTTCTCACCAGGAATTCAGCTTTTAAACAGTTATTTTAAGAGTAAGTTGAAATAATGCAAACAGATGGATTCAACAAAAATTTATACCATCAATTAACAAACTCAGACCTCATATTAGGTCTGTCTTTAAAGAGTAACTAAACCAACTTTTTTTTTTAGTTAATGATCCATAAGAATGGATCTTTATTAATACCAGTCATTGATTCAAGTAACTTTTTTGAGATTTGTGTATAAAGCGTTTTATTTCTACAATATATGGTGTAAAAGCGTCTTAGTGCTGCCCTCTTCAGGTTGAACGGTGGCTACTGCAGTTGAATTTTCCTATTGCATGTTAGCGGTTCTTCGTGGCGTACGCACGTTTCAGCTCACCACGCTCTTGGCACGAGCTACGCCCTTGGCAGTATAAGAACCAGCTTGTTTCGGCAAAACCACTGTAGCGAGTCAGGAGTTGGAATTGTGAGTATTGAAAATGATCAGGATAGAGTGTTTTAGCATCTATTTCGTCCCCTCTATCTCCGCTGGAGTCAGCCCACTTTTTCAGCATTTTTCAAATATTGCCAGTGGGTGGAGTCAGGCTCTGACCAGGGGTTTAGTTACCCTTTAAACGTAATAATTATACTGTCAATTTCCCTGTGGAGAAAATGAATGTGAGTTTTTGTTCTTCCAGAACCTGACTGTTGCACTCTATTGTTGATTGTTAGCACTTTTAAACCACTGCTACCCAATGACCAATCAAGCATTGAGTGCTGTTGCGCCCGTATTCTGATACCACCTTGAGATGTTCTGGCTAAGCGTTTCTTTTCCTGGCCGATGAAAGATGAATTCAGTCAACTCGAGTGTAAAAAGAAAAAATTTTCCATGCTCATGTTTCGTCCAAAAAAAAAATTGTTTGGAAGGTAAAATAACTGAAGCTTGTCTTTAAAAGGACTACAATCTTTGTGAGAATGAACTCAGGCATGATTGAAGTGCTGAGTGGGAGTTGAGGTTCTCACCAAGGCCGTGTCTTGATGAGTCCTCCCACAGCTAAAGCACGGAGCGTGGGGAATCAAGGATTGCTGCGGCACTTTTCTACTCCGCACTCATCAGCCGAGCCTTGCTTGGAACAATACCACGGAGGCGGAGGAAAGCTGAGGTTAAGTGCCTTTAAAAGCTTTGATTAGTTGCTAGACGTTTCCACGCAACTCTTTTCTCACTTTCCCCTGCTGAGAACGGCAGACAGTGCAGTAGGCCTAGTTGTTGTGCTGTGTATTTAAACATGGACCAGCAGTCAGTTGAAAGCTTGTAAGGTTGGCATGAAAGAGCAATTCAAGTTGGGTCGCTTTTTTTTGTTGGTGGTTGTGGGGAGACATCAAAACTAGGGATGCACAATCCTTTTTCACGGTTTATTTATTTTTTTGTTACAAGGAAATGGGAATTTAGATAAACCCCGCCCAATCTGTACACACAATCTGTATACTGCTGTTTTCACTGTCCAATAAAAACGGCCCGATGACTTCCTTGTTCTATGAAGTCCCTCCTTCAGAAACACGTAACAAGTTCTGATTGTGCCAGCGAACTGCTGTGTTGTGATTCGACAGCAGCTTATCGCACGTTGCCAGGAAATGTCGCGCCTCTTACCATAAATTGCAGATTCATGCGCAGCTGAAGTGCTTCTTCTCCGTGGGAGCGCAACAAGACCACTCCCCGTAACTAGGAATTTGTGTATTCCTAGTTACGTCATTAAAAAACTAAGGAAGTAGAAGGATGTAGTCCAAACCAGACGTTCGCTGTATGCTTTCAAAGGGGACTTCTGTTAAATAAAATATTTCGCTAGGCATTGAACTTTGAGCTTTATAATTTTACAGGTATTATTTATGCTCTAACAGTAACATTACACACTAACTAAAGTTTGAAAAATGGAATCGTGAAGAACGGGACCTTTAATATCCAATATAGGATGTGTATATAGTTCGTTCCTGCTGCTTTTTTACTTTTGCAATTTTATATATATACTTCTGCGTGTCCTGTCTCTGGCCAGTGTTAACGTCATGGTTATAAACTTAGCAATAATTTCCCAAAATGTTATTTGTGTGGAAATTTTACAAAGCAAAGCAATCTGTGTACAAGTCCAGAAAAGAGATCAGCCATACAAAAAAAATAAAAAAAAAAAATGCCATCAATCAGACCTTTTTGTTTTTGTATTGAGCACATGATTGGCAACTGGTCACTTTTTGACTGCTGATTGACTGGTGCATCTCTCATCAACATTCAACAACATGAAATCAAATCACCATCTAATGCTTGTTGTCTGGAATTGAGTTATGCAGCTGATGCTATAAAGTTTTGGACCCCTGTCAGGCTGCTGGTAAATTTGATGTTTTGACCTTTTGGCTTATTTACAGATAGAAACTAGAGCTGTCAGGGTCAACGTCACCCTGCTTGTGTAATTATTCTGTCCTCATGCATGATTAACGGACCTCGGGCCCGTCTCACACAACGGCGTCTCTCTAGGTTCACTTGTACCTCCTAAGATAGCTCTCGTCATCCTTGCCCAGAACAAGTCCATGTGATTTCTTGCCTAAAACATTCTCTAATATTCAGCCAAAAAACGGTTGGTGTGATAAAACCACAGATAAGGCTTACACAGGAAGTAACATCTTTTCTAGCTTCCTTATTAATGTACATGCGGTCTGGTAGAAATTATTCTTAAATGGATAGTCCATCCATAAATAAAAATTCTATCATCCTTTAATCACCAACCTACTTGGTTCTGCATAAAAAAGAAGTTATTTTCAGTAATGTTTCAAATCTTTTTGTCTAAACAATAAGCCAGTGAGGTCCAAAACAACCACGTTAGACTTCCCTTATATGAGCGAAAAGATTTTTCACAATGTTATGTTCTACAGAAAAAAAGTTATTCATACAACTTTGGAACGATATGAGGGTGAGTAAATGATGACCGTATTTAAATTTTTGGTTGAACTATTCCTTTAAGATTACAGAATCCAAATCAATTTGGTTTCAAATGCATGTTTGAATGCACTTTTTTTTATGATTTGACAGCTTTGAAATGACCAAGTTCAAAAGCACTGTTTTTGTTCTTGAAAACTGACCTCCTTTTAAGTGGGACTTCATTGGGTTAGGTTTTGAGATCATATTCACAGTATGTTGGTACTTTGATAGTAAAATCCCCCTCCCGCCCTGAGGGCTTAATTTTCACATGCAAATTCACAACACTGAGAGGTTACACATTTTCGCCACCTCTGCTGCAGAAGAGTGAACTCAAACCTCGATCCAGATAATAGGCCTGTTACGGCTTTAGTTAATATAGGCAAATGAGCAGGTGTCCTTCCTTTATTCTGTCAAGCATGAAAGATTCACCTTGTTTCTCTTCCTCATACTGGCATGCAACAAGACCAACATCTCGACTATTTTTCTCTGAGCAGCCCCTGAAAAAATGTTGATTTTAAAACCCAAATTGATCCTAATTCTGCTTTTGGAATCCCTGGAAGGTTCCTGTCATCTGAGCTTGAAGCTTTATTGTGGTCTATAATGCCTGTGGTCCCAGCGCTGAAAGCCGTGGCCGTCGGCCAGACCCACATTCTTTTGAAAAGCGAGTCGTGCCAACCTGGCCTGTGACCCTAGCGGAGAGGATTCCGTATCGATGCCAACAGCTGGCCTTCCACCCCACCCTAACTTCAGGACGTAACTTCCCCACTCCTCTTAAACTGGTTTGAATGTTGTGGAATTCCTGCAACTGAAAATAGCTCAAGGCTCGGGGGTTGCAGAGCAATTCCAGCAGGCATTTGTTTGCATGCCACTCACCCATGCGCACTGTGTCTGAATGTAAAATCCCAGCCCCCAGGTTGTCAAGGGTTTGTTTAAGCTGTCTTCTCCACAACGGCAAGGGCTTCATGTCGTCTTAACAAGGCCTGTGTGCGTTGGTTGGGGGAAGGGATGGGACCAGCTGTAGCCATATGTGTTCTGATAACCCACATAGCTTTGTGAGAGAGTCCCAAATTCAGACCAATAACTGTAACCGTTATTACCGTGCATACATGTCACTTTTAGTTTCTGAAAGGCAGATTGGCATTGTGCATTTCATACAACCTCATTGCAAACTGTATGTCTTCAGTTATCGTCATGAATTGAGTAATAGATTGTCGTCTTGCAACCATGTCGTCAAGTTTCACACATCAGTTTAGTTTGTAATCAGGGAAAGAATTGAAGCAATGCTAATTAGTGTTGCATCACGTGCAAGTATTGTTTTGCATTCGTTTTTTTTTCCATCTCCTCCCAAACCAGTCAAATGCAAATCATGCCATGCAGCAGTGTCATTGGTCAACTTATTCACAGTCACCGATCAAGACAATTTATTTCAGAGTATCTGAAAAATCACATTGATCCGATCGTGACAAACAGTAATGCTCACTTTCTTAATATGTTACCAGCACTATATTGAGATTAAGGTTATTGCTATATAGGGGTGCACAAAAATTTAGACTGCAGAGAATTATCAGATGAAAATGGCAGCTTCAGTTTTTTGCCAAAGAATTTAGAAAATATATGCTGCCCCACCCATCAGTGTTCAGCACTCAGGTTTCACTCTCGCTCAGTATTTTTTGTAACTTTGTGAGTGGCTCCGCTTCCAAATATGCACAACTTAAGAAGATGGAGTGGCCTCTATTTAATAAATCACCTATGAGAAACTAATATTTTAGCTACTGGCTTCAGAACACCCTTGCATCATGACATTTAGGGTTTGGTGTTCAAAATCCATAATGCTTAGGATTAAACATTAGCATGTAACCCATACTGCACGCTTTATGCTGTGACAATGAACGATACCTCAAATCGTGTGGCTTATTGTATGTTTTTTGGCTGGTGGACAATGAAACAGAAGAAAATAAATCATGTTGACTTTTTCAGAACACCTTAGCTACTCAGAACAGCAACCATAGCAATGCCATGGCAACCACCCAGAACACCCTAGCAACATTGTGGCGAGTTTTCACAGGCAATAGTGATGTGCAAAACTGCATATTTTTTTTACACTTGGTCTTAAAATCTTGAACAATTAGGCTGGGTCAGGCCTAAACCAACATTTCAAAGTCTAGTTTGAACAATATAGATAGAAGCTTTGAGTTACTTTTGATTGAAGCCTGAAAGTGGATCAGAAAATCTTGGGCTGAGATATTTATATTTTTAGTAACACCTTTCTGTTTATGGTTCAGTGCTTTTATCTCACACCATCTGGCTTTGAATTTGTGAAGGAGCTGCACTTCCTTAACTTGGAGAAACCCCCGGTCTCGGATGCTATTAGAGAGTCTGACTTCACCACATGGTTATCGACTCTGCATGCTGCTTTAAATTTAGACATTTGTTGCAACGTTCTAACGGGTAGCACCAAATCAATATGGGGTCTTGGTCTGTGCTCCGGCACAAAGCTGTAATCCATTTTGTACAGTCAAAAAGACACATAATGTCGTCTTGTAGTTGCTCAGTATTTTTCTAATGTATAATGCTCGCCAACAGGGTCTCCCTGTGACTAATAAGAGTAAAGAATTGAGTCTTCCTTTCTCTTTCCCCCCCCAGCGGTGCCGTACCCTCCTACGACGCGGCTCACTATGAAAGAGCTGTATGAGGACGGTAAGCCCAAGGTGGAGCTTTTGAAGAGCCACCTGGTGAAAGAGGGCCGCCTGGAGGAGGACTTGGCCCTGCGCATCATCAACGACGGCGCCAACATCCTCCGCCACGAGAAGTGCATGCTGGAAGTGGAGGCCCCCATCACAGGTAGGCTATTGCGCACTCAGTCGTGTGATGCTTGTTCTGATGACTCACTGTGCGGTGACACTACAAACCTGTCGTGATTCACAACCAGAATCTACATCCAGGATGTGGTTCTCACAGGTTCTTCCATGCACCTAGTGCCGTACGATCACAGACAAACACGATGCCCACTGTTAACGGTGCTCACCCAAATGCCTGCTTCCTTAGATGCGAAATTAGATCAGAGTTAGGTTGTTGGTTCCCAGTAATATGGTTCCTATCATGAAAAACGTTATGAAACATTACCCTCAAGGTTCTATGGTGACTTGATAGGGCATCTCTGATGTCATCCTTAATCTTTAAGGTTTAGTCTTGACCTCAACATAATCCTCAAGCCAGCTAGAAGAGCGTGATTATTTTCATATGGAGCTAGTCTTTCACAGCAACCTAATGTGGCTGCTCTATAAAGGTCAGAGAAACAGTTGCATCCTAGACTCTCTCGCACACACACCCCCACACTTTAATTCCCCGGCGGAGGCCACAGGAAACCCCCAACACTCGCCATAGACTCGAGCGAACACACAAACAGGTGTGTGGATATAAATGGGCACGTCTATCCACATCTATCCCCCTTTAACTCCCCCCTTTGCACACTCATGTTTTTCATAACTCGCACTGTGGGCTGATAATTGGCCTACAAGAGAAAAGCAAAAAAAATGGTGGTGTGCATAATGGAGACGGTGTCTCTGCTTGCTGTTTTCTACCTTTTCTTTTTCTTTTTCTTTTTTTTTTACCTTGTGGAGGTTTAAGAGGAAATGATGATGGTTTGGCCCACGTCCTGTTTAGGGTGACCACTAATATGTTTCACTTTTCTGTTTTGTGCAGGTCTATTATTTTTACATTTCCGTCTAGTGGTTTTAAGATCAGTTATTCAAATCTTAGCATTTCTGCTACCCAATTTTTTTTTTACTTGCATGTACACAATGTGATATTTGATATGTAAGGTTTTCCAATGTTTTTGGTATGACAACATACTTCCAATGATGTCACTCTGTTTTTGTTTCATTTTCAAGAGTTTGTCTTACTATGCTTTGTCTCCATCTTCAGTGTGTGGAGATGTCCATGGGCAGTTCTTCGACCTGATGAAGCTTTTTGAGGTGGGGGGTTCCCCGCAAAACACGCGCTATCTATTTTTGGGAGACTATGTGGATCGAGGCTATTTCAGTATTGAGGTGAGTGTTAATCTGTAATGCTCGCACGTTATGTAAAATTGGGTTAAGTGGTCAACAACTTTTATAATCTGCCTAAATAAGCATGTTTAACGGAATGCTACAGATTCAATCCATATTAAACTCCATGCTGTCGAATACCATAGAAAATTATTTAAACTTGCTTCTCTGTTTGCAAAAAAGTCTATTTGCCAAGGCATTATGCATGAAGAAAAGTTATACACAATAATATACAAATATTATTGAAATTACAGTAACTAGAATTTACATTTATACCTGCTAACATGAGACTGGTGTGATCTTTCACTTCCCCTGTAGCATGTAACTCTGGTAAATATGGTAATTTTCACTTTGGAACAAATATAACACAGGGGTTATTTGGGAAAACTATATGTGCAGAAGTTACATTCGTAGATATTCTTCTCCCGGTACTAACAAAAAACAAAAGAAAAAAAATCATCAAACACATTAACAAACGTGTAGCTTCAGTTTATGATTTTTAAACTGTCCAGAATGTCTTGTCTTCCATTATAACAAAGTTTTTTTTGTTGTTGTTGTTGTTTTTTTACGGGTGGAGAAATCCTTATTTTCTCTGGCAAATCAATAGCATGCCATAATGATACACTGAAACTTTGGACAACCAAAGTGTAAATGCCAAAACTAATCGAATTTGAGTTTATGATGTTCAACTCGATGTGATTTGGCCTTATTTTTGGATTTAGTTTAAATTAAAACTGTACTTGTGTTCATTTATTCTGGTGCATGCCACAAATGTCGTCAATAGCCAAATCTACTTTAAATCCAAAATATCGTTTTGGTATTCAAAAAGAGGCTAGTTTGTGTTTTAAACCACTTTGTAATCACTATAAAAAGTATTTTGTAATTAAGGCTTTGAACACATCTTGCACATAAACGTTTGAGATGTTCACTTTTAATGGAACTTGGCCTTCAGAAGATGCCATGTGGCTGTGCTTTTCAAACAGCCTCTGTTGTACCAGGATGCATGATGATGCAATCAGCATGTCTCCTCGACCTGTTGCGCTGTATCATCATTGTGAAGCAACCACAATGATTAAGCAGATGGCATTAAAGGATTATTGATCCTGCCATCCTGTAGGCCACAAAGCGTTTCTCAACATCGAGGTTACGTGTAAACTGGTTTGAGAAAAATTCTGGTCCAGTTTATCAGCTGCAGTCTTTAATATCGTTAGCCTTGATGATCCAATGCGAGTCCTCAAAGCTTCCACCTCTGCATCTCGCTTTGGTTGCAAAGTTCAGGGACGGGAGAAATGTCATGGTTAAAAGAGGCGGCGTAAGAGAGCAGACACACCGCTGCTCAATACCATCAAACACAGTTGAGGGTTCAGGGCTGTGGGCCACCTGAGACGCATAGAGAGCATGTGTGTTTCACAATAAAGGCCAAGTTCCTACTCCCTCCCTGGACATCACAAACCACAAAGGACTGAACTTCAGTCATCGGCCACACCACCTGTTAATGCCCTCTGACTGAGACGCTGCAGTCATCAAACGTTTCGTAGGTTAGGCCACCAGACTTCGCCCCACCCCGACATCCAGATCTGTGCGGAGTACGCTTTATTTTCAGTAGTTCTTTCACTATAGGACTGGCCTTTTTAAAGCTACACTGTGTGATTTTTACCCCCATCTAGTGGTGAAAAGGTAAATGACCATCCAGTGAATATTAGTTTCTGTTCCTCTCAATTCCGATTTCGTTTCAACTCCTATGGTGGCCAATGTAGTCCAAGATTAATCTGGCTTCCAGTTCGACCTCGTCCATGAGTGTTAACTCGAACGTAAACGCAAAAGGCGAAGCTTGAATTGTCGGATATGTCCCTCTTTGGCTAATTTTTTTTCTAGATGGAGGGGCAACATGGCGAGCGACATTAGAACCCCTTACCCGTATGTGTTTTCAATGGCATATCATACACTCACGAGAATACTTTATTACTTGAAGTAAATATACATAAATGAGCACATATATTTTTGAAAGAACTAAGTGTTTTAGCTAAGAATAAACTAAGAGTTACACAGTGTAGCTTTAAAGATAACTATAACCTAAACACAGTGTATCTTTCCTGAGAGAATAAAGAAAACATCCTGTCCACTGTTATACCGCGGTGTTCTGTGATTAGTGTAACCAGGTGTGAACCCAAAAGCCTTGCAGGTGTTTAATGGGATAGCATGCCTATGACAAGACAGGCCAATGTTTTTCAGTGCTTGCTAGTTGAGAGATGATATCAGAAGAGAATGTGAAAAGATTGAAATCATAGTCTTGCTTAATGTAGCAAAATGTTTTTTTGTCTGCTCAGATGTGTTTGTGGTTCATTGTGTTTTGAGTGAGATTCGGTTTTGGTAATACTTGTCTGTAAGCGGTAGTCTTAAGTTGAGGATACTAGCATACTTCTTACTGTGTACATACAGTAACTAAAAATGGTTCACTTGTTCATCAAGACCCTTTTTTGTTTTAATACATTTTTTAAAAATGGAATTTATTCCTGTGATGCAAAGCTTAGTTTTCAGCATCATTACTTTTGTTTAGTCAACAATGTTTAGCACATTACAGAAAAAAAAAATGTCCAGTTAAAATCTTGAAAATAGATTTAAAATAAAATTAATTCATGGGAAAAATAGCATTCTATTCTTTTTTTTTTTGTGTGTGTAAAAATGTCTTAACTCATTTGATTGGAGTACTTGGTTAAGAACATTTTATTTTATTTCTTTGATGGAACTGTTGGTAATAGAAGGACAAGTCAACCCCATTGCATTATACGATAGTCTTCTTTACAGAGTATATTCCGTGCATAAAGGAAATTTGCATACTGTCAATATTAGTGGTCTGTTATGATAATAAAAGGATTTTCATTTGTGTGATCTATTCCTTTAATAAAATATCAGGAGTAATGGAGGTATAATCCTCTTAAACACTAAACCTGCCTATTAGCATTTGAGCTAAATCAAAATACTAATGATTAGAGATACCGATACCTGATTATTCAAAATGATATCTGCTGATTTTTAATTTTTTTTAAGGTTTAATTTATATATATAAGTTAAACAATACAGGGATCCCACTACATATTCAACTACTGTTTATTTTAATAAGCTCCTCCCTAGTGTTTTTATAGCTAACTAACAAACTGTGAGCTGTGAGCATTGGGTAACTTCTGAGGTACATGCAACGTAAAGTGACATTGTTCACAAGCTGTAAAGTGACGAGCTGTTTTATTGACGTCGTTCAGTGATTGAAAAACGGAGCGATTACACAAAGCATGATACTTTTCGGTAAGTTGTACTGTACCTCTAACAAAGCTTTGATATTCATGCATGTTTTTTCATGCTGTAACATGCATTTAGAGAAAGAGATGGCTAACGCTGCTGCTTGCCATTTATTGTTTCATAGTGTATTCATAGGTTCAAATAGACCCTACTTTAACATTATATTATCTCTTTAGGCACCAAGGTTTTTTTTTTTTTTTAAATGCTGGATTTTGCAATCAAAATTTCAAAAGCTTGTGGCTTGAAAGGGCTTAAAGATAGAGATCTACTGTAAATTAGAAACATGTTGGGGATGACTGGAAGTTTATGTGGGGTGTAGATATACTCATCTCTCTTGAATTTCATAATATTCAGGAATAGTAGATATTGAACTGATGTTTGAACTTATTTGCATGTTTTAATTTACTTTTATATTCTCATTCCAAATCATTTAGAAAATAGGAAACCAACAATAACGGGAGAAATTTCTAAATTATTACTATACTCTATAGTAGTAAAACGCATGTGAACAGTTGCGTAATAGGAAATAGTAGATAATGCCATCCCCATTCCCATTGTGCAAACTTAAGCGTGCGTGGCATAAATACGACGTCTTGTTGCAATGTTGCGACGTTGGCGCTTAAAGGGTTAACAGTAAAAAGTCATTAACTTCACACACTTTATGAGTTGCAGAGTGACATGGTTTCCCACCCCCTTTTGATTGACAGGATATAATCTGCTCAGATCAGCTGTTTTTAATCATATATACATGAAAGTTTTGCTAGTGTATGTGGTTCATTTTGGTGATGTGCATGTTCTGTTTGCATCTGCAGTGTGTGCTCTATCTGTGGACCCTGAAGATCAACCACCCAACCACCCTCTTCCTCCTTAGGGGCAACCACGAGTGTCGGCATCTCACGGAGTACTTCACCTTTAAACAAGAATGTAAGCTCAGCTCTTTAGAAACACTGTGTGTGTGTGTGTGTGTGTGTGTATGTGTGTGCGTTATAAAGAGAGCGAAATGAGATTTTACCACATCCTATCATTCAACTCTGTCATGGCAATTTTTTCCATGGCATCCCGAGAGAGCTCATGTCGTCTTGAGAGTATTGGATGACGGGCCACAAGCACAGAGCTCAATCACAATCCCGTGGTGCTCGTCAGGGCTCTTCCCTCCCCACTTAGATTTACATCAGCCATCATTTCTGTCATGACAAACTCTGACAGCTAACTGAAACCCTTCCACCAGCAGCTGATGATCATAAGCAGACCCACACAGAATCTGTGCAAAATTGTAACACCTGTCATTTATGCAATTTTATAAAGTCCTTGCCCTGTATGCATTCATTAAATACTTTGGCTAATATAAATATGCTTCCAGCTGCCACCATGCAGTTTTCTCAGCCCTCTTTTTTTTACATTGTTAAAAATTCTAGGCCTATAGACCTTATGTAGCCCCGCCCCTTTTCAGCGTTACGCTCGTTGTCTTTTGACTTCCGGTCTGTATTTTCACAGCGACCTTGCATAGGTATGAATGAACTGCTCGTAAAAAAATTCCCAGTCAACATCTGCTTTACAATGCTTATGAGAAACATTACAATGCTCATGATAACTTTTGTTAACTCTACAATAAGTAAATCCACTTCACCAGCTAATTACTCCTCGACAGCGATGCCATAGAAATATACAGAGCGACCGTAAAAAGGGAAGTTCAAAGACAATATTCTAAAGATGACGGCGCCCACGTTTCTCTGGTGCATAAGGTCTATATCTAGAGCAGAAAGCAAATCATTTCATTTTGCCTTCGACCTTGTATGCTTTTGCTTTCTTTCATTACTCGCGACGGGTTCAGAGAAATGTCCCCTCAGAAGGTGATTAGGGGAATGGGGTATTTTGACTGATGTAAAACTGGGATATTACAATCTGGCTAGTTATTCTACTGGTTATGATGTACACAGGGGTGGAGTGGGACCAAAAAATCTACCGGGAAATTTCGTAGACCACCGGCCCTCGTCGCCGGCACGATTAGCCAATAGCATTTACAGTTTTACTGATTTAAAGGGAACTTTGTTGTACTAGTATGCTCGAGTAAAGTTCTTAAATGGTCGTTCTTTCCCATAGTACTTTCTAAAAGTAGTTGGGTGGACTCTGTGCCTCTAGGGGGGTTCGGGGGCATGCTCCCCCGCAAGAAAATTTTGGACATTTTAAGGTTATAATGCATCAATCTCATGCTCTCTGAGAGATCGAAATTAAGACCCATGAACTGCTCGTTGAACAAAGAAAAAACATTAATTTGTACCAGGACAATAAAGAGGGCTCAAATATTTTTTTTAGTTATGAGAGTCTCAGTTTGCATTACATTATCAATGGTGTTTTAGGATGCCAAACAATTATTATAATAATGTAATAATGATTTATAATTATTCCTATGACGTACTGTAAAATCCATTTATAGCCAATAAATGTGTAAATGAAAATGAGTATTTAAAAAAGTATATTTTAACCTACATTACACTATAATATAGGAAAATTAAAATAGGCCTACTTTTGTCCTAATTTCTTCACTTGCAAGAAATAAACCTTGAGCTTTTATTTAGGAGAAAACAGCAGATGAACGCGAGAGCAAAGTAATCACGCAGAACAAACTGGATGCTATTCTAATGTCAGTTATTATAATGGCGCAACGCCATATGGTTTCAATTTTAGTTCGTTGGCAAAATATAACATAAAATATAAAATTAGGTTTTACATTTTACATCTTTACATATCTGTGTTGGGAAAAGGGAGAAGAGAGAGCTCGGCAAGGCGGATTCGAACTCGCGTTCAGCGCATCAAAAAGCTGCATTCAAACACTTCACGCCCTACGACCTACGCCACTGAGGCTGTTCTATGACGTGTGTCGTTTTTCTGTAAAGATAGGCATTTAGTGCAAATATATGCTCCGTTATAAAAAAAAAAAAAAAATTGTTTTCTTCCCTTAGCTTGGGCCATGGCGAACTTCCAATAAATACATTTTATCAGACCGGGCCGGCCCTCGTGGCCTCGTAACACTACCGGCCCACCGGGAAAACTCCCGACTCTCCCGATTGCCACTCCGCTACTGGATGTACAATACCAGTATGAAATGTTTTACCTGTTCTACCATTGTTAATGAAACTTACTTACCAGTAATAACAGATCCTATACCAATATCCTAAGTTAACAAATATAATACCCGGCCTTAAATAATATATAGTTGTGATTTCCGCTGCTTCTTCTGTACAAATATTTTGCATACATGAGAAGCACTTTCAATCACAGTCGTTCAAGCATTGGCCATGGTAACGAACAGTTATAACTTGAGACGTTCTTCTTTATAGTCTGTTAACTGACTTTTGATGCATTTTGTTAATAGTATTGAGTTTATACTTACTGGTCCTGCACTGCTTATTGATTCAATTGATTTGTAATAAATTGGCTATAATGGCAAAAGGATTATAATGCGAGGTCAGCACATCACATGTACAGTATATGACCTGTTTATCTACAGCATTCAGTCTGGGATTTGTTTGAATGATTGATTTAATTCATAAATTAATTAGACTATTTCAGATGGATCACTTACAGAGACTCCTATTCAGTTACAAAATGTCCGTTTATAACTTATGGAAATGAAGTCATGCTGCACATCCCTAATTTGTGTCTCTGGCTGTTTCTCCATCAAGCTAATCAAAGAGCCTTTGATTATGATGTGCTACTTCACCAATTGCCGGCGCGTTGCAATGTTGTTCTTTGCTCATCACGAGGCAGCCTGTTTCTCATCTGTTAGTGCTGCTGTTTACAATACGCTGCGCGGTTGGCACGTTCTAAAATGTCAGGATTTAGCGGCGGCATGCGGCCCTTGTTCCACGTGTAACCGGTGTCTGGCCTCAGCTTCCTTTAATCAGCCTCCCGCCACGCTGGTTTCTTCAGTTCATCCCAATTAGCACGAGGTTCTGCTGTAACATCGCCTAACAAGGCATGCAACATCCTCCTCCTTCATCTATTCCTCCAGTCTTGGAAAGTTGGCAAGCCCATCTGCCCTCACCCACCCAGCAATACTGCGATATGTCAAACGGACAGCGTGACAGCCTTGGCTTGAAAAGCTCATTCACCCTGCTTGCGCCTGTTCAGATATACATGAGTGTTTTTATTGTGGTTCTCTCATTGCAGGCAAGATTAAGTACTCTGAGCTGGTGTACGATGCCTGCATGGAGGCCTTTGACTGCCTTCCCCTGGCCGCTCTGCTCAACCAGCAGTTCCTTTGTGTTCACGGAGGCCTGTCCCCCGAGGTCACCTGCCTTGACGACATCCGGAAAGTAAGTAAGATGTGAAGCGCCACTTTGTTCATGTGTACCTGTGGTATTCTGTGTCCTGGGTATGACAGTGCCAGATGATGGTGAATATGTTACAAAGGCAGCGCTTTGATCCGTGTGTTGATGATGCTTTTAAAGGGGGGAGTTGTGCCGCTAAATCACAGCACGCTGTCAACATTCTGAAACCCTCTCTGAGAAGGATCCCATTTAAAGCACTGCCACTAAGATAAGAAAGATAAAAAAAAAAAAAAACGTTATGGAATCTTGGTAAACTCGCTTATCTACCTCATCATTTTGAAATGACCACCCTGACTCATACCTATTTATTATTATCAACCTTCACCAGTGTTCATTTTGACAGCAATTTTAGATTTAGTTGGGTTTTTTTGACAATGTTTTAGTCGTTCACATTTAGTCAGATGCAAAAGAGAGCTCAATTCAATACTCGTGCACTGGCGTTTGAGAGGCGGCATTCTGTGTGAGCTCTTTTTTACGCAGTCACGCTTTTTCAGATTCATCCATTTGTTTGCTCTTCTCTTTCTCCCAAACATTTACATTTTTTGTATGAGACATGCAGCGCATCTACCACGTTTGACATCAGTTCTGACTGGATCTCTTCCCAAAATTGTCCCTACCCAACATTTTCATCATTACTGGATTTGATTTTGTTTTCATCAGGGATAAAATGTCGTTGACAACTAACGACAAATTATTCATCAACGAAATTGCCACTGGCCTGAACAAGAGGATGATTTGCGATTTTTCTTCTTTCATTAATCCCTCACCGTTCATGTAGATGTTATGCGAATTCAAACAGATTGAGTTTGTATTGTTGCAGTGATGGATAAGATGGTCTGATTGTTTGCTTTGGTCTGCAGTTAGACCGGTTTAAAGAGCCGCCAGCTTTCGGGCCGATGTGCGACCTGCTGTGGTCTGACCCTGGTGAGGACTACGGCAGCGAAAAGAGCTCAGAGCACTTTTGTCACAACAGTGTGAGAGGATGTTCCTATTTCTACAGGTACTCCAGCTGACAGTCTACCCACTTGCACATTTGTTCGATAGCTGCCTACTCAGTCCCTATTCACAGTCGCACCTCTCAATGTTAGTCATGGCGTTTTGACTGATGGACTGGAATCGCTAATTACACCTCTCTCTGTTTCTAACAGCTACCCTGCAGTATGTGACTTTTTGATGAATAATAACTTGTTGTCAGTTATAAGAGCACATGAAGCCCAAGATGCAGGGTGAGCACACTCTTAAACTAGGCTATTTGCAGCAAGAACTTCTGTTCAATTTTAACAGCTGTTTTTAAATGAACCCCTGACAATTTTGGTCCCATTTCACTGTCCTCCTTAGGTATCGAATGTACAGAAAAAGTCAGACGACAGGCTTCCCATCATTAATCACAATCTTCTCTGCACCAAACTACTTAGATGTGTATAACAATAAAGGTAAGAACTCTCAAAAAGCTTTTGAACCTGTGCTGTTTCATATCTAGCCATATGCAATTTCTCAATAAGGCAAGCCAGTTTTAAAATGAAAATGTCTAATTTCTCTTTCAATTTTAAATATTAAGTCTCACAAAATCAGAACATATTTTCTGTTTTTTTTTTGTTTTTGTTTTTTTGTTTGTTTGTCCTTTCACCCCATAAGCTGCTGTGTTGAAATATGAGAACAACGTTATGAACATCCGGCAGTTCAATTGCTCCCCTCACCCGTACTGGCTGCCCAACTTCATGGATGTGTTCACGTGGTCACTGCCCTTTGTCGGGGAGAAAGGTAAAGAGCAAATGGGAACAGCTTAGCCTTTTTTTTTTTTTTTTTTTTTTTTTTACATTGATTTTGACTCCTATTAGAAGTGCATTTGCAGAATTATTGGATGTGGTTTTAAAATGAGTTTAGCGATTTATCAGTCCTGATGGTTTACTTTATTGATCCTCAAGGAAGTATTCAGACAAAACATCTGCTAAGAGATGGATTAAGCAAATTCATATCTGTAGAAAATGACCATAGTCCTTATGTTGAACACTATGAAGTATGACATGTATGTAGTATTAGAGCAATAAATAGTAGTAGACCAATTTTTGTTTCGGAGAGCATATGTTGGTGGTCCATGTAATGTCTTCTCTCTCTATGTGCCTTCAGTAACAGAGATGCTGGTCAATGTGTTAAACATCTGCTCAGATGATGAGCTTATGTCAGAGGGAGATGACACATGTGAAGGTAAGAACATGTAAAGCTGTTTTACTGCACTGTAGCTTTTTTTTTTAAAATTTTTTTACTTCAAATAAATTTAGTTAGACTTAAAATTGATACCACTTCTTTTTAGAGGTGAGGGATCAAAGATTGCTAAAGATTTTTTTTAATAGTGGTTCAGATTTTTCCTTGCCCCTCCAAAAAAATGCTTAAACGGTTGTTTAATATATTAGATACCTGGGAAATTTAACAGTTCTTGAATCCAATTTTGATACAACAGCTGAAACTACTCCTAACTAATATAGTTTAAATATTCTGAAAAACAAAGATACAGTATGTTGGCCAACAATTATTTTCAATGCTCATTCTGACCCATTCTAAAATTATCTGTTTTTCCTATAAGGAAACTGTAATGATTGCCTAACGTCATTAAAAGAAAGTTCAAAAGAACAACACTTTTTTTAAATATGAACTTTTGTAATATTAATAATGTCTTTTTCTAAAGTGAGGATGCATTAAATTGATCAAAAGTGACAATTTCTTTTAAAATAAAAAATACTCACCCCAGACTGAAACATTTTAATATTTGGTATGATTTTTTTACTTCCCACTCAGCAATAATAATGTAATCAACATTTGCTTGAATTTAAATGTAACAAAAAGTGTGCTCCATTAGCCGTCTTGCATAAAGATCTCCTTTCTTCACTTTCTTTTTTCTCTTCAAATGGATTTCAGCTCTGTTAAATATATATCTGCTTGCCCCTCATCTCATCAAATAATAGTTCTCTGATTAGTGTGCATTAGTCCTCCGTGAATAACCCATATAATTCTATTTAGGACACTATATTCTCGTGTGAAAGTTGCTTTAAATATGAACTCTGTGTTGTGTGATGATTAAATGGGCGTCCTGCTTTGTTTTATCTGTTTGCATATAACACTGCAGACAGGAAGTACATAGTGCTTAGTTTACATCATGAATGCCTTCAAAGAATGTTCTTTTTGTTTCTTTTGAAAATTATCAAATTTATTACAAACGTCTAGCTAAACATGCATCGCCCTTAACCTAACCGTTTTTACAAACTATCCCAAACTGTCTCCATTCAGTTACGTCAGTGATTTCAAAATGAATTGCTGCTCTTAACGTAAGAGCCATGAAAGTACAGTGATGCCACTCTTGCTGTAATGAAACCAGATGAACCCGATCTGAGCACATCTGGGGAGTTGTCATGAAGGAATACAGTGTCCCATTTACTGTTCTTGATGCCCAATTGATTTGTCCTTCTTTTTTTTTTTTTCTTCTTTTTTTTGAATGGTGCATAATTTTAACTTGGCCTGACACACTTCCTCTGTGTGTCTGTGAGCCTTTAAGTTTTGAAATGGGGTTTATTTTTTTCTTATGGGATTCAGGATGTAATGCCTCATTTGATCTGCAGTATTCTAGCCATCAGATTAGGACTAGTTTGCACTTTGCAGTAACGATGTTGATAACATCTTTACTTTTATAATTTTAGATAGATGTGTGTGTATATATAGCAAAATTGTCCCCATGTACTATCAATGAAACTAGACTCTAACCTTCTTTCTCTGTATTTTTGTTTTCCTCTGTCCCTCCCCTTTTGTGGCAGGTGGCACCCCAGCAGTCCGCAAGGAGGTGATCCGAAATAAGATTCGTGCCATTGGCAAAATGGCCAGAGTTTTCTCTGTTCTTAGGTGAATATGCACACTTCACATATATATATATATATATATATATATATTTAAAAAAAAGGGGAAAATTCTATTCTTTAAAAGCATTCGATGCAGGTTTGTAAAATATGAATTTGGTCAATCTATTTATAAAAGAGTTACACTTTATTTATTTTTAGGTGACGTACTTACATTGTACTCAAATAAGTACTGAATAATATTAACTACATGTATACAGTTATGGTTAGGATGAGGGATTGATTTAGGGTTAGTTTTAGTTGTAATTATGCATAATTTACTGTTGTTACTATAGTAAGTACATGTGTAACTATGTCACCTTAAAAATAAAGTGTTTCCTAAAAATGTATTTATTTAGAAAAACTCATGACTGTTTCCTGGTCAATAAGTCTTAATTTTTATTTATTTTTATTGATTGGACCGCATGACAATTCAATTCAATAAATTAATACCATAAATACCTTGCTATACCATTTTCAATTGTTTTTATTAAAGTCCACATGAAACCATGGTGAATACAATGAGTATGTTTCTAAGAGCTTTGCACATTTCAAAACCCTTTTATTTGTCATTGATGTAAATACAGAAAATCTATATTTTCAGAGAGGAGAACGAGAGTGTGTTGCAGTTAAAGGGCTTGACTCCTACTGGGACGTTGCCTCTGGGTGTCCTGTCAGGAGGCAGACAGACCCTACAGAGCGGTAAGTCTTGCTCCTGGCCTTATTGAGTGGTGTTGTGGAGGGTGTAACCGGCTCTCCACCAACCCCCTGCTCCTGTTACGCTCTTTCTTTCTCAGTCTTTCTGTCTATAACTCTCTCTCACCCTGTTGCTGTCACCGCCTTGCCCGGCAGCTCTGCTTCTCTCACTATGAAACACACCCATTATAGAAAGTGATATCGTTTAGAGGGGGAAGATTTTAGAAGGGTTTGGTCATGAAGGGGATTTCAATCAACACGCTTCAGTTTTCCTGGCCTGGCAGGGACCTAAAAAACTTCCAAGCACTGCTGAGATCATAGCGAGTGCCAAGGATCTGCTATGGGTGATGCTTTCACTGTGAGAGGGGCTCCTGTGAGCTTATGGCTGACGCAATATGACCCAATTTAAACAGTGCCTGTCGGTGTGCCACGCTTCCTCTCCTGGCCTTTAATGTAAAAACTCACCCGCCTGCTGCACCCTGCTGCCCTCCTACTCACAGCCACATTAACATGGTCAGGTTTGTTTTTGATTAAACTAGTCGCCCTTCCTAGAAACATCCTAGCAATGTGCTAAACACCACTCAGAACATCTTAATATCCACTTGGAAACACACTGATATCACAATCACTAGTTTCACATGCTCAAAACACTTGTTTGTTAGGGTGAATAAATTGGCTTGCTTCCCATATGAGCACAATAGCTTAACATGTCTGAGCACTGCACTCCTAAGACCACCGTTCTGCCAAAACTGCTCAATTTAGTTGGTTTTCTAAAGCATAGACTTTAAGTTGTTACCTTGAAAATCTATTTCAAATAAATGCTGTACAAGTTGGGATCGAAGTTGGTCCGAGGTCCGTACGCAGCAGAATGCATGTGATTTGCATTATTAATTGCTAAGTTTAACCATCACAGAGTGAACGTTTATCTTTTGCACTTGTTTAAGGCCTCAGTTTATAGATTAAATTGAGTTTAAAACATTCAAGCACAAGAACATGCGAAAACTTAATTCGGGGCTCGTGCATTGTTTTCTGTGCGCACGAACATCGAATTTAGGTCTCTTTCTCGTCTTTTTGTGCTTAAACGGACATAAACACGTCAAAACGCCCTTCTCGGTGAGTGTCCTTGTAAACATAAACAATTGAGAGAAAACGGATGTGTGTCTTTATAACAGCATCCGAATAAACCTGCTGCTGTTAATCAAACAAATGTCAGGGAAAATCACTTTTGTAGCTTTAATGTATAAATTAAATATAATTAATATTTGTTACAGACCATATAGTGTAATTTTACATTTGATTCAATTTCTGTACATGAATAGTTAGACTTTTGTATTTCTGTTCTGTTGTATTGATCTATGCATTTATATGAACGTTTTGGCCGATACCGATAATTACAACGCCGATAAATCTAAATTAAAATTCATTATTTTTTTTGAGAGCCTGATTACAAAAACAAGTCTCAACATTAAATAATGTTCTCATTAAAATTGTATGTAGCCCATATGATTTTATGTAGCCATTTTGCACTACTTTGCACAGTCATTTAAATAATATTTTAAAGCAATTCAAAACAATCATGACGTACAATGTTGTGCATCGCATCCCTATATGTAATTTATTTTCTATGCAGATTATCTCCCCTAAAAAATCACCTGAACAATTTTTTAATGATTCATTCTTTTCAAATAGAGCTATTCAAGTCATCTGGTTTTGATTGATTTTCAATTGACGACTTAAATATATATAAATATATGACGACTTGTGTGTGTGTGTGTGTGTGTGTGTATATATATATATATATATATATATATAAATATGAAATGTAATCTGTGTCATACATTAAAAATACATAAATAGTCAGGGATGACACAATAAAGCCCTAAGACTTATTTCCATTGTGGTCCCTGGGTTAAATTGTCTTCATTTCACAATATATATCAAAAGAAAAAGTAAAATATTTTCCAATATTGTATCGTGCAGCCATAGTATAAATGGGTATTTATTTGTGCACTTCTAAGGGACTCTTCATATGTAGAGGTCTATGACATTACATTTTGAAAGGCCTTGCTCTATTGGTCAGACGTCAAGGCACAATAAAATGCAACACCGTCTTGTGATTGTAACGTGTTGATGGCGCACTGGGGGAAGGGGATGTAAATAATAAGATTCTTCAGAAGCTGAAAATAGAAATAAAGCAACACATCGCTCAAAACTGTCTTGCCTCTCCTTCCTGTGAAGGCCACAAATAAACTCTTCATACATACAGTATACAGTACATGTTACGGCGAAAGCCTCTCCTTGTTTGGCTATTGTATACCTTCAGCTGTAAAAATAGACTCTGCCCATGTCAAGAGTCGTTCAGAAGGCCTTGCGTCTCAGATTCAAATCATGGTTTCTCAAAAACAAACCTCACCAAGTAAAAACTAGTTTTGAAATCTGTTTATGTCCTGAATGAAGCAACTAAACTAACCTCTTTTAGGTTTCTTCCTGTGTGGCATGTGAAGCGTTTGGGCTTATGTTGGGAGGGGAAGATGAATGAATGGGCAACAGGGAGGGGGTTTGAATGTACTTGTGATTGCATTGATAACTTGACTCACTTTCTTTCCCCGTTCGTTTTGGGCATGGCACTACTACTCATGCTTACACAGCCACCATAGAAGCAGAGGAAGCACAAGGTATGCAAGACATCTGTGAAACCTTCTCAGTGTTGTCTGTCTGTTACCCTCCCCCTGTGATTTACTGTCTGTCGTTCGTGTGCATTTCGTCCTTTTGTAGTCACCAATATCATTATGTATTTGTGTGTATGTAGTTCACATGCTTGTTACTTTTAAAGCTAGAAATGTAGTTTGATTTGCACGTTGAGATATTTGTTTGTTGCTCCTTTGTGGTGTTTTGTTGCATTTTGTCTGTTTGCATTTAAAGGTGATATGTTATTTCTGGCCCACTAAACGGATAAAAAAAATGACACAATGAAATGATGACTGTATTTCTGTTTTTGGGTAAACTATCTCAGGATAAACTTTGGTAGATCTGGCCGTTGAGAGAGGCGTTTCAAAAAGTCTCACACTCGTGAACGCCAGCGCTTCAGTCACAGCTGTTTAAAGGGGGAAGCCAGAGGCAGGGGTGTGAGCAGACCACAGCATGAGACTGAATCTTTGTTTTTATCAGTTTCACTTCCTGACCAAAGAGCACACAAATAAACTCAAATCTAGGCCTGTTTTTGCCTTTTAATGTCAGGCTTCACGTGGGTACATCAGCGTTTTTCTGGTGAATACTATCCAAATTAATCGTACCCTTACTGTACACCCTCAACTTCTTTTTATTTTATTTATTTTTATTACTTTTCTCATGCTTGGTTTGTTTAGTTGTTTGGGGAAGAACAGCCCTCTCTTAGTTGTCATGCGACTTTAGTGACTGGAAATGTTCAAGTCTAATAAGTTAATGTTGGAATGTAGGACTGCATGATTTGTGGGTGGGAAAGAGACTAATTTCAATTTCATTAAAGTGATAGTTCACCCAAAAATGAAAATTCTGTCAGTATTTACTCACCCTCATGTTGTTCCAACCCTGTAAGACCTTCGTTCTCGATCTTCGGAACACAAATTAAGATATTTTTGATGAAGTCTGAGAGCTGGATCACTCCTGCATACTTGCCGGCCTCAATTTTTTTTTTTTTTCGTTGTTTTATCCATATTACTACAAAAAAGTAGTTTATTATTATTACTACTAAATAAAAATATTAACCAAAATAATTAATGTTACTATTGTAATATATCAATGTAAAATTACAATAGTATTTATTATCTCTTACTTCATTTTCAAACGTTAAACCACTAAACTTTTATTTTGGCGGAAAACCATAGGAATCCTGTATAGCCAGTTAATAAGTACTTCTCATTATAAATTTGGCAAGATGGCTGGCGCATGTTGCGTTCCCAAATGCACGTTATAAGCAACCCGAGCTCAGCTGAATTTGTGTGGCATTTCCTGTGAACTGAGCTGTTTGCGTGTAAAAGACACACTCTGAAACACTCATTGATGTGCATACATTTATTTAATTCAATCGCAGCCTTTACATTTTAAAAATCCATATCGCAATTTCAGTTTAATTTCCAATCATTTTTTTTTCAGTTTACAAGATAACTTTGCAGCCCTTTTGGGATTTGAAAATCTCAAATCTTACGGTGTTTTCACCCCATGTCGTAATTCCCATAATTACGAGATGCCTACTTGTAAAAAGTGTTTACGTCATTATAGAGCGTGTAGATTTTTTTTCTTTTTTTTCTGAGAGATCGGACTTGTACTACATGACCGATGTACTACCAGTCCCCTAGAGATTCACTTTGACAGTGATAGTGTTGATGTAATTACGACATGGCTTGAACGTAGCTCGTTTAATCTTGTAAACTGACACGGTAATATGCACAAGTAATGCCCAAAACGAAAGCAAACAGTCATTGTTGTATGTCACTTCATAAGCATTATCTAACTTCGTGCTTCCATACTTTCAGCCATCCAAGGCTTCAACCCTCAACACAAGATCCAAAGCTTCGAAGAAGCGCGTGGACTGGACCGGATAAACGAGCGAATGCCTCCGCGCAGGGACAGCGTGCAGCCAGACGGCACTGCCAACTCCATCAACGCAGCCAATTCCCCCGACAAGAACGGCACCAACGCACAGGCGTAGTAACCCAGCAGCTACCTAGCACTCTCCCTCATCCTTTCTGTCTCTTTTTTTCCCCCTCTCTCTCCCTCTGTTTTCCTCTCATTCTCTCTCTTTTTGGTAGAGGTGATGCCCCCTACATGCAAAACTCTCCAGGACCGTTTCGGGGAGAATCGCACAATACCATGAAGAGGGTGTAGTGAAAAACAAACCATGGTTCTTATTTATTTATTGATATAGATGATAAGAAATGTAAGATCTGTAATGGTGGAAAAATTGAGATGAATGAATACATACGTGATGAATATTACATGTGTACATAAACAGAATATATATATATAGACATAGCATTGGGGTGGTGTAAGGTCATCTTAGATTTCAGTAGTTTAAAAAAACAAACACACAAAAAAAAAAACAATCCATTTTGTAAATTTACGTTTATAAATTAGATTTATTTCTGACATTTCTTTTTTTTTTTTTTTTTTAAACAACCAAGACTTGCTCGGCAGAATTACGTTATCGTTGTTTGTGCGCTTGGCAAAGGAATTTTTTGGCTGACATAATTATATAGATTGCTTATTTGTGAATACCCAAAGCGAGTATGATAATTGTTGATGCAAAACAAAAAAAAAGGTTTTATTGAAACAATGTGAAAAAAAACAAACAAAAAAAACCTTCATAATGCCAATTATAGCTAAGGGGAGTGCATTAATAACAAGTGTTGACACATTTATATGTACATGTACATTTTCAAGTGTTCCCTCAACCAAATGTAATGTTTACTTTGTTTCATTTGTTTTCTTTTTCCTGTTCATAACTCAAATTACTATACTGATTCGTAATCAATAAGTTGAAAAAGCAAAAGCCATCCCGCAAGATGGTTGGAGGAGTTTGTTTTTTGTTTGTTCTTTGCTTTTTTTTCTTCAATTTGTAGTCAGTCGCGCTTTTATCGGCCTCTGCCATAATTTTGAACACTTTTAGACGCATTTTGTTTAGAACCATAGTGGTAAAAGGCACGGTTTAACTGCCATGATTTTACACAGACGTTTTTCTTGCCGCCCATAATGTATATGATAAATGCGACTGGATGAGGTGAAACGTTAAGCATCTCAGAAAATAAGCATACATGCCTTAACATCCCGTCTCATCTCGACTAAATGAAATCAGTTAAACCGAAAAGTGTCGCTTGCCTGTTTGAGCCCACCAGTTGGATGTTTTTAACATTACACCCCATTTCATTGTTTTTCAATTTGTCTAATTTTTGTACCTATAAAGGTTTGCATCAACAAACTTGTAAGTATATTCAGCGCTAGTATTTCTATAGTTGAGCAGAACGCTCTTCTAAACGCCTGTATTCTCTAGTGGACCATTTTCCACACATATGATTGACTAAAGCCTCATCTTTTGCTTTTACCTAAAGAAAAACAATGTTATTTTGATTGCTTTTACTATACTGAGTGTTTTGAGAAGGACAGGTTTTGCAAGAACTGTTTACCAAATCGTCTTTTCAGACATTTTGTTTCCTTTTCTTTTCTACACTGTACCGTTATCATTGCATAAAATCCAGTGACTGGAGATTTCGCTGCGAAAAGACTCTTGACTTCCCATACGCTACACGTTTGAGGTCATGTGCCATGCTAATAACTATAGCGAGAGTTCTGTGTGCAGGCATTGAGGTAGTCGCTCGCACATTTTTTGCTTAATTTAACGTCGCAAGCATTTCAGGTTCTGTATGCCTTGCGCGACACTCCGTTTTCATGGCGCACCGTAATACGAGACTTGACGAGGGTAAACCTACATGTTATCATAACTGTGTTTAAAGTAAATTTCATCCAAAGAAAAATCAGTGTTTTAATGTAATATATGGCTTTTGATCATTGACAAAACAACTGCTGATTGTATGATCACTGCCTCTGCATTTGTTTGAGAAGAGGCGAGTGCTCAAATCAGTGATGCAGTCATGTAAAGAAAAAGAAAAAAAACACCTGTTGACGCTTTACTCTTTGCGATATAAAACCAATATGAGGGAGGCCTACATCCTTAAACAGGTACCAAAAGATCATGACCACCTTTTGTGTCCTCTTTTTAAGTGTTTGTCTCTTCAAGTCTTTGTTTTATGTTATGAGCCTCTGCAAACTGTTATTTTGTTTAGTTTCCTTCATGTTTAATTTAAAAGGGGATGTCTGGTGTGAGAGTCGGGGGTTTTTGGTGGAAGGGGCAGGGTTTTGTTTCATATGGGAGAGGAATTGGGGGCGTTCGGACCACTGACCCCGTTATAGGAGGGCTTCTGTTGCAAATTCCAAACATATCTTGCAGAATCTACTAAAAATGTTTAAGATCTTTTTTCTTAATAGCTATTAAAAGAGGGCAAGGAGGAGTTTGTGTCAAGTACTTGTATTGCGAGGCCTCTATAAATCTCGAATTATGTTGATGTATCGCTCCATTAAAAATGAAAGTAAAATGAAATACAAAAAATGTTGGGGAAAAAAAAAACTGGTGTTGTTTCTTTATTTGGCTGCTTTAAATTGTGTTTCCAGATTCTTCATATTGCATCTGCTTTTACAATTTGAGTTCCTGATTGATGGCTATCTAGTGTTTTGTGAAACTCCCTTTGTCATTTTCTTTTTTTTTTATCCTTGTCTGTGCTCGCCAAGGTTTCCTATGATTACGACACTCACATTTTCAACATTCTGTGCTTAAAGGACAGCTAGTGTAGTTACCTGTCTGAACACAGCCCACACAAACAAGCACATGCCGACACAAGCCTAAGTTTCACACAAAGACATTGTTGTTGGCTAAAACTATTGAAATCCTTTTTCGTCAATTGAAATAAAGCAAAGCTAAAATAAAATATAAACATATAAAATAGATGAAAAACTTGCTAAAGTTATAAAAAAATAAGTGTTGCCTTGGCACTTAACTAAAATAAGGTTTAAGTTGGTGCACTTAAATGACTAAAACTGGAATAAAAATGAAGCTAAATAAAAATATAGATTTATAAAACGAAAAAATGACAAGCACGTAAAATTAGAATGAAAACTGATATAGATGAAATTCTAAAATAACCATTAAAACTGATTAGTTTACTTTACTTAAAGGAGCTAAACGCAAGTCTCTGAGTTTTTGCAGAACTACGCCCCCTCTGGCGACAAGCGAAACTGCAACCAGAGCTATGCGCGTTCATGGAGGAACACACACACACACACGCACGTTTGCGCGAGCTGTTCATAACCTAAGGAGCATCAGCCGCACACTGTGCGGCACACATCTTTTGTTACAGTCATAATGAGGTAATACAGTAATAAATCTGCAAGTCATTTAAAATATATGAAAGGAAAGGCATTCGAGTAAATTACACACAATGTGTGTGAGAGGGGGAAACGGGGGTAGTAGAAAACTTCGGTTTTGTTTCCATCTATCTCCCTGTGCTTACTGTATCCACTTATGATTGAATTATTATGGAAACACGTTCAGTTATCACTTTGTATTAGGAACCGTTTGAGCCCTAGAGCAGACGGAGATATCTCTCCGTTTGTTGAAAGCTTCCCGATGTTGACTCTCGTTCTTTATTCCGACCCTGGCACTGGACAGACTGAAGTTTTATTTCTTTGTCTCACGCGGAGTTTGCGTTGGGGTTTGAATGAACTACAAGCCGCGTCTCTTTCCGCGCCATACAGATATGAAGTGCACGTCACCGAAAAAGCAAACAGATATGAGCTGGATTTTATTAATCATCGGCTAATTTCAAAATCAGCAAAGACAGCAATAAGAGAGATCGGCAACAGGCCTGGTAAGATCAATTCATTTCTTTACTTTTAATGAAGATGGTAGTGTTAAGCGTCTGCGACTTACTTTCACTTTGATTTGCGATAGATTGCGGCGCGCTGGCTTGCTCAGCTCAGCTGCTCATCTGAGGTGATGCGCGTGGTCATATATGGCTAAAATAACATGACATATAGCTTGGTTTCAACAACCAGATGCATTTACACTTGTCCAATTTCGTCTGGAATGCGGCCCAGACCACGTCCTCAAGTGATTTGAGCGATCGGATTCATCCGTCTCTAACGCGTTTCGGAGGGCATTTACACCCTGGTCTTTTCACGATCGAATAGCTATCCGATCACAGAAGACACATGAAGTGACCAGGTGTAAACAGCCCCTTTGAATCCATCGTCTACTTTTGTGGAAAGCTGACTAGAGTTGTGTCGCTCGAGTTGTCTTCTCTGATACGGAGACGGCGGCGAATAGCTACACGAACCTGCCAGACACAGCCAGGCGAGCGTGAACGCGCATGACGTCACGCCCAGTCTCAGATTCGAGCCCGAATCCCTCTTGTATATTTCACTGTACAGGATTATAGAGGCGATCGCAGTGATCAGAGAAGGGCTCATTCAGCTCATCAGGCGATTGTTTAAGTATGTATGGGTTAGAAAACGGCTATTTTTAACATGAAATGTTGCGCAATGCACCTTTAAAAAAAGTGAGGAAACCGGTGGCTTTAAGTTACTAAATAAACCATGCGTGATTGAAAAAAAAAAAAAGTTGTGGAATTAAGTTCACATTACTTAATTTGTTCAGTTGCTTAGCTTTATTGCAACTGGTTTCCCATCTTTTAAGTTGTCAACTGGTCACTTTTTACAGTGCAGTAACATGTATTTGAATACGTTTATATTTAGTTGTATTATTAAGCTATTAGATATTTTAATAACTACATCTGTGCATGAATGTTAGTCATGTGCAGCAACATGATAAAATGGTGCGTCCATGTTGTGTTATACCCTGAACGTGGGTTTGTTATTTGAAAAGCTCAGTTTTCAAATCCGAAGGTCTTGTTGAATGGCATTGTTAGACTAGATTGGTGTGAAGGATGCAGCTGAACACAAAATAAAATCATGCTTTTGTTTTATTGAAGGGCCTTGAACTGAAGCAGGCCCTTGAAATAGCGTTTGTTGCATATTTCTATTCACCTATTCAATGCCATTTTAAAGCCTGCTCGTTCACGACCAACCTGAATAATTCTAAGAAGTGCTAAAAGCATGAATGTCAGTTTTCCATTATCAGTCAGCAGATCACGTGGAAAATACATTGAAAGTCCTGCAGGAAAACAAACCACTCGTATGATTTTACAATAAATTAGATGGTTATTACTTGTCACTGATTAACCCAATTATTGCAATTATACACTGTTTTTTAATTAGTATGTTATAAAGCTCTCTTCATGCGAGGTTAATCATAATTTAATATGATAATGTATAATTTAAGTGTAACTGAGCCTATAAAGTACTACCACATCTTTCTGAATTGAAAATGTACATAGACTGAGTCTGCTGCTGAATGTGCGGAGGTTATCAGATTCATTTTCTTTTTTATGACTCATTCAGCAAGTTTTCTTCACAGACCTTTTTGACCTTTGAGCAGTTACTAGTATTAAAAAAAGCAGTTAATTAGGTAATTTTTCTCTTTCCTTTATTTGCGTGGCATCAGGAGGGTGGAGATCATCATCGATGATGTATGATGATGATCTTGATGTTGTGGCAGTTGAAAATATGAAGCTTTTACTTAATTATTTTTTACAAAGATGAGTGACTGAGTGATCTAGATCTAGTACATCCATCCTGTTGATTTCTCTTTAACGCTTGTGAATGAGTGTTATTTAAAGACCCCCTGAGGTCAAATCAGGATCTTAATGTGATGTTTTAAATGCTTTGATTTCTGGTTCAAAAATGTATAATTGAATTAAATCAATATTTCCATTTGCCAGGCATTGTATAGCGTTTACTACTGTCACCCAGGTGATTTGAGCTGGTGTGAGTGAGTCGAGGTGGGGACTAGTTTGCATATCCATGGGTGTGCGTATACAAAATGAAGTGAGACTATTTTAAAATTGTTTAAAGGGATAGTTTAAACTTTATCCAAACCAAGACTTTCGTTCATCTTCAGAACACGAATTAAAGGAGTAGTTCACTTTAAAAAAAACTTTTGCTGATAATTTACTCACCCCCATGCCATTCTAGAAATTAAGGTTTTTGATGAAAACATTCCAGGATTTTTCTCCATATAATGGACTTCAATGGGAACCAAATGGTTCAAGGTCCAAAAGACTGTTTCAGTGCAAACTGCAAACTGTTCAAAGGGCTTTAAACGACATCAGTCGATGAATAAGGGTCTTATCATGCGAAACGATCGCACATTTAAAAAAAAAATAACAAAGTTTGTTTTATAAGATCAAATGGTCGCCTTGTTCTGTTAGGGTTAGGGTGTGATGCACGTTTGTGACTCCTATTCAAACTTGTTCATCAAAATGAACAAATCTTTTTGTTTGTTGAATGAACCAAATGACACAACAAAAGATTTGTTCATTTTGATAAACGAATACGAATAGGAGAGTCACAAACGCTCATTACAGAACAGAGCAAGGCGAAAATTTCAGCTTATAAAACTTAAACTTTGTTGTTGTTTTTTTTTAAATGAGCAATCATTTCGTTTGATAAGACCCTTATTCATCGTCAGAAATCGTTTAAATCCCTTTGAACAAGTCCCTTTTGCACTGAAACTGTCATTTTGACCTTGAACCGTTTGGTTCCCATTGAAGTCCATTATATGGAGAAAAATCCTGGAATGTTTTCATCAAAAAAACTTATTTTTTTTTCCGACTGAAGAAAGAATGACATGGATATCTTGGATGACATGGGGGTGAGTAAATTATCAGCAAAAGTTTTTTTTTTTTTTAAAGTGAACCACTCCTTTAAGCTATTTTTAATGAAATCTGAGTGATTATTCCTCCATTGACAGCTACGCAACTACCACTTTGACACTTCAAAAAGTTTGTTAAACTAATCCATATGAATTGAGCGGTTAAGTTTAAATTTTCTGAATCTGAACAGACTTGATCGCTTTATATGACGAACAGACTAAATTTAGTCTTCTATTCACATATAAACATTGATCAGTGACCATAAACAGAAGTTCATTCGAACCTCATTGGTTCTTGCGGGAGCTCAAACATGATGCGTAACACTAGAATGAACCTCATTGTTTCTCGCACGTTAAAGAAAAATGCTTGAGCTTCCGTTTACCACAACTGGTGTGTGCATTGATGAAAGTCTGTTGTACTGTTTGATATTGCAAACTGTTATTGTAGTCTTATTATATTTTCATAGTA